GTTTTTTCTGTGCTTTCCCAGGCGCATTGGGGGAAAAAAATTCTTATTTAATTCATGGCTGCTTCCAATAATCACGATTTTAAAATTTTCTATCTAAAAAGCGTCTTTTGCTAATATTTTTTTTTTAATACATCATTTGACATAAGTCAAACAAAGGAAAAGATAAATGAATTTCTTTCTCAGGCCTTATCTAAAACATGCGCCGGGTTATTTTTGTAGTTAAGTTTTTTTGTGTTTAAAATTGACCTTTATGCATTAAATACTTTTCAAAAAATAACTTGAAAAATTTTTTTGGTGATAGAAAGATGAAAACCCTACTTGTTTCGTAGAAAAAATGTTTTAATTTGGGTCTTCAAAGTACATTTTACTTGGTTTCCCTTAAAAAAAACATTTAAAGTTAAGTTTGATAAATATGCTCTTTTGATTCGTTTAAAAAACTAAATTTTTTGACCCATATAGACACAGTCTAGTTTTTTTGGTTTTTTTTTATACCCGGAAAGGAAAAAAGAAAATTCAAGTTGTACAGGGTATACACAAAGAATATCTAAAATTTTATTTAAATACTTGTTTGTAAATAGAAATGACACACTGCGGACGATTTTAAAAAAGAAAATTCCTTTTTTTAAACTGCCAATTTTTTAGGTTTTTTGACTTTTTAACTGAGTTATAGCTTTTGTACTTTAAAATTCTTTAAATAATTTTCTATATTTTATTTGGCTTTTTAATGAGAAAAATGACATACGGGCCAAGCTTTTACCTTGGTACAATGTTTTTTTAATTCCTTTTACGTAAAAAATTTTCAGGCATGATGCACTGTAAATATAGAAATTGTTACAGTAGTTTCTACAAATTTTATAAGTGAAAATATGTTGAAAAAAGTGGATTATAAATTTTAAAAGACGTCAAACATTTCTAATAAAAAAACAGTATTTGGCTTTATTGTATATCATGGGATGGGTTATTCAATTCTATTTAAGCAGAACTATTCATGTACCTTCTTTAAAAAAAACTGGGGAAATTGGGAATACAAAATATCAAAATATTTGTACTAAAATTGTTCTTTTAAAAAATAAATGTACCAAGTTTAAAACAGAAAAAAATTTAAAAAATATCTCCCCCAAAAATTTTTACATATTTTCATCCTAACCCAAACACGTTGTTGGGTCATGCATGGGGCTTTACCATTATTTCTTACTACCCCCACATGATGGGGGAAAATTCATGATAAAAAAAAAGTTTTAAAACTTTTTACAAACTTACCGGGAAAAAATTTAAATGGGCTTCAGCGAAACCTTTTTATTTTTTTTGTGCTACAAAAACTAAATCTATGTGGTGTTTATTTTGAAAATAAATGTATACATTTGAAAAATTAGAATGGATTTCAATTATTCATTATTTTTATTTCTATGGATTTCACATAAGTTGCAATAATAAAAAAGGGAAAAATTTCGATGATTTTTATTTCACCTTGCCATTTTGCGACCCGTAAATATGGTATTGCACGGCTGTGCAAATATTTGACATACGTCATTAGCGTTAACAAACTAGTGTAAAACGGTAAAAGTTAGGTTTTATATGGGTCGTCAATGAAGGCTTTTTTTTTACTTTAAAAGGTCTTTATTTTGGGATGTGATAAAAAATATTTAAATTCATTTTAAGTTCAATACTAATTTATTTCAACTGTTTTAGGGCCCAAAGGGTCGGGGTAAATTTTTCTTATTAATTTGTGCAATAAATTTATTGAAATTAAATCATTTAATCAAATCAAAAATCCCCCAAATTTTATTTCCATGGGGAAAACAAAAGTTTGTATTAAAGGGGGGGTCAACCCCCATGACCCTTCTGGGGTTCCCCCAAAGCCCTCTGAAAAAAAAAAAGTTTCCCCAATTTCCCCCTTTCCCCCAAAAATTTTTTAACTTCTTTTAAAGAAACTGACACATCACGTTGGGTTAAAAGGCGTCCAAAAGCCCTAACTACGTGTGTGAAACGAAAGGGGGAAACGTGAAAAAAGCGACGAAAATAGGGTAAATCTAAACCCAAAGTGTTTTGCTAACGTTCACTGGTGTGGGGCGAAATATTTTTTCCCACGCTTGAAAGAGCGTTGTAAAACGGGGCCCACTTACGGGGTAAAATTTCGGCCTTTAAAGGGTTTCAGAAACCCTAGAAATTTCATAAATGAATTCAGTTTTGTGTGTTTTTTAAAGTCAGCATCAAAGACAAAAAAGGAAAAAAATTTGGATGAAAGGGTTTTTTAGCTAAAAATTTTTTTAAAAAATCCCAAAACCTTTAACCCTTTTTTATATTTTTATTTTTTTCCCAAAACTTCGTCATTGCGTGGGGCTTCTTTTTCTTTGGATGAAAAGTCGGGGGGTTTTTTCTGCTGGTGATTTCCCCCGATTTTTTCAGGGTTTTTTTAAAGTTTCCCTATAACTACTTGATGTTGGGCTATAAGCAAACATATATTTGCCTTCTAAATCTTTTAGGGTCTTTCCCTGGAATTTGTTCTCTACGTCGCACAAAATCAAAAAGAAACCCTTGGGTTTTTTTTAACATATGCTAGTCGTTTTGGAAACGATTTAATGCGCACAGAGGGGCGTCAATGATCGCAAAAAGGGCGTTTTTTAACCTTTTGTCACACGTTTTGTGCTTTGAAGACCGTTTTACGGGGCTTTTAAATCGCCATGAGTCGTTCACGCAAATAAAAGATAAGTAAAAACCAAGTATCGAATTGAGGAACGCTGACTACCGAAAGACGAAACGTTGCGAACGTCAGTGAAAGTGAATAAACGTTTTTTCCATTCAAATGAAGAAAAAAGGCGAGAATTGATAGAAAAGAGGCCGTTTTTCGATATAATGTCGCAATTCATACGCCACAGTAGAGGCGCTTTGACGTCATAGTCAACGCCTTTTTCTTACAAAATAATGCTGCCCGGGGAATTAAAGCTTACATATCATACATAATTCTATTTGACACCAAAAATCGCATCAAGAACTGAGATATGAACGATCGGAAAGTAGCAAAACTGCCTTAAAACGTTCTTCAAGCCGTTTGAAATTTAAACGTTGAAGAACGCTGGTCTGAAGTGAAAACTTTTGTGCATGTTCAAAACTTTTTTCCGGGACCGCGATCTATACCAACCCGGCGATTACAGAAGTTCATTTTCGTTTAAACCGGTTTTTTTAAGGGCTTCCAAGCAACCATTTGGGGTACTTACAACGATAATTTCCCAAAAACATAGAACGCTGAAACCCGGGAAAATGGGGGGTGACGGGGCCCATTTAAAGTGGAAAAAAAAGCAACCCCCAAAGTTATAAAATTTAAGAGATAAAATACCATACCTCATACCTTTTTAAAAACTTAGGGCAAATTTTTGGGCAAAATTTTTTACATTCAGTTTTGGCCCTTATGGAAACTGGAAAGGGCAAAAAACGCTTTCAATATGCTGTGAAAAAAAATTTCGTTTATTTTCCCCAGTGGAATGTATTCAGGAATACGGAGCTGGGGGTTTTTTGCAATCTTTTAGATTAGGAATTCATTTTTTTTTTTGTTTTTTTTGGTTATATGACCTTTTGGAAATTATTATGTGACGCTTCATCTATAATTTTCAATAGGTTTCATTTGCAACACTATTTTAAGTTTTTTCAATAGAATGAAAATAAATACATTGTTTTTCAGTTTAAATTTTTTATTTCAAATTCATTTTAATAATATGCAAAATAACATTTTAAGAAGCCTTCATGCAGATTGCGGATAAAACCACATTTCTAGATTGCCTTTTGCTTTGCAACATGTATACATGTTGTTTTGCACCTTATTTAGAATGGTGTTTTAAGTATATAACATTTAAACTAAAAGCTCTAATGGTATATATTATTAGCTTTTGTTTCCATTACTTTTCATTAACTAAGTGTAAATAAAATTATGATTCGAGTCGGAGTGTCATGGACCTGATCCTTGTACAATCAATGTTGGGACACAAAAGTTTTTTAAATTAAAAATTAAAACCCAAGATAGACAAAAGACTAATTCGTCAAATGGCCAAGGGAACTCTGTCCTCAGCATTAAAATTTCAAAGAAAGTGACAGTCGAAACCCCCTATTCATAATTATGAAAAATAACCTGGTTTGTTTTCTTTAATTTGAAATATTTCTGTCACAGGGAAGATTTTAATTATTAAAATCTGAAATGTGTGGTAAGCTATAACAGTGTTCCTTTACGGGGACAGCAACGGCAATTTTCAAGATGCAGTCTTCATTTGGAATCTATCTGAATATACATTGCACTTGCTACATTTTAATGAAATCTTTCCATCACATCATAGAAGTATCAATAGTCAGTTTGGCGGGGCAATAGTTTTCAATGAGTGACTATAAAAACTTTAAAATATTTTTTCATATGTTTGTCTGCAGCGTCTCGTTTAAGTGATGAAGACAGTCAGAAAGCCGTAGAGATCTTACTGGGCTGTTTGCAGTTAATTTACAAATAATGGTGGAATTGCTGGAACACATCTGTTACGCGAGCCATCAACACTTTCGTGTCTTACAAAGGTTACAACATTACATATTTAATTTCGCAATTGAAATTTTCTTAAGTTAGGAAGTTGCCAGTTGCTCAATAATTTTGACGTTGAGCACAGATTTTTAAAGACAGCCATATGTTTGTTACAACAATAATAATAATGATTATAATAACAATAATAAATGATAATAATGATAATAATCCGCGCAGTTCTGATCAGGCTCCATGCTGTTCGCTTTCAGTTTTCACTTTGTAAGCGAACAACATGTATCCTGATCAGATTGAGCGGGATGCGCAGCTCGTCTGGATCCATGCTAATCGCAAACGTATTACATGCTAATTTGAAACTTTGTTAAATATCGACTTTGGGATATAAGTCTCAAGAAAACAAGACATGGAAGCTATCATACTTTTAATTTATTTGACTTAAGGTATGACTCATTTTAAATGATAACTATTCTTGTTTATTAAAGAATGCGTACATGAGACTGTTATCCGACTGAATGGTGTAACAACGTTGATTGAAATTAATGAAGGACATACGAGGAAAATATTGACATACAACTAAACAGTTGTAAAACTATAGGAAACATTAGTGTGAACGGTAAGTCTTCGTCAATCTAAAACATTAATGGGATAAATCCATACAGAATATCGTTTTTGTATAACGGACAATCAGTGTTAAGGGTTTTCAAATTTGTAAATCAGTGTTAATGGTAAATCTTCGTCAATTTATAAACATCAGTGTCTCTGTGAATGGTAAAAGTTCGTTACTTGTAAGGAAAATTCAGTGTAAATGATTTCAAAAGTGGTAAAACTATTTGGAATGATAAAGGTCATCATTATGGTGGCTGATTTGTGACATTCGTGTTTTCACCGCGACTCCGCCGAGCGGAAAGTCGAGAATAAAAAAGACGAAAAACGCATGTTTTCGCTCCGCGGCCCCGCCGTTTTATTTCTTTAATCTCATCCTGTGCCCGCGAGACGATGATTTATTAGTTTAACTTTTCCCTGCGCCTCCGCTTATTACCGTGCTTTCGTCCCGCCACCCCGCCATTTTATCTTGTTTATTCTCGACTTTTTCGCTTGGCTTATTGAATCTGTTTTCTCCAGTTTTTTTTGCCATATATAACGTTAATTAAAAAACAGAGCTTACGGCATTTGAAGAAAATCCGCATTATACTCAGTTATATTCAATTTGTAAAATTAATTGTCTCAATTAATTGAGAATTGAGTACCACTCAAGCCGGTGCTAGGGGGCGTGAGGGATGTTGCACTTATTCATTTATCCCTCATGTACAGACTCAATCAAACCGAATCTCCAATTCTTATGTTATTTTGTTGTGATTGATGCTTCCGAAGGATCACTTTGTTTCCAGAATTTAATAAAAAAACAAGAATGGCGACACATTAGCCACCATACATCACAGCTTTCAAAAGTCATTCAGGCCAGTATGTATCAATATATATGTAATAATATTTTGCAGTAAACTTCCGGAAGTATGCCGAAGACATGGGAGCTTCAGAGGCCATCATTGCCTGCATGTTGAAGATTGAACGAAATTTAAGTGTCCAGAACACTGGCTGTATGGCACTGACGAATCTGTCAGCAAATGGTAATTTTGTTTTTTTCATGGACACACACTTTGTGTCAATGTTTAACTGTTTACTCATTGTCCGAAATGCCTTTTTTATTGTTACTGTATCAAACGTATGAAAATATGTCCCTTGTGGTTAAGGGGTTGTCTTTAAGGACTGAGGCCTCAGAATTTTAGCCACTGTTTATCCCTGCTTCATCGTATGAGTTTGAATAACTGGCGTCTAAGCATTTTTCAGCTCCAGCCGGTGAGGTGCCATATAACTTAAATTGTGTTGGTGCGCTGTTAAACAAAAAAGTATAAAAATATACTTAATATTATTATGTTTATTTAAATGTGAACTCACATCGTATCAATCCATTTACATAGAAAATAAGTAATTAACATAATTATTTCTTACCGTAAAATCATTCGAACTTTGAACAGTTCCAGATAACAAGTTCCGGATCTTGAAGAATGGAGGTGTTCATGCAGTATTACAGGCTATGACAAACAACAGAGAAGATGAACCGTTGCAGCTGAATGCTCTCAAATTACTCTGTAATCTTATTGAATCTGGTAAGCCAAAATTTCCAGTTTTTTCCATATTAATTAGTTCTGTAATCGTCAAAACTTACGACATTTGATAAGAAAGTGCGTATTACGTGGTGTTATATTCAGTTTATGAATTATCTGAACTAAAATTGGCCTAATCGAAACATCATGTCCATACTTTTGAGAATATATTACAGTATTAGTTGTAAAGATTTTGACAAGTTATATGGTCCTTTATGAATGGTTGTTTGTAAATATAAACCAGGCGAGGTTTATATTGCAAACAAATGTTTATATACGGCCATATAACTTGTCAGAAATATCTGTAACGAATTTATAATATAGCAAGCATCATTTTTAGAGGAATAAATCGAGATTTCTTCATAAATCAGCAGCAGTCGTGTATATAAAACTTTATTACCCTTCCAGATTTTTCCGCTTTTTTGATTGGATATTTATCACCCGAAAGAAATTGATATGACCGAGCCAGACGGGAAATATACACACTGCATTACCCCGTTGGGTACACCAACTCTAAACAATATGCGCTATGGAGTACGGTTTGATTTTACGCGATGTAAATTCCGATTTGCAAGCACTTTTTAACTGTCAAATGATAAATATTTACCAAAATAGAGTAATCATACATATTCTCATCAGTATTGAAAAAAAATATGACCTTGAGAAAGCTTGATATTAATTCCAAAAAAGTGCGTTCAACAGACTGCTCCTTTTCTCTTGTGTTCGAAAGAATATATGTCATGAATTTATTTGACGTCATGTAGTGATGAAGGGGTACGCTAAAGGGCATCTTATTTCGACGTTTTATTTGAAGTAGCAATGATTTATTTTAAAAATGTCTTAACTCGGCAGGGGAAGGGTAATAAAATTATTATTTTGGTTTTGGAGCGATATATGTGGATATATTACCTGCTAAGATAAAATATCACCCTCGCCTAACGGCTCGGGTGATATAAAATCTTGACAGGTAATATATCCACATATATCACTCCAAAACCAAAATAACATATAATATAAACGTCACGATTATCCAATGAAAAGCGACGTTACAAACGTGCAATATTATAAAAAATATTTATCAGGATAAGAAACAAAAAACTCATTGTAGTTAAAATATCAATGCATAAGGCGGTAAAATGTCAATATTATATACCAATTATTCATAATTGTCAGTCACTTCATTTTCTATAAATGTATTTTATCAATTCAAAGTAAGCAGACATTTAAAATAACCGAAACATTTAATCATTTCGTTCAGTAACCTTCACATATTTTTCTTAATGTATGTTTTTTATCATTGATATTTCCTAAGTTTTAAAAATTCGTGTAGCATATTATGAAAATGAAGTTGCAAAACTATTTTGTCTTTTTTGCACCGTTACATTTTAACAGAATTTTTATTACAGACGAAGCATTAAGATCGAGCAATAAGTAATTTTTATTATGAATGACATATTAGATGTGTATGTGAGAAGTTAGCAGTTAACATTGAGCTAAGCAAAAAGGCATTACGATTTATATAGGGAAATCAATGATCTGCTGTTATGCTCAGCTGGGTAAGCAATCTAGCAGAGCATTCCAAAATAAAGTGTAGAAATGCTTTGCTGGTATGCTCAGCTGGGTAAGCAATCTAGCAGGCCATTACTAAATATAGTGTAAAAATGCTCTGCTGGTATGCTCAGCTGGCTAGGCAATCTAGCAGGGCATTCCTAAATATAGTGTAAAAAAACTCTGCTGTTATACTCAGCTGGCTAAGCAATCTAGCGGAGCATTCCAAAATATAGTATAAAAAGCTCTGCTGTTATGCTCAGCTGGCTAAGCAATCTAGCGGGGCATTCCAAAATATAGTGTAAAGATGCTCTGCTGTTATGCTCAGCTGGCTAAGCAATCTAGCGGGGCATTCCAAAATATAGTGTAAAAATGCTCTGCTGTTATGCTCAGCTGGCTAAGCAATCTAGCGGGGCATTCCAAAATATAGTGTAAACATGATCTGCTGGCAAGCTCAGCTGGCAAAGCAATCTAGCAGAGCGTTCCAAAATATAGTGCGAAAAATACTCTGCTGGTATGCTCAGCAAGCTTAGCAGTCTAGCAGGGCATTCCTAAATAAAGTGTTAAAAATGCTCAGCTGGCTAGGCAATCCAGCAAAGCATTCTGAAAATTAGTGTAAAAATGATCTGCCGGAATGCTGAGCTGTCTAGGCAAACTAGCAGGACATTCTTAAATAAAGTATAAATTTCGTTTGTCTACAACTGATTATTTGGCACTCGTAGACTTTCTGAAATATTTAGTGCCAATGCAGATAATGACATTTTTGACTTCTACGGGACCCTCAAGTGTCTATTTCTTTGGTCTCCGACTGATTCTTGGACGATCGCAGACTTTCAGGAATTTTTGGTATTAATGCAGAAAATGACATTTGTGAATTTATAGGACTATCCAGAGTCCATTTCGTTGGTCTGTAAATGTTTCTGGAACACTCGCAGACTTTCAGAAATTTTCGGTGCCAATGGAGATAATGACATTTTAACTTCAAAAGGACCCTCCTGAGTCTTTTTCGTTGGTCTGCGACTGATTCTGAGTCACTCGCAGACTTTCAGGAATTTTGGTGTCAATGCAGAAAATGATATTTCTGACTTATTGGGACCTTTCTGAATCCATTTTTTTGGTCTGCGACTGATTCTAAGGCACTCACAGACTTTCAGGAATTTTTGATGTCAAGGCAGATAATGACATTATTTACTTCTAGGGACCATCCAGGGTCCATTTTTTTGGTCTGCGACTTAATCTTGGACAGTCACAGACTTTCAGGAATTGTTGGTGCCAATAGAGATAATTACAATTTATGACATTTTTGACCATCCAGAGTCTTTTTCGTTGGTCTGCGACTGATTATAGGGCACTTGCAGACTTTCAGGAATTTTTGGTGCTAATGCAGATAATGACATTTTAGGGTAAAAATGCTCTGCTTATGACTAAGGGGTCCTTAAAAGTAAAAATGTCATGATCTGCAATGGCACTAAATATCCTGAAAGTCTGCGAGTCTCAAGGAATCAGTAGCAGACCCAAGAAATGTACTCTGGCGGTTCCCTAAATGTCAGAAATGTCATTATCTCCATTGGCATCAAAATTCCTGAAAGTCTGCAAGTGTCCCAAAATCAGTCGCAGACCAGCGAAATGAACTCTGGGATGTCGCTAGAAGTCAAAAATGTCATTATCTACATTGGCACCAGAGATTCCTGAAAGTCTGCGAATGTCCCAGATTCAGTCGCAGACCATAAAAATGGACTCTGGTGGGTCCCTAGAAGTAAAAATTGCCATCATCTCTATTGGCATCAAACTTTCCTGAAAGTCTGCGAGTGTCCAACAATACGCTGCAGGCCAATGAAATGGACTCTTAAAGGTCCCTAGAAGTCAAAAATATGAATATTTCCATTGGCACCAACCATTCCTGAAAGTCTGCGAGTGTCCAAGAATCAATGGCAGACGACCAAAATGGACTCTTGAGGGTCCCTAGAAGTCTTAATTGTCAATATCAGCATTGGCACCAAAATTCCTGAAAGTCTGCGAGTGTCCAAGAATCAATGGCAGACGACCAAAATGGACTCTTGAGGGTCCCTAGATATCTTAATTGTCAATATTAGTATTGGCACCAACATTCCTGAAAGTCTGCGAGTGTCCTTCAAAAAGTCGCAGGACAATGAAATAGTCTCTTAAAGGTCCTTAGAAGTCAAAAATATCATTATTTCTATTTGCACCGAAAATTCTTGAAAGTCTGCGAGTGCCTCAGAATTGCCTAGAAGTCGAAAATGTCAATAAAACCTTGGCAACAATAAATCCTGGAACTCAGAATCAGTCTGCCAACTGAGCATTCCACCAGAGCATTTTTTAACTATATTTCGGAATGCCTTGCTAGATTGCCTAGCCAGCTTAGCATTCCACCAGAGCATTTTTACACCTTATTTAGTAATGCCCTGCTAGATTGCCTAGCCAGCTTAGCATTCAAGCATAGCATTTTTACACTATATTTAGTAATGCCCTGCTAGATTGCCTAGCCAGCTTAGCATTCCAGAAAAGCATTTGTTCAATATATTTAGTAATGCTCTGCTAGATTGCCTAGCCAGCTTAGCATTCCGGCAGAGCATTTTTACACTGTATTTAGTAATGTCCTGCTAGATTGCCTAGCCAGCTTTGCATTCCAGAAAAGCATTTGTTCAATATATTACTAATGCTCTGCTAGATTGCCTAGCCAGCTGAGCATTCCAGCTGAGCATTTTTATGCCCCCATTTCGAAGAAAAGGGGATATATTGCTTTGCACTTGTCGGTCCGTCGGTCCGTCGGTCCGTAGACCAAATGGTTTCCGAGTGATAACTAAAGAACCCTTAGGCCTAGGAACTTCAAACTTGGTATGGTGATTGGTCATGACCAGTAGATGACCCCTATTGATTTTGGGGTCAAGGGGTCAAAGGTCAAGGTCACATTGACCTTGTAAGCAAAAACGGTTTCCGATCAATAACTAAAGAACCTTAAGGCCTAGGAACTTCAAACTTGGTATGGTGATCGGTCATGACCAGTAGATGACCCCTATTGATTTTGGAGTCAAGGGGTCAAAGGTCAAGGTCACATTGACCTTGTAAGCAAAAACGGTTTCCGATCAATAACTAAAGAACATTAAGGCCTACGAACTTCAAACTTGGTATGGTGATTGGTCATAATCAGTAGATGATCCCTATTGATTTTGGGGTCAAGGGGTCAAAGGTCAAGGTCACATTGATCTTGTAAGCAAAAACGGTTTCCTATCAATAACTAAAGAACATTAAGGCCTAGGAACTTCAAACTTGGTATGGTGATTGGTCATGATCAGTAGATGACCCCTATTGATTTTGGGGTCAAGGGGTCAAAGGTCAAGGTCACATTGACTTTGTAAGCAATAACGGTTTCAGATCAATAACTAAAGAACTTTTAAGGCCTAGGAACTTCAAAACTTGGTATGGTGATTGGTCATGATCAGTAGATGACCCTATTGATTTTGGGGTCAAGGGGTCAAAGGTCAAGGGTCACATTGACCTTTTGGGTAAAAACGGTTTCTGATCAATAACAAAAAACCCTTAGGCCTAGGAACTTCAAACTTGGTATGGTGATTGGTCATGACCAGCAGATGATCCCTATTGATTTTGGGGTCAAGGGGTCAAAGGTCAAGGTCACATTGACCTTGTAGGTAAAAACGATTTCCGATCAATAACGAAAGAACACCTTAATTAGGCCTAGGAACTTCAAACTTGGTATGGTGATTGGTCATGACCAGCAGATGACCCCTATTGATTTTGGGGTTAAGGGGTCAAAGGTCAAGGTCACATTGACTTTGTAGGTAAAAACGGTTTCCTATCAATAACGAAAGAACCCTTAGGCCTAAGGACTTCAAACTTGATATGGTGATTGGTCATGATCAGTAGATAACCCCTATTGATTTTGGGGTCAAGGGGGTCAAAAGTCAAGGTCACATTGACCTCTTTAGGTAAAAACGGTTTCTGATCAATAACTAAAGAACCCTTAGGCCTAGGAACTTCAAAATTTGGTATGGTGATTGGTCATGACCAGTAGATGACCCTATTGATATTGGGGTTAAGGGTCAAAGGGCAAGGTCACATTGACCTTGTAGGTAAAAATGCTTTCAAATCAATAACTTAAGAACCCTTTGGCCTAGGAACTTCAAACATGGTATGGTGATTGGTCATGACCAGCAGATGACTTATTGACTTTGGGGTCAAGGGGTCAAAGGTCAAGGTCACATTGACCTTGTATGTTAAAACGGTTTCCGATCAATTAACTAAAAATGCTAAGGCCTAGGAACTTCAAACTTTGTATGATGATTGGTTGTGACCAGCAGATGACCCCTATTGAGTTTTGGGTCAAGGGGTCAAAGGTTAAGGTCATGACCAGTAGATACTTGATAACCTTTATTAATTGTTTGATCACTGGGTCAGAAGTCATGCATAATAACCTTATCACATGACAAATTGGCTGCTGATAGGGGGCATACATGTTTTACAAACATATCTTGTTACATTGTATTTAGTAATGTCCTGCTAGATTGCTTACCCAGCTTAGCATTCCAGCAGAGCATTTTTACACTATATTTAGTAATGCCCTGCTAGATTGCCTAGCCAGCTTAGCATTCCAGAATAGCATTTGTTCAATATATTTAGTAATGCTCTGCTAGATTGCCTAGCCAGCTTAGCATTCCAGCAGAGCATTTTTACACTGTATTTAGTAATGTCCTGCTAGATTGCCTACCCAGCTTAGCATTCCAGCAGAGCATTTTTACACTGTATTTAGTAATGTCCTGCTAGATTGCCTACCCAGCTTAGCATTCCAGCAGAGCATTTTTACACTATATTAAGTAATGCTCTGGTAGATTGCCTAGCCAGCTTAGCATTCCAGCAGAGCATTTTTTCACTTTATTTAGGAATGCCCTGCTAGATTGCCTAGCCAGCTTAGCATTCCAGCAGAGCATTTTTACACTATATTAAGTAATGCCCTGCTAGATTGCCTAGCCAGCTTAGCATTCCAGAATAGCATTTGTACACTATATTTAGTAATGTCCTGCTAGATTGCCTAGCCAGCTTAGCATTACAGCAGAGCATTTTTACACTATATTTAGTAATGCCCTGCTAGATTGCCTAGCCAGCTTAGCTAGCCAGCTGAGCATTCCAGCAGAGCATTTTAACACTATATTTAGTAATGCACTGCTAGATTGCCTAGCCAGCTGAGCGTTCCAGCAGAGCATTTTTTCACTAAAGCTAGGAATGCTCTGCTAGATTGCCAAGACAGCTGAGTATTGCAGCAGAGCATTTTACACTATATTTAGGAATGCCCTGCTAGATGCCCAAAACAGCTGAGCATTACAGCAGATCATTACCTTCCCTATATAAATTGAAATGCCTTTTTGCTTAGCTCACTGTTCACTGCTAACTTCTCACATACATTAGATGCTCATTTTATTACATATTTACAGACAAAGGCTGTTGGTGGATTGCCGAGGAAAGCGGTATCCAAATTATCTCCATGACCTTGAAGTCTTACTGCCATTCTCCAGATATTCTCAACTTTGGATGCACATGCCTAGCAAACTTGCCGAGAAGAGGTATATTACCCCATATTGCCTTTGTCGTTGATTTCTGACCTAGCATTGTTCTTTAACTTGGCCATTTATTCATATATATGCTAATCTGTACATCATATGTATATGTGTATGATTTAAAGGTTAAGGAATGCAATAATTGTCCACATGTAAATTAATTAAGACATCTTTCTATCTTATGACACACCTTCAATCAGCAAATTGAGATGTATAATTAAGTTTAATAATATTATTGCATACATCTAATATACACACACTTTTATTAAAACCGAAATATTAAAACATTTTATAACACTTTTAACCCCTCTCCTTATTAAAATGTTCCAGTTTGTTAATTTATGCAAAAAAAATTATTAAGGTAAATATACAATTCGTAAAGAGTTCAACTTAAGTTTTTTCTTCGGAAAAAGATACATATGCATAATTTTGATACGATGGAGTCAAGAAAAATTGCGCATTAGGAAGTAAACGAAAAATTCTGTTTATATGCTATTACATTATGTAAGCGTCATTAACATTGTTATTTTAGCTACCCTAACCCTGACATTTGATGTTTATTCTTGACTAAAGACTGAACACGCAGATTAGAAAACATACATTTACGTATATATTCTTGCTACTGCACATCGTTGTTGCACGTTTTTTTTAATATGCGTGACTCAGGGCGGATTATAGAAACAGCAATGTGCAATGACGGCCCATGTAGTTTTATAATCGAAGCATATTGTCAAATGACATTACATTAACAGACAAGCAATGGTTTCTTTATAATATGTATAGCAAAACGCATACTTACTGATTCAGACATATACATTATACAAGAATAGCGCTAATGTACCTTTTTGTATTGATTAAATCTCTCGGCATGCGGGCTTCGGCATAAAATGCATCATTTTGCTTTTGCAGATGTATATTCTAAAATAATATCCATGGACCCTTTTCTATTCATCCGTTGTTCAGTATACATTTCGATTTTAAGCATTTAATATTTTGATAACTGGGCAATACCATTTTTTGTTAAATAGATTTGTCCGAAAGGGCATTTGAGACCGCTTATTAACGTGTCTTAAATGGTTCCATTGACTGGATTTCTGCATAGCGAATGGGTTGAAATATCGATATGATATATGGATGGTAAATTTATTACATTTTATCCAAATTGTAGGTATAAACGCAGTTGCTCTTGAAAGTGTGGAATCTATATTACTTTATCTCAGACTCTCCATATCTACTAGTGTAGAAGTTGCAAGGGCACTGGGTACCTTTTACGAAAACTCTCTTAAAGGAGGTAAGTATATCTAAAAAAAAACAATTGTATGAAATGCTTTATTGAAGAACATCATAATTTTGTACAAAGTATGACAATTTATTCTGTATAAGTGGAACTGATGTTTACAATCAATAAAACAATGTAATGGAAACACCGACTTTTTATCAGTTCATTTAAGCTACGTGGATTCCGATTAGGACTTTGGACCCCTTGGAATACTAGATGCAGTAGACTTTTATTATTTATTTCATTGCTTTGTATTCGCTACTTGAATTTTGAATTTAATAAGACCCCCCCCCCCAAAAAAAAAAAAAAAAAAAAAAAAAAAAAATAATGAAATAAAAAAAAAAATTAAAAAAAATAGAAAAAAAAATTAAATAAATAAATAAATAAAATAAATGGTCTGGAAGTAATGTAGACGGGATATTTACAGCTCTAATTTTAGCTATTTAAACATTTTATGTGCTGTAGCAATCTAACTTTTTATCTCTGAAAACCCACAAGATAATCGGGTGTTCATTTAATTTCAAAACAGCACATAAGTTTTGCTACAATTCATTTTTAGTTGGAAAAGTTAACATATGCATTTTAAAATCCACCAAGTATAGAATAAAACTATTATCAACAGCTCTGTTCAATATGTGAATTAGCTTTAACTTCCCGGCGCTTTTTGATGTTTTGTATCAATGCTTTTCTTGTACATCTTGCAATAAACGAGCTCCTACACTATGTATTAATTGAAACATTAATTACTTGTCTAGGTAAAGAATGCAAGAAACTTTTCAACAAGAATGCCATGGAGAAAATAATACGTGTAATGCAGGACTTTGATGACATTGATGTGCAGATCAGTGGTTGTAAAATCATTGCTCAGGTTGCTATAGGTAACGCTTTAATGTTTTTTCCCATTGGGCATTTATAAATAATTTGCCCCTACAATTTTCGATTAAAGAAGGACTTCTAGTAAAACAATGTATGTCATTCATTAAATATTGCTGAACATACATTTTTTTAGATCCCAACCAGCATTCATTTGAAAGAATGCATTGGTGTTTGGTGCAATAAGGAATTTCCATGTATCTGGTTCAAATTGAGACCTTGTTACTGAGTAGTTTTTACCACACCATTTAATTTAATCATATATTTTGATTTCTTCGAAATGCTTACAGATAAGTTGTACAGACTGTTAACTTTTTTATTATATCAGCAATGATATTTAAAATCCATTTTATACAAAATTTATATTTTTGATATTCTGAGCAACCCGTCTTATGTATACACTGCTTGTTCTATTAAATTTCATTTTAACCGCAAGTAATCCCGCTCATAATTGTGTAAGAGTCTTAATGCTGCACATGTACCACGTGGTAACTCAAAAAGCGGTAAACTACCAAGACACACTTACTTATATACATGTATATGTCAAAGCTTATTTGTTGCCCATTAAAACACGAAAAACAACGTAATTTGTCGGTTTTCATGAAGTAAATTTACTGTTTTTCCTACAGACAAGGATATTGAGCTTCTATCGAGAGAGGTTATGGTCGTTCTGTTATCAAAAATGAAGAAATATGAAGACAACAGTAACATACAACTGATATGTTCCGGAATAATCTCTTACCTATCAGCGTCAGGTAACTTGTTTTCTTGAACATTTCATAGATCATTTATGATCGTATGTGATATTTATGATATCTAATATCAAATTGTGAGATATCTTTACATGCATTTTCCTATATAATTTCATTCCCACCTTTCTTATCTGTCATTATCTACCATTTTTGATATGTACGACTCTCTTGTTTATTATCTGTGTCAACTATTTTCACATAGTATAAATTTGGTGAGATATTCTTATGATGTTTGCACATCTGTAATTATTTTCATAACATAACGGCTACACAAAGGTATCTAAATTATGTGGGGTATAATAAATGGATCATTATAGATTAAAGAAAATATAGATCAAACACTTAGTCTTAAAATTGTAGATCTATATTTTGTGTTGCATATCAGTTTAGATAAATTAACAAAGAAGCCTTTTTGTAGAAAAATCTTAGTTTACTTTTATATTTTTTGTAGAAAAATCTTAGTTTACTTTATATCTCATTACTTTGATATATGGACATTTTTTATGAAACCCCATGCATATACAATAACATGAATCTCTTTTTCCTCCGTCTTTAATTCAATTTTAAACAACTTTAAATCATTTTCATGATACCAACTTCTTCTGTTTTATATCATTGCTATTATGCCAAACTGTTTGCAAACGTGATAATATTTATTTTTAATATATATTTGTGTTTCTTTTACAAGAATTTCCTGTTGTTGTTTTTGAAACGTTTGATAACAATATAATTATTCTAATTTGATTTACACAATAAATGTAATGTCTTACGTATTTTATCATAATAAGTTCCTGTTATTTCAAGAACATCCTGTGGACAAAATAAAAAATTACCACTTTCACTTATTGATAAAATATTACGTATATGACAATAGCTTGTTCCTGTTTTGATCTTCATGTAAAAGGTGAACGACACTGAATTATAAGCTTCCGCTTCCGGTCCTTCACGACTATTTTTTTTTATTTTAATGCTTAAATAATAAAATTTGTTTCTCAGCAATTTGACTTTTATATTGATCTCTTCGCTTTAAGTTTAAATTTATGAAAAAAGGAACGAAATAGTCATTGAACATTAACGAGTACATACCTAAAATATGCCCGTGAACAGGTTCTTGATATCTTTTGGTTGCGTTTTACGTCACACCAATGCATGTCATAATGCAATTTTCCAGCTTGACTGATGGAATAAGACCTCAGGGGCCCCTTTGTGCATTATTTCAGGCACAAACGGGCACCTTAGAAGAACCTGCGACAACCGCAAGGTAGCTGGAAAGCTTCCTCACATGAACGATTCCAAAATTCCTGGAGGGATTTGAACCCATAACGGTTAGTGGTTAAATGGTTTGAAGTCAACGACCTTAACCAATCGGTCAAGGAAACCCCCTCCTGAATATTTAGAATGGGGAAAAATGTTTTTACATAGCAATGAAGCGAAAGGAAACAATATATCAGCCGCGCCATGACAAAACCAACATAATGCGTTTGCGACCAGCATGGATCCAGACCAGCCTGCACATCTGCGCAGTCTGATCGGCGTGCATGCTATTCGCTATCAGTTTCCCTACTTATTAAAAGGGTGTGTAAGCGAAAAACATGGATCCTGATCAGACCTCGCGGATGCGCAGGCTAGTCTTGATCCATGCTGGTCGCAAACGCATTAATTACGTTGGTTTTGTCATGGCGCAACTCATATACAAATACATATATATTCTAGAGAAGGGTCTGGAGACGTTACAGGAGATGTGTTGTATAGATGTGCTAATACAGACCATGAAAGCTCATTTACAAAATGCCGACATCATTGGAATCTGCCTGGTATCATTGGAAAACATCTGCAAAGCAGGTTAGCTATATACATGTACTAGTATATATGTTTTTTGAAGTGACACATAAACAGTAAGCTGGGATATTTCGTTAAATTTCGCGTACATTGATGCTGAATATCGCCAGTTGTAACACATCGTTTGTAAAGAAATATCAAAAGAAAGAATACGAAAGAAACCAAAAATTACCAAAATAATGAATAGAACTTGGTTATTTAGAGGTTCTCTTACATTTAATTTATTAACTGTTTATCCAGCTACTGTCTATATCATCAGCTGGATAAAGCCTTGCCGGATAAACTTATCTATCTCCAGTCATTACGTCATATCATGACGTCACATATTTAGCAGCAAAACAAAGCTGCATATAGATGCTATTTTATCGGGGAAAAGAAGAATGAAACCATTTAATTATTCTAAAAACATGATAAAAAGCAGGATAAATCAAATACATGGTTGATGTCGGGATGGAGAAGGTTTATCCGGTTTGCTGCGAAAGTGAATCTTGGCTCGCTAAAGCTCGCCAAGATACACTTTCTCGCTCACCGGATAAACCTTCTCCATCCCGACATCAACCATGTATTTTCTATATTAGTATTTAGAATTCAATTAATCGTGTATGGTAGAAACGAAATAACATATAAATTACACATTTGATAGATATTTTCGGGAAAACGTTGGTACTATTTAAGTTGTTATAAATAATATCAAACTTGAACTTGTACTGTTCACTTTCGACTCTGTCATGTTTTAAATATGTCAAAATGCACATGTGCTGAGAATACTGAGATTTTATAGTTACATTGAAAAAGTCATTTAAAACGGTCACTACTAGTATTGTTTCATGCAATCTCGGAATTTATTTAATGCAATAGACATCTTTATAATCTATTACGTGAAAGAATTTTTGGTGTTCTTGGTTGGATTTGAACCGTACCGTTAATAGACAAGTTATTCGAAATTAGAGCCTGCAACCACCCGGTTCCATCTAAATTCTACATGTAGTCATTTTCGTTTTAAAATATTGATTTCTGCTAAAGTCGCTTTTAGAGGAAACACATTTTAAAACCGTCTTTCATATCGATCCTGCAAACGTTAACAATTTTACCCTTTTTGCATTATTTATGGTTTCCATCTTTCTCTATATTTCTGATAATGATAGTATTTATCTACTGTATATGTACGTATATAAAGTTTTGTGTATGATAAAGATAATAAAAACAAACATTTTATATACATAACAGATTTAGTACGAGGGACAACCACTCAGAACGTGTGTGACGCAGTAGCTTTGTCAATGACAGCACATCCTAACGATAAAGAGATACAACTGGGCGCCTGTCATATTCTATCCATTATTGGAACAGGGTTTCATAAACAAAATGGTAAAACATATGAGCCGCGCCATGACAAAACCAACACAATGTGTTTGCGACCAGCATGGATCCAGACCAGCCTACGCATCCGCACAGTCTGATTAGGATCCATGCTGTCTGCTATCGGTTTCTCTTCTTGATATAAAGTTTGTAAGCGAACAGCATTGGTCCTGACCAGACTGCGCGGATTTGCAGGCTGATCTGCATCCATGCTGGTCGCAAACTAATTATATTGGTTTTGTCGTGACACGGCTCATATATTATTATTATTTAACAAACTTATATAGCGCCCTTTTCATTTACTCGTTCAAAGGCGCTTAACAGTGATATCAAATTGTTACTACATAACAACAGTATTATTAAAAAGATAGTAAGACAGATTTAAAACAATAGATTTACAACAAACATGTACTCAAAATAAGGACACAATTTAAATTATATAAAAGATTCATCTTCTTGTTAAGACCATTACTGGTCATTTTTCTTTTATTTTCCCTATTGGATACTTAGCAATTTAGTTGATTCATTTTGGACATTTTATTCATTTACTCATGTGTCTATCTTTAGCACATGATTGTTGATCTCACTGCAGCCAGATTATATAATAATGACCGAATAGTACAATAGAAAATATTATTCTAAGATATGTTATCTGCATTTTAATTTTATTATTTGACAGCAGTTACTGTCTGCAAGTCTAGAATAACTTGCATCTTCATTTTTTTTGGCCGTTCATTTCTATAAATATTAGGACATTTGAAGTCCCATGTCATATGAAATATGAAGCAGAATTAGGTGTGCTTGCATCTTTAATAATTGTTTGCATAAGTAAAATCAGTAGTTATATATATTATACATCCAAAAATAGGTTAGTAACGATTTTCAGGCCGTTTTATTTGCGTCAAAAGTATACCATTACATTTCAGAACTACGCCGCCAAAGTGTTGACTTTTTAGAGCCGTTGGCCTCCGTTGTGCATAGAAAAAGTGTAACTGAAGAAATTCTTCAGGTTGCGTCAGCAGCTATACATAGACTTAAGAAATTTACTGATGACGTCCTGGAGGACAGAAGCGATGTTTCCGAATGTAGTGAAGACATATCCCACGGAATTGAACTCCAAAGTACAAATTTGACAGCACCAAGGAATTCTCTGATAAGTGACGTTTCAACTGAAAAGTCAGATTCGACGTTAGATGAGGACTAGGTTGAAAGGGGATGGGCGGTGTTAATGTGGATGGTCGATGTTGATGTACATTGGTGGTGTCCATGTGCATGGGCGGTGTTCCTGTGCTTGGGTGGTGTTAATTAATAAAGTTGCTGATCTACAATCCAAATCAAATGAAAATAGTTTATTGCATTAGAACTCCCTTCAATTAGACGCCTTGCAATTTTTTAGAATTATTTTAAGAGGTAGATATTTGGATATCATCTACTATGTGGCAATACACTTATTTAAGGGCTCTTTGTTTGAAATAATTTCCAACATACACTGAGATTTTAGAAGAACCAACAGAATTTGACTTTTACACAATCAACCAATCATCATTCTAACACCAAACTATTTTTCATTTTGATTTCTGTATTATTTGTGTTGTATGGATGTTTTGTATTGTATTTTAGATGTATATGCGAGTTTAATTTTGGTCATACAAAACTATCATGGTCTTTTAAACATTGTTAAGAATTGCATCATAACATTTTGATTTTAGATAATCTGTAATGAAATATACTGTTTTAAGAATAGTAAATGTCTAAAACATACACAGACAATTATTTCAGATTTTCAAATTCAGTCTAAGTATTTGTTTTTTTTTAATTCAGTCTATGTATTGTATCTTGTGCAATTTTTTATCCAGTTGAAATATGATTTACTTAATTATATCATAAAAGATATTATCTATTCTTATACTTTTGATCAGGAAAGAGTAATGCACTATCTGTGTTTTAATTGTTCAGATGCATGTTTTACGCGGTGAAACCCTGCTTGCATATTTTAAGGAACTGGAATCTTTCCGCTAACGTTTCAATGCACGTCTTACCCTTAATTTTAACCAAAGTATTTTACGTACATGTATATTTATCAAAGATCTAAAATAAATTTTATTAAATTATTTAAGACTGATCTATGAAATTATTCGAACCGGGCGTTTTTCTGTCTTGTTTTATCCCGATCTTATCAGCATTTTTGGTCAAATCGTGGCGGTCGGTCGTCAAACCGGCTTTCTCGGACAACAAAACATTACTAACCAATTTTACAGCATTAGACTGACCATAAATCAGCGGTTAGAGATAAATGACCATTAGGGAAAAAATCTCTTCCGTCTAGGTTCGAACCAGCGATCCGTAGATTAAGAATCTCGGGCTATAATTACAGAAGGATTATAATTTGTCGTTTGTTTTAATTGCTTTCCTTGTTAAGCTAAACGGACAGACAACATCGAAATAATTTGTTAACATCAGTCAGAAGTTTAATGTTCGGTTTTAACTGAATCTTTTATTTTTTAAAACGTGTTTTATAATAACAAAATGAAATAGAGAAAAAAAAACGAATCCCTAAAGAAAGCCCAACATCACAAAATTGAAAATGTTGGAAGGATTGCAACTGTACAAATTTGGTGAAATCCGTCCAGTAGTTGAGGGCCAAGCGAAACCATTTTAACCATTGTTTAATCTAATTGATATTTATTTAGGTTGAACAATAATAGTTTTAACAAATCAATAGTAAAGTAATTATTATTGGTAATCATAATGAGTGTAAAGACGGCACCTGTAATTTTACATGAAATGAGTGTTGTCATTATTGAATTAGAATGATATAACATAAAATCAAACATTATTGTATACGTACTTAGCAATTTCATATCAATATTGTTGCAAATTCCCCCCATTTCTGATTGGTAGCCTACGGCTGGATGTTGCGTTCCGTGATCGCCGCTCTATTTTGATGATCTTTGTACTCGTATCGATGAATAGACAATTACAGCTCATGACAACACATTTGTATCTCTATTAATAAAATACTTCTTTTTATAACCGTATCAGTCATTGAGAATACGAGAGTGTGTATGTCATATACATTGTCACAAGTTTGAACCACAGCTTTAGATATATGTATGTGTATGTGTATACAGAGATTATCTAAATAAAGTCTCGACAGATATTGTATTTGTTGTTGATGTTTATTATGTAAACTGAATGAAAATTGATAACGCTATGTCATTATACGCAACCGGTACAGTTTCAGTCACAATGGTCTAGTTAAAATTTGGACTTGTTAAAGTTATTTAACAATACACATCATCTGATAATGCATATAAGGGGATAGTCTGTTGTTAACACAGGTGCTTTAAAAGTTAAGGTCCCGTCTATCAGGGTCAACTGTTAACTAGCATAAATGTTAGCCACGTTACAGCAATAAACAATTACCTTCGAGCTAGATAATCCGGCAAAGATAAGTAGCCATTATAAGATTTTTATAAGTACCCATTTATCTGCTTTTGATTTACCATTTAATTCATTCGATGCTACCGACATTGCAATTGCAAAATAATAGAAATTGCAAACAAGAGCACCGCTAGGCGGAGCATTATATGCCCGAAAGTGTTGTTTTTTAGTAAGGATGAAGCATTTGTAAGACATGGGAATAAGCTGTTCATCCTATCAAATTTTACAGATGTATGTTGATTAATACTTAAGTTATTAAAAATGACCTTAATCTTTGACCTTGTGACCCCAAAATCATTAGGGGTCTTCTACCTTATATGGACAATCATCCTAAGAAATTTGAATTTTGTGGGCCAAATGGAACTTTAGATATGCTCCGGAAACTGTTTTCAATTTTAAGGTAATAGTGATTTTGACCTTGTGACCCCATAATCAATAGGGGTCTTCTACCTAATATGGACAATCATCCTATGAAGTTTGAATAAAATGGGCCAAATAGAACTTATGTTATGTTCCAGAAACTGTTTTCAGTATTAAGGTAATTGTGAGCTTGACCTTTGACCTAGTGACCCCAATATCAATAGGGGTCTTTTGCCCAATATGAACAATCATCCAATGAAGTTTAAATATTGTGGGCCAAATTGAACTTAAGTTATGCTTTGGAAACTGTTTTCAGTATTAAAATAAAAGTTACCTTGACACATGACCATATTACCCCAAAATCAATAGGGGTCTTCTACCCAATATGGTCATTAATCTTATGAAGTTGGATTATTGTGGGCCAAATGGAACTTAAGTTATGCTCCGGAAACTGTTTTCATTATCAAGGTACTAGTGGCCTTGACCTTTGACCTTGTGGCCCAAAAATCAATAGGGGTCTTCTACCCATTATGGACAATCATCCTATGAAGTTTGAACATTGTGGATCAAATGGAACTTAGGTTATGCTCCAGAACCTGTTTTCAGTATCAAGGTAACAGAGACCTTGACCTTTAACTTTGTGACCCCAAAATCAATAGGGGTCTTCTGCCTAATATGGACAATCATCCTTTGAAGTTTGAACATTGTGGGTCAAATGTAACTTAAGTTATGATCCGGAAACTGTTTTCAGTATCAAGGAAATAGTGACCTTGATCTTTGACCTTTTGATCCCAAGATCAATAGAGGTCTTCTACCTAATATGGACAATCATTCAATGAAGTTTGAACATTTTGGGCCAAAAGGAACTTAAGTTATGTTCCGGAAACGAAATTGCTAACGGACGGAAACTGTTTTCAGTTTTAAGGTAATAGTGATCTTGAACTTTGACTTTTTGATCCCAAAATCAACAGGGGTCTTCTAACCAATATGAATAATCATCCTATGAAGTTTGAACATTGTGGGCCAAATAGAACTTAAGTTATGGTCCGGAAACCAAATTGCCAACAGACGGAACATTGCTAACGGATGGACAATGTTTGCTCCGGAAACTGTTTTCAGTATCAAAGTTATAGTGACCTTGACCTTTGACTTTTTGACCCCAAAATCAAAAGGTGCCTTCTACCCTATATGGACAATCATCCTATGAAGTTTGAACATTGTGGGCCAAATGGTTAATCTCCTGAAACCAAATTGCTAACATACAGAAACTGTTTTCAGTTTAAAGGTAAAAGTGACCTTGACCTTTGACCTTTTGACTCCAAAATCAATAGGGGTCTTTACCAAATATGGACAATCATCTCATGAAGTCTGAACAGTGTGGGCAAAACAGAACTTAAGTTATGCTCTGGAAATCAAATTGCTAACAGATGGAAAATTGCTAACGGACAGAAACTGTTTTTAGTTTTAAGGTAATAGTGACCTTGACCTTTGACTGTTTGACCCCAAAATAAATAGGGGTCTTCTACCCAATATGGACAATCATCCTAAGAAGTTTGAACACTGTTGAGCAAATAGAATTTAAGTTATGCTTCGGAAACCAAATTGTTTACGGACGGACGGACGGACAGACAGACGGACGCCAGGGGGTATCACATAATATGCCCTTTCGGGCATATAAAAAGGACCGTGTTATAGTTCTTTGGCATCTCTCTTTCCTTTGTCGCTTTTTGTAGTTAAAAGTGCAGCAAACATTAAGGGAGTTAATTGAAAAACAAGGTCGAGTGAAGTCTGGTTAATTCACTTTTTAAAGTAATCAACCGGTTCGTGCTTTGCCTTGTACCCTGTCCTGTCTTTGTTTGGTTGTCCTGCTGCGCTCCTTGCCATTGGTCCTATATTGCTGGATCGCATGGAGGTTGCCGCCCTTCCTTCGATGATTTTGTTTTTCATATTTTGTACTTCCCTGCTAGTCATCATTTCGAATAGTATTTCAGTTTGTCCAGGAAAAGAAATTTGCAGCAACTTTTATTTTGTTTGTTTTAGTTTAAATGCCGCCGACTTTATGGGGCGTGGACGGTAGTTTGCACTTGACAGTACCATCCATGAACAGACTCAATCAAACCGAGCCTGCAGCATTTTCAATTTTGCCTTGTTGGGCTTTCTAAAGGGATTCTTATTTTCTCTTTTTTAACACAAAAGTTGCTATAACTGGGCGGTCTGTCGTTTTTAATTTTTGTCATATCTCACAATACCTCCATTCATTGATACCTAACCAGTAATATCCATTTTCTCCGCGATTGATCGACAACATGTGTTGTTGCAATAAGTAACCAAATGGCTAACATGAGACAACAATCTTCTTTCCGACCATAATCGTTTTTTTTTCCTTTCTTTCATATTATTTTATCTTTTAAGTAGCAAATTTTTCTGTGCAAAACACAAATTGTACTCTTATCATAACGCATTACGTAGTGAAGTATACTCGAACTTATAACAAACTACATTCAGCCAGTGAATATGATACTTCACTCGGTGAACATGGTTTTATAAATAGTTCTGTTTACTTCTGTTTGGAGCTATATTTAGATCATTTTAATAATGACAGAGACTAAATTTACAGGTGGTCTTGAATGTGGATCATGTTTAATTGAAATAAAGAACAGAAAAATCAGTTCTTTTAAAAAGTGGTCTTAATAGCTGATTGGTCTGAATTCCGAGGTTGTTATTTAGTAGGTTTTCTGCCCTTCCCTGTTTTTGTCTGGGGTCCTCCTGGGCTCCTTGTTGCTGGGTCGGTGGGAGCTGCGTTCATTGAACGCCGCTTTTCCTTGATGATCTTGTTTATCATATTTTCTACTATATACATGATCGTTTTTTATGTTTCTATCCTCCTACCCGGTGGTCCATGGTTATCATGGCAGATGCATTCATTGAATGCCATCCTTCCTTGTTGATTATACTTATCATGTCTCCCAAAAACTTTAAGGAGAGCATAAGATTTTGCTTTCGCCGACTGTCCATTAATTCGCATTTAGCTTGTCCGACTGTCACATGTCAAACTGCAAGCGGGATTTCGGGGACACTGCTCAGGATCAGTGTACCTATCGCCAGAATGTTCTGTTCCGCTGCACAAAAAGGCCACCAAAGCTATTAATTGTCCGGCTTTTACGCGGGTATCCGACGAAACTTCACAAGATTTTTTTTATAACGAACCCTTGCTGTGCATATCTCCAGCGCGTTACCCTCTGCCGCAGTTTTGTATTTAAAAAAAATGAACATTCATATCAGCTTAGATTTAGACGAAATGACTTACTTTATTGTATGGCCACCAGAGCTAAAAATGAAAAAAAAAACAAAAAAAACAAAAAAACAAACAAAACAAACTTCTCCGACTTTCACAGGTTAAACTGCTGGCGGGATTTCAATAATTTTTATAGAATATAATAGCGATCAGTACCAAATCTTGTTGTGTGTATCTTTGCCACGTTCAGCTTTATTGTACAAAACTGCAGCAATAGCTTTAACCGGCTCTCACAATGTCAATTTGTTGGAACTTCAAAGAGTGATCAGAACCGACCCAAGTTGTGCGTAGGTACGTTCAGCTTTATGTCACAAAATGGCCGTCGGAGCTGAATATAGCAAAAACAGTCCGGCTTTCACAGGTCAAACTGCTGACGGGATTTGTACGGAACTCCACATGAGTGATCAGTACAAAGCCTAGTTGTGCATATCGCTGTAAGCTCCGCTTCGCTGCACAATATGGCTGCTAGAGCTGAACATAGAATAAAACCTTACCCAGCTTTAAAAGGTCCGACTGCAAGCAGGATTTCGACGGAGCTTCACAGAAGTGACCTGTACCTACTCTAAGATACTGGAACGCAGTTTTTACAATCTATTAAAGGTAAGGAGGAGAGAACACATGTGTCATCTTGACATTATTATTGTTTTTGCAGGATATATATGTACACAGTCATAGTTATATTGTATTTAGTTTAATTTAATTTCAATTTATTTACAGTTGCACTCATGACCAGTTTGTATAACTTACAAAAACATAAGCAAATCAAATGTGCAAACACATAAAAGAAATAGGTGCTTACACGATGTTCTATAGTTTCTATGTTTACAGTTTACGTCATACAGCAAATTTCTTATAAATTTGCAGTGTGCTTAATACACCATGATAGTTGTTTAAAAAAAAAATAGTAATGACACCTGATACTGATAATTATTGACGTAACTCATTAAGTGTAACTCAGATAGAAATACGTTTAATTTTTCACGCATTATTTATTTTGACTGTTTATTGTCGTACATGCACGATTTTATGCATTGCAAATAATTTGCATCAGTTGAGCAAGGATCGAACTCAGATTATTGTAGCTCCTCAGATCAAACACATGGTGACTATCAGTGGCTATGGCATTTAACTCCTTAAGGTTGATTCCTGAAAAAAGTAATACCAGAATAATACAGAAGAGGATGATGATAATACCGACCCAAAAACAAAACTGGCAATAATTTTCGTTGTTTATCACACACCCGTGCCGATTTTGCGACTCCGTAAATATGGTATTGCACGGTCATGCATATATTTTGACGTGACGTCATTAGCGTTATACAAACATAGTGTAATGACGCGCTAAAAACTATAGATGCGTCAATGACTCTTATTTCACTTAAACCGGTCTTTATTTTGGGTATGCGATAAATAGAATATTAAATTCGTGTAAGTTCAATACTGAATTTATTGCACGAGTTGAATAAAATTATATTATGCGAGCCTCTGAACGTACACTCATTCATTATCCTTTATATTTGATGTGTGTAACACGTGCTTTCTTTAAAAAAATAAATAAAATAACTTATATTACCTGTACCAATTACAATGCTAATCACGTCCTGACTGATCATGTGCAGTTTGTTAGCTTCACGTATCGTGTCTATGTGGTTGTTAGACTGACCATCTGTTAGAACTATGACAACATTCTCTGCTGATGGCCGATCACCCTTCTGTGACGTCAGAATCTGCGTGCGCACAGCCTCGATTGCCTCGCTTGTATGGGTCACGCCCCCATAGTAATGGACTTGGCTTATAGCATTCAAAAGACCGACCTTATTGTAATATTTGTTAAGGTACCAACCAACCTGTGCAATTATTATTATACAATTATTGACTAATGAGCCATTGAATATAATGTGATATTCACCGGCAGATGACATATTGACCGAGGTGATAGCTGAGTCAATAATTGTTTCATTATATGAATAGGCTAAGAAATAAAAAAAATCGCAAAAAGTACAACCTTATATACATGTACAAATTTTGCCTCGTTGAAGCGCGGGAACAAAAACGCACGTGTTAGGCGTGCAACAACTACGTGAACGCTTCGCATACAAAAATAATTCAAGTTTATACTCATCATCGCGGTGTAGCCTTTATGTATAATTGTAAAGTAATGATAATTTAATCGGGAACATGCCATAAAGAACAAAAAACAACAACTATTTTTTTAATTAACACGCGTTATTAACAGTCTACGGTGTATAATCATTGAATATGAGTCTCACTGCGAAAATCCAATTCAGCCAGTGAATATGATACAGCATCTAGTGGATATGATTTTATAAAAAGTTCTGTTGACTACTGTTTGGACCAATGAGATTGCAACTATTTAGATAAATATAATAACACAATTTACTTACTAATGTTAAAAGTGACAATAATTAGTTGGCCATTAAATTGCACAATTTTTAAGTTGATGTCATACAAGCTATACCATAAACACAAAATGCAGTCAATAAAAATTAAACTAAATTTATTTAGTAGTCTCTCTCCCTTGTTGCAAATCTAATTGATTTTAAAAATGATGCTTTCCTTGGTAATGTTACAATTTTATATATACAGAAAATCGTTTAAAGGCACATTATGCCTCAGAAATCAATATGTTTTGAAAATAACTTATGAAATATCAAACATGTGTGTAATAATGTTTGTAGAATTTTGACTTCCATGCAAAATATTAATCAAACAGAGCAAAAGAAACATAAAGAAAATGAATCTATGTTTAAATCATTATTTTCTGAAAATGTAAAAAAAAATCCAAAGATAAGTTTTTTTTTAGAAATAAAAATGATAACATTTTGAGGCATAATGTGCCTTTTATAATATTGTTAATAAGTTGAGTTATGAAAATCATTCAGTAATAAATATTTTTCTGTTTTTTTCCTGGAGAAAACTAAGCTTACCTGTGGATGTGTACTGTATGCAAGGAGTCCGACTTGTGCCTTTGTAGGCCCTACCTCTATCTGGTTCACAATACTTTTGACAAAATCAAGGGCATGTCTAAAATTGTTTGATCCGACACTTCCAGAATCATCCAGAACAAACACAATATCTCTATTACACCCTTGAATATTATATTTAAAAAATACGGTTAATAGGGTTGATAAATCAACGTTTTAAATGTATTAAAACACGATACACATCATGTAGATTCTTGAAAGCGCCCAATTTAACTAAAACATGACCAGTTTAGGATTTTGTCAGGTTATTCTTGACAAATCATATTTCATACAACGCATCTTACTCAAACCCTAAGTACCGCTAAAGGTGGCATTTGATAATAAATACTATCCTGATGATTTTTGTACTGAATTAACATCGATTTCAATTTTGAACAGATAGCAGATGAAACAGTAAATTTTCTTAATAATAAGATGGAAAATATGGCAAAAAATGACAAATAAAGACAAAACTGAAAAGATAAAAACATGCAAACTAAGCGTTAGAAATTCTGAGCCTGCAAAGCAAAAAAACATTCATCGTACCGTGAGGGAAGGGACCTGGTGATGTTGGAGAAACGGTTGTTGTTGTTGTTGTAATTTTCGTAGGATGATTACAGAAATCTGTGTCACAGCAATGGATTGTGACGTCACGTCTGACTCTGTCGTGTTCTTCTACGTCATCATCTGATTCCTCGTCAAATATAACATCACGCTTACCAAAGGCAAAGCCCAGAGTTAGACCGTCACATACCTATAAATAATTATACTTCATTCATTTTAGTACTATAACTTAGGAGAACAGAACAGAACAGGCACTTTATTAGACATTAGTATATCATCTTAATACATAAACATCAATGTTAAACATGTCACATATCTAGAACATATTACAAAAGTTTAATCAAATGCACTTTAACATATATTTACATATATAAATGTATAACAAAGACAGTAAGGTAATACGTATGCTACAGCGCATTGATCAGATCATACAAGTATCATTTATAAATGAATTTCGAATAAAAAATGCCCCTTTCTTGCACATATTTAAAAATATCGTTTATATATACTGTTTTTAAATTTCATGATTTGCTTACTTCTTCAAATATAAGTATTGAAGAAGTAAGCAAATCATGAAATTTAAAAACAGATGGATCGATAAGAACAAATTTATTGTTTTTTTTTTTAAATTATCTTAACAACCAACAGATCTAAAATAATAAATCAAATACAGTGCTTAGTAACCCACTTATAGAATTCCTATTTAATAAAGTAATATTTTTTATATAGGCATAAAAAAACAAAAAAAGGTTTGTTGATGGAATGGATTCTTTTATTTGTACATAGATTTACATAGTTGAGAAGTATATTGATTTACTAGTTGGTGTTGGGATTTACAGTGGCAATTAACCGTATATTGTTATTTATAGTTCACTCCGCCCCTTCCGGTACTTTTCATCTAATCAGAAAACTTTTAATCCGATTAGAATTATATATAAATTAAGTGAAGCGGTTGCACTAAATTTTCATATAATTCTAATTTATGAACTATAACCCATATATAACTGTCGGAAAATAAATATAGCGTTATCAAGACAATATTAATCCACCCACTAAGCTAGTCACATTTTAAGAAGTGAGAACCATCTCCAAATAGTGAAGCTAATTTTCATCAGTATTATTCCCAATCTTATATAGCATAAATATCAATGCTTGTCAAAACATATTATTCAGTGAAGGTTAGACGATTATTTAAATACAATATATAAAAGAAGACCAACCTCTTTCATCTCACACTGTGTGATATATTCATCGTGTCCATCTAATGCTTTAAGGTGTTTTGTCATACATGTCTGAAAAATGTTAAAACGGGGCCTCTCACATATGCAAACTAAACATACGTATTTAACATTGTTCTTGTTACATATGTCCGTATACATTTAAGAAACTTTGTCAATTTTCATAATTGTCATATCTTTTTTTTTTATAACAATCAATAGTAAGCGATGCATTTGTAAGATCTGACGAGGATGTTCCTTGTCACACAAACGCTTATAAGATCTTATTAAACACGGAAATTGGCGAAATCTTACGAGTTCAATCGAAAACTACGAACTACTACATTTAAAAAGCGTTTATGTATTATCGTTTGTTTACCTGGTTAGCAGCACATGATATTGTTGTATTGCAGTCATCAGGGTCAAGAACAGGAGTTCGACACGAGTAACATTCAAGAGCTTAAATATATTTCAATAATAAATCAATACAAGCAGTTGTAAACGTGAACACTACTCCTGTTATACTAAGGTCATCTTTCCAAGTTATTTCACTATGGTTATCAATTTAAACTAAATCCTTTGGATGACGATAAAAAATAAGGACAATTTTGTCTTATGTCATCTTATTTTAGAATTTTCTGGCTTGTTGAAATAAAAAACTTCCAGTTTGAAAATAAACAAGGCAGGATATTTAAAAAGGCGCTGCAGAAAAACACTTATCATCAATTTGAACAGACTGGAAAAGCAGCAACAACGTTTTGGTTAAAAAGTTTAAAATTAAATATTCTTACGACAATTGCCGCAAAATCGTTTGCACGTGCCCTGTGAGAATGTGGGGTCACTACAAAGGTCAGGCTTGGCTGTTTGGAAGAGCACACAAGCTTGTGTGTCCAGATCGGTACAACTACTAACTGGCTGACCAGTAACAATACCGCACACTGAAACTGTAAAATAAGTTATGTACCTTATGCCTTATGACTTTGTACTTGTGAAATTCAATAAGAGCATACCATCAGAATTATGTATTTTTAGTAAAAAAAAAACCCAACGCCTAATCGTATAGATTTTGAGCAACCGCCGGGCAGGGGCAACTCTCCATTTAATACCCCAGTTACACAGAGCCATCGGTGATTGATCGGTAGTTTCTTTAGCCAAATTATGGAGTGAACCGATGACAACGTATTTAACACCGATATCACCTTTTGGTCACCAGTTTTCCACCCATCAACTGCTATTGGGGAAAGATAAGTTCATCGGTAAAAAATTACCGATTGGGATTTTTAAACATGTTTAAAATTCTCCATCGTTGACAATATTTTACAAATAACCGACTGCAATCTATATCATGAGATATATAAGCATTTAATCACAGATATCGCCGATCGGACAAAGATGACCAAATATGAATCACCGGCCATATCTGAGGGAAAGTGTTTAACCACTGATGACCAGCTATCAACCACCAATTAATCAGCGTTACGCCCGATTTAGCTCCGATTTACAAACGATAAAAACCGATTGTATTTCAGCATTTTTATCACCGATCCAAACCCGTTTGAGTTTGCTTTCTGTCACCGATGGCCGTTTACACAGAAAACCAGAAATAAAATCACGCATGACAACCGATCATAGCAGCGAGTAAATTTAAAATTAAATGACCGATTAGGGACCGAACGTCTGTGTAACTGGTCCCTAATTAAAACGACACAATAGGTTTAAACAAATATTTTATATCTTTTAAAAAATAATGGAAAACATAGGTTTTCCTTTTTTTAAACTTTATAGGTATGTTTAGTCACATTTGTATAATAATAAAAATAATAATAATAAAGACTTGATTTAACGAGAGAACTCATTTGAACAAACATATCAATCTTCCATGAGGCCCTCAACAAGGAACAATATAAATTTAACATTTTCAAACTATTAAAATACATAAATGTAAAAACATACAGGAGATTATCAATTTGTATACATCAAAGAAGCATTTCCAATGTTCACTGTAACTTGAAAATTGATATATCAGCTGATATCAAACTTTAATTTTACATCTAAAACTGTGCACATGGTACAAATATCATTGGTGTAGGAAGAATAAGATAATTTCATTAATTTGACTTTAACGGTCAAGGTCTAGATCACATCTTAATAATTCAGTATACTTGCTTGGTAGCACGTCTTGTTTTATCCAAGTTTTTGTTTATATGGGATATTTATATATATGGGATATTATATGATTGAAACAAGCCTAAGTCATTCATTTGACATGTTCTTTAACGTTTCAAGAGTGTTCAAGAGTTCATTTTGACAACTATTGTGAAATGCTAGCGCTCTAACCTGACCCACGCGGGTGAAGTTAGGAAACCACCATTTTATTCTTTATATGGAGAAAGGTTTTGTTCCTTTGACTGTCTATAGTATTCATTTGAGGGCATTTACAGGAATTAAAAACTAAGAAATGAAAATTTTGCCTGTGTCTCCCTTTAATAATGCATTTATTAATTTTCAAGTTACAGTCAATTATAGCAGAAGTTAGAAAAAATAAATAAAAAAAAAAAACAAAAAACAAGCAATTATCATAGTATTGCAAGCAATCCATAAGTCCCCTACCGGTTAGGACCCCAGCAACATTCTGAAGGGCCATTGGCCATTCACTTATGTTTCTATTTTAAGTAAATTTATCGAAAAAGTTCTTTAAAAGTGATCACAGGAAACAGTTTTATGTACAGATAGACGGACTGAAGGACACTCTAAAGTTATTTTTTAACATCCCTGTTATCAAAATATAACATTTTTAAAAGCAAAATTTTTAAAAAGGAGATAACTCTTGAAATAAAGATGCAAGATGTCATACATGATGTGAGTGTAACAAAGAACAATTAGTAATGAAGGTATGAATAATAAATGTTTATTTTGAATTTGAAGTATATGAAAGTTAAAAGACAAATAGGAAAAATTAAAAGTTAAGGAGGAGATTATTCTGGAAATATGGATGCTAGATTTATAAACATTGTCATAACTATTATTAAGATGTGGGAGTTTGAAGAAAATCCTATCATGATTGAAGAAGTTGGAGTAAAAATTACCAATTTCTCAAAGTTCAAGTTCAAAAGGGGCATAATTCTGGAAATGGTCTTGCTAGAGTATTGAACTTTCATACAAAAGTTGAGTGATAACATTTATATGAAGATTGAGGTAGATACATTCAGAAAAAAAGAAGTTATTAACAAAAAAAAAACAAATTTTTTCATGAAAATTTTAAGTTCAAGGGAGGTAATTCTGATGAATTTTGTCCTAGAGTTGAAAACCTTGTCACATATGATGTGGTTGATGACTAGCAACTTATATTTAAAGTTTGAAGAAAAAAAATACCTTAAGAAATAAAGAACTTATAGTGAAAAAACTTAAAAACTAGAATCAGAAATCTGGAAATTCAGTCTATTTGTTGCCATAGCAACCAGAATTTCCAACATAGGAAGATAAGAAAAGGATGTTCATAATTTGCATACTGCAATTTACCCATATGTCAAGTTTCATAAAAATATTTTCAATACTTTTTTCGTTATCACTGGATCCAGGTTATGTGTAAAATTTGCCATGTTTTCAGTATATTTATTGCCATAGCAACCACAATTTTCAGTATAGGAATAAAAAGAAGAAAAAGACGTGCATAATTTCCATAATGCCATCTATCCATATATCAAGTTTCATAAAAAATATTTTCAGTACTTTTTGCGTTCTCGCGGGATCCAGTTTTGTGGACGGACGGACTGACGGACGGACGGACTGGTAGGGGACTAATTAGGTCAAGGTCATAATTGAGCCAAGGCATGAAGGTCTTATCTTATAGAATGCTCAATCATAGACATTTGACATTGAATGTCAAGGCAGTAACCACAAGTGAAATGTGATAATTTTTATTCCAATATTTTGATATAAATGTTCTGTTTATTTCTTACTTTTTCTCTTTTTAGCCTTGTGATAAGAAGGAATGCACCTTTAATATAGTCTACTGGCTGAATTCAAAAGAAAGTAGTCAGTCAGAACACCCGTGAAAATACGAAAAATATGCTTCATTGCGGTGAAAAATATTTTTACAGTGAAAATATACATTTTAATTCATCAGTATTTCAATTATAAGTATATAATAGAAATGTCATATTGAAGAAAAGTTGTAAATATATATTGCTCTGAATTATCGGAGATTACCGAAGAAGCAATGCCGATGGTAAATAAATTTAATATCGGAAACTTAATATATTAGTGCGTTTGGGAAATGAGTTGTTCTGAAAAACTGAAAATAAAAGTAAATGCATGCATGTAAGTAACAAACTGTTTTAATAGTATATTTTTTACAAATAGTTTTATTCTTTTTTTCTTAAGGTAAACAGGCTTAAATGAAGCAATTATAGTCACCTATTGCAAATCCAATTAGGGCAAACATTTCTATATGTTGTAAGTTTTCGCCTATTTCACTTATAAAAATGATAGATATATAAATCATGGACTGATAAGGTAGCTCTATTGACCTTCTTATCTCCTAGACCACGAACCAGTTCTCTATGGTAAACCAAAAAGGGAACATCTAAACCAAGGACGTGACGAGTGTTGAAACGAAAAAGAAACAACGTAATTTCCGTTAATCATATTCCGATTTCTTTAAACAAGATTATTACGACTTTTAAAGGGGGGGGGGGGTGTATACAAGAAAACGGTCAATTAATGTAAACGTTTAATTGAAGATACATGTATATACCTTTTAATTACTGACCTAATATCATCAGGGTTCTTTGATGACAAGTTACATTTTCTTTAAATGAATGAATGAATGAATGAAAGAATTAATGAATGAATGAATGAAAGAATGAATGAATGAATGAATGAATGAATGAATGAATGAATGACCGACCGACCGACCGAATGAACGAACAAACAAAAGAACGAACGAACAAACGAATGAATAAAAGAAAGAATTAATAAAAAAGTAAATAAATATATAAATAAATCATAGTCATCATAATGATAATTATTATTATCATTTTTCCTAATAGTCGTCCAAACAGCATGCTGTTAGCCTTAAGCTGCCCTTGACTTTTGACCAACTGATCCCAATGACCTAACTTGAATAAAGTCAAAACATAACCGGAATAAATGCAAACTGTAATTGCTGGGAACTGGTTTATAATGTATATGAATAAAGTTATTTTTTCAAATCTGTATTTCGTGTTAGATCTACTGGGATGATATTATACGTATAAGACTTGTTTTGGGTAACTCTCACATAAAAGTGATTTTTTTATATTTCAAGTGAATCAAATTGATGGATTTTTATATCAGCAGGTGGATATGTTTATCTACATATATGTATCACTCTACATTTACAGTGAATGCTCATTAGAGAAAATAGCATTTTTCTTGTGAACAATATACTTTGTCATCTTTGTTGAATTTCATTCAATATCTCAAATATAAAATATTACAACTATACGCAAATATACTTACTATAAAAAATCCGAGCACGATCAACAGAACTTTCGTCAGCTCTAAAATTACCAGTACATAATACGTATACAAACGACATTGTTATCGATATACAAGCTAATATTCGCCTATTTGCTGATGACACGAGTCTATATCTAATGGTATGTTCCTACCTCTGCTGCTACCACTCTTAACTCTGATCTCTCTACTATCTCCGACTGGGCCAAAACCTCGTTGGTAAAGTTCAATCCGAAAAAAACAGAATCTCTTATCTTGACTCGCAAAACTGGCAACCAAGTCCATCCGCCCTTAGAGATGAATGGTGAGACTATTCAAGAAGTTACTCATCATGAACATCTTGGTGTATTTTTCTCTTCTGATCTCAGATGGAATATTCATAAAAACTCTATAATTGAGAAAGCCTACAAGCGTATCAATGTAATGCGAAAGTTGAAATTTATCCTTGATCGTCATTCACTGGAAAACATTTATATGTCCTTCATTCGTCCTCTTTTAGAATACGGTGATATTAACTTTGATAACTGTACATCTCAAGAGAAGGAAACAATCGAAAAGGTTCAGTACGAGGCAGCTCGTATTGTAACGGGTGCAACCAAACTTGTCTTAATTTCCAAACTTATGTCCGAGGTAGGGTGGGAATCCCTTGAATCTCTTCGTAACCAACACAAACTTGTTTTTTTTTATAAAATGACCAAAAATCTTGCCCCTCCTTATCTTTCTGAAATGCTTCAAGTTTCCACCAATGAACAATCATATAACTTACGAAATCAAAACTATTACAGGGCTCCTAGGGCTCGTACCACGCTATATTATAATTCCTTCTTGCCATCCACAACTCGAGCCTTTAACAGTCTTCAAAGTGACGTTCGCAACTCTCCAACATTATCGTCATTTAAAAAGAGTTTATCTCCTAACATTCAAAAGCCACCGAAATATTTTTACCATTGCAAAAGAAAACTCCAGATTTTCCACACACGTCTGAGGACCAACTGTAGCTCTTTGGCTGAAGACCTTTTTTCTAAGAATATCATACCTTCGCCTCTTTGCGTCTGTGGACAAAGGGAAACAACTCGTCATTTTTTTCTCGACTGTCCTCCTTATAAAAACATAAGACCTCAGTTGATAAACTGTATAAGCACATACTGTCATGTTTCACTAAAAACGATCCTGTTTGGTAACACGACACTAACAGACTCGGATAATGAGAAAATATTCCTTGCAGTTCATAAATATATTGAAAAATCGAATCGCTTTGACTCTCCAATAATTTTCAACTATCATTAAGAGTTAATCACAGGTCATTTTTTCTGCTGTTTTTTTCTCCTTCTTTTTCTATCTCATTCTTCTTCCAATTTGAACTTATCAAACTATTATCATTATTAGTCTTATTTTGCATTTCTTTAAATAATTGATATATCTTATATTTATTTATTCATTTTCGATGCAAGTTGTAACACATCAGCCTTCTAAGTCAACAAACGACAATTTATTTCGCCTTATTTCGCACATATATTTATTGTACATTGGGAAAAGACTTCAATAAGCATTAGGTTGCTTCCAGTCTAATCCTTTTCTTGTTTTGATTGTAAATATCATGTATGTAAATATGCTTATGTGAGAAAGAATAAAATATGTTTAAACCATTACCAGTACAGTCAAATAAAAGATTAACACAGGTAAAGATAATTATGTAAACTGCAAGTATTACAATAAAAGTTATACAAATTTGATTTTATGAGATATTATCTTCGTTTGACTCTATAGCAGAGTAAGCAAGACCACTTGTTGATATGAAAGTGAATTCAGCTAGTAGGTTCGCTCTCCCGAATGACCTATTGCGACATCTATTACGCTCTATTACAATAATTAGTCAAACGCAAAATGGATGTGCAACATCTGTTTTACCTATGTAGTATTGAGTACTATAAATAGATATGAAGAAATTTCTATTTATCGTGCTGGATTATATACGTACCTTGTGTTTACCTTGAAGACATTGCTCATGAAGGAAAACATATACCAAATGAAAACCGGTAATGCTAAATGACCAAACTGAGATTAAAGTAACTGTTTCCATTTCACATGTTCAATCACCACGTGATAAAAAAATAATTCAGTTTGGGCAAAAATATCCCTTAAAGGTTTTTAAGGACATCTATATCACTTCCTTCTATAAACCTAACGAGAAGGATGAGATACCCCTCAATGCACTTTGGTCATCCATAAAAAGATCCCCCAAAAATAGTATTGTCTGGGTGCTTGGGGACTTCAATATGCCAAGCATATCAAAATGGAACTCATAACATTTTAAACCTTTACACTAAGATATACGCCTCGACTAAATAAACTAAATGAATTCATTGCTTTTGTAATTAATATGTGAGTACCTCTCCTCTATAGGGAAAAGGAAAGTAATACTCAAAGAAATAAACTAAATGACTCAATAACATTTGATAATTACTTACGTTGTTTAGAATTTTCATTGCTCATTCTCGTACATCATGATGAGTTTTACGACGTATTCTTAATTTTAAAAACCGTTTACCAAGATGATTTTGTTGATTGATATGTAAACTAGTAGCCATATTATATTAACATCCATTATTGTTGTGACTGAATCCTTTAACAAATGCCCTGTTGTGTAGTAATCTTCTTTACCAGATTTTAAGAAACATAATATTGTAATGACGGCATAAACTATTTACACGTGGCATGACTTTAGATATTTACTGCGAACGAAAATGCTAGAATTTTAATGTTTGTATTCAGATTGTACAATTAACATGTACTGTTGATGAGAAGTAAACCATTCCAAACTATTTTTGAATCAAAATTTTAGAGTAGACGCATAATAGAGTAGATAAACGTACATGACACTGTTCGAAAATATATAAAACTTATATAGTGAGTTAAACAACTTGGTATTGATAATGATGGTGGCTAGATGTTATAACTAGTGTAACTGATATTACATATTAGCGTTAGTTATGTTTAAATCAAACAGTTCACGAGAATGATATTGTCGACATTATACTGTTTGTTTACGACATGGCCATTGTCAACTAAAATTATTTAGATATTCAAAAATTATTTAAATAATTAAAATAATATTGAAATCATAATTTTCCATATGAAGATAATGTTCATCATAAGTATTTTTGAATATTTATGTAGTTAATGTTGATGGTGATATTGATGGTGATGAATGTGATAAAAAGGAGTTTACGAAGAGGTGATGATGGTAATAAAGCTAATGCTAACCATGCTTCTGTTTAACATGGTGATGTGTATTTATACTTGGAATACGTTTTTCTTTCATCAGATCAGTGTTACAGTATATCATGTACTTTTTACAATATTTTCAAAACTATTACAAATGAATTGACAGCTTAATATAATAATCGCTAATTATACTAATCATGATATCTACAGACTATTGTGTGGTCTTACAAATGCTAGTAGTAATATTTTGTACATTTGAGATACAGCAGCTTCTTAAAATTCTTCTTAAAAACGAACATTTTCAGTCTTTGTAAGAGCTACCATTAAAGAATAACTTAAAAACATAATATTGTAACAAAGGACTTTGAGTGATAAATAATTGATATTCCAAGGCTTAGATCCGGCATAAGTTATCGCTGCAAGAAAGGAATGTTAATTTTGTTTGTCATGTATTGCATGCTAGTCAGAAATTGAAACTGCTACTTGTAAATGTTTTCTAAATATTTGGAATGCTGTCTTACCATGGCTTTGCTTATCATGTTTAGTCTTGTTTTCGAGCTGTAGAACAACAGTCTGAAGCTATCGTTTTCAGAGGACAGAATTCTCGAATTTATCATGAAAGCAACTTAACGAACGAAACTTTACTATCCAATAACTTGGTAATTTTGTAAAACTATAATATTTTGTTTTGCTTTCCTACATATAAATGATATATTTAAAGGTTAATGCGCTCATAAAAATGTAAACTAATTTAAGATAAAAATCTGCGTAAAATATAAAAAAGACTGCCTCACTCACAAATTCCTCGAAACAGGTAAATTCAGATGGATTGTAACGAAATTTTATACTATTGTGAGTTATAAATCGTTCAAGCGAATAAAATTGTAAATTGATGGAATTATGACAAAATTTGACTTATTTTGAGTTTCATCTGGCCACTCACTTTGGTTGCGTAAAATTTTGTTAAAGGATTAAATCTTGTCCATATAAAGATAAATAATAAATAGCATAACAAACTCAGACTACATGCGGCTGGTGTGTGCCTATTTAGGAGAGAAAGGTTAACTACTTTAAATTTGGACCGTTTCAGGTATAAATCCTTTGTTTTCCATATGAAACAAAACATCACTGACAAAACTAAGAAAATGAGTAAATATCCAAAAGTTCTATCGTTCGCGTGTATGTGAACTTTTCATGGACATTTTGAAAGCTATTGTTTATTGTATATCTTTATTTCATAGTGCTCGGTTACGCCGCATATAGTACTCAACAAACATATAACCCTTAAGAAAGCACTATTTGCCGACATCTTACTACAACTACAACGAATATAGTTCCAATCAGAGGGGCGCTGTATAATTCCAAATGCCCTATCGACACCACAATGATCCTCATCATCATCAAAATCATTTTTAGCTCGACTATACGAAGTATATGGAGAGCTGTCCTACTCGCCCCGGCGTCGGCGTCGGCGTCGGCGTCCGCGTCCGCGTCCAGATTTTAGATTAAAGTTTTGGTGCAGTAAAATATTTTTCACTATAACTTTGTCATTTCTTAAGGTATCAACTTCAAACTTCAAATATATGTTCCTTATCATCATCCCCATGTTATGTGACAAGGTTCATAACTCTAGCACCAATATTTTCAGATTTATCTCCCCTTGAACTTAGAATTTTCCTCAAAAAATACTATTTCTTACTGTTTCTTCTTTATTTCTTAAGGGATCAACCTCATACTTCAAATATATTTACGTTATCATCATCCCCATCTTATGTGACAAGGTTCATAACTCTAGCACCAATATTTTCAGATTTATCTCCCCTTGAACTTAGAATTTTCCTCAAAAAATACTATTTCTTACTGTTTCTTCTTTATTTCTTAAGGGATCAACCTCATACTTCAAATATATTTACGTTATCATCATCCTCATATTATGTGACAAGGTTCATAACTCTAGCACCAATATTTTCAGATTTATCTCCCCTTGAACTTAGAATTTTCCTCAAAAAATACTATTTCTTACTGTTTCTACTTTATTTCTTAAGGGATCAACCTCATACTTCAAATATATTTACGTTATCATCATCCCCATCTTATGTGACAAGGTTCATAACTCTAGCACCAATATTTTCAGATTTATCTCCCTTTGAACTTAGAATTTTCCATAAAAAATATTATTTTTGACTGTAACTTATTTATTTCTAAAGCGATCAACTTCATACTTCAAATGTATTTACGTTATCATAATCCACATCTTATGTGACAAGGTTCATAACTCTAGCACCAATATTGCAAGAATTATCTCCCCATAAACTTAGATTTATTTACTAGAAAAATGTTATTTTTTATTTTAACTTTTTTATTTTTAAAGGTATCTACCTCAAACTTCAAACACTTATTCCTTATCATCAATTACATTTTATGTGACAATGTTCATAACTCTTGAAGCAATATTTACAGATTTATCTCTCTTTGAACTTAGGTTTTCTTAAAGAAATATAATAACTTCTTTATTTTTTAAGGTATCTACTTCAAACTTCAAATATATATTTCTTATCATTACACAAATGTTGTGTGGTAAGGTCCATAACTCTAGCATGACTATTTCTAAAATTATTCCCCTTGATCTTGGAATTTATGTTAACAAATGTTATTTTTTTACTATAACTTAATACATAATTATACATAATTGATTTTTCTGTCATAGTTTTGTCCTCCTTACTGCGTCCAGTATTTTATTAGTCGAGCTTCGCTGTCTTCTGTGACAGCTCTTGTTGATATGGTAATCAACAACATTAGCTTATCATAATCAGTGAGTCACTATCAACTATCAACATAATTATCATCATTATCAATAGTACATAGATCTAATCGTTGTCTAAAAGTCATTGACTTGAGTTACTCAGACCCTTCTGAACGGCAAAATATTTTTACATCCAAAGTTATATAATGGGATACTATTTGTTCTTGGTGGTAATATCGCTTCTACGGCATAGAATGGAGATACTGTCTGTTTAAGTAACACTAGTGAAGGCTCTGCATAACAGTTTACTGTTTGCAATTGCAACATTGACTTTGCAATGAAATAACGATCAATTTTCATCATTAAACAAGCATTGTTAAAACTTCTTCATGGAAATGATTTTCGCAAGTATAGGCAGACTTAATACCTCGGCCAAAGGTTTTAAAGAGACTCCTTTAGACTTACAAAACACATTCAATGTGATGATAATTCGGCACATCATTCTACTCGAGATGACAAATTGCTGCAGTGATGACAGAGATATTATACTTAGTGATTATTACAAGTAGGTTATAAATTTGATCGAAACACTTCAGATAACAAGATTAAAACAATCACATTGCTGCTATGAACTTTTGATTACTTATTGTAGACACTAAGACGTAATTTTTCGACTTACAAGAAAAATGAACGTTTAGAATTTTCCTAAAAAATGATTTCTTTTGAGAGAATTCATGTTCTAATTCAATAAAAAGACAAAAAATTAATTTTTCACTGAAAAGTATTTAAAAGTAATTGACGTAAAGATATGTTACATTGAAGAACGTCATTTCAGCGAGATAAGAGATAACATGATGTTGAATATAACAACACATAAATAACAACACAATTACACAAGACCACGCCTCTACGTGGGAAACATGACAAGTAATTTGTCCCTGGCATATTGTATGACAATTGTGCGCAAACTGGTCGTAGTTTTCACAGAAACAAAAGAAAATGTGACAAAAGCGGCAAGGCAAAGTAATAATCATTGTCATTAGACCAAACTTATAATAAATATGGTGTACCGGTATTCTTTATCAGCTTCGATTTCCTATATATATATCCTTTTTGAAAAACGAAATAAGTGTATCAACCTAAGGTCGCAATCACGTTACATTTTTAATGATTAGAATAGCGTTTCAGGCGCGTGTCGTCATTTTTGACAAAATAATGAGCTTATATATCAGTAAAAAAGTTTAATACTGTTCGAATCAGGACATATACCATGTATACTGTACGTTTATCTACTCTAAAATTTGCGTTAAACTTTTTATGATTGCTAAGCACGTTGTTTAGTAAACTATGTATTACTTGTACATTTTCTCTGTACAATCTGAATACAAAGATTTAAGTTCAAACATTAAATTATTTATATGCTTACATAAAGATTGTGCAAAATATTTTGTGTTTCAATGCTCTCGGTCGCTGCAAATATCAAGAGTCTTGGCACGTGTAAATATTTTATGAAGTCATTACAATATTACATTTCTTAGAATGTATTGCAAGATTGCTACAACTGTTCATTTGTACTGCCGAACGACAACAAGAACCATGGATGTTTATATTATTTGGCTTCTTGTTCACATGTCAATCAACAATATCATCTTGGCAAACGGTTTTAAGATTAAGACGACGATGTTTCGAATACGTCGTAGTAAACAACATGATGTACGTAAATGTGCAATGGAAATTCTAAACAACGTAAGTAATTCAACGAATATTATTTAATCACTTATTTTATTTTTATAATGATAACTTTCTCTTTCCCTATGGAGAACCTGTGTAAGCATAATAGAATTATTATCTTGAATTTTTTAAATCTTGTCTTAAAAATCCCAATTTTATCTGAATGAGAAGCGGCCAGTTGACTTTACTTAGTATACCTGTAGCTCAGTAGTGTTTAAAACAAAAACGATAAATTAATTTAGTCGCAGCATATACGTGCTGGTAAAAATTCTAAATTTATCAATATTCAATTCAAATCAAATTGTATTGTGCATACTTAACATAATTGTATAAGTCACCTGAAATGTGATATACACCAAACAAAACAAATATTAATGTTTATTTAAAATTCTTGAATTGTTTGTTTCTAAAACACTTTATCTACAAATTTACAATTGTAGTATTCTACTTTTATTTCCCTACGCCATGATGTTATATAACTTATTTAAAGTTGAAAAAGATACATGCATTATAAAAAGATTTTCTTAGTTTTGAAAATAACGGACACTATAATAAAAAGTGTTATTCTGATTAGACATTTTAATACGAGCATAATTTACTTAAAGAACTACCTTAAGTATGTTCTTGTAAATATTAGACCGTGCGAAAATAATACAAATGCTGTATTAAAAGTGTAAATAAATGACACTGTTAGCACAAATGACATTGTTAATCTCAACACTGGACCATCCGAGGTATGTTCCTTCCAAATATGAAAAATATCGGTCTATAAATAAAAGCTGTATAAGCAAAAGTAAAAAAATATAAATCTTTTTTTGGCACCCCTGATCTCGATCAACTGACCCTTTATTTAATCCAAAGGAAGAAAAACATGCATGATACATTCCTACCAAATATGAAGACATCAATCAATAAATAAAGGCTGAATGAAACAGGTGACCTTAATCCAATTGACCCCTTACTCAATCCAAAGGGTAATGATCGTGCAATTTATCATCCTTTCAAATATAAAAAATCTTTTCGCAAAAAATAAACTTAAGGCTGTATAAATAAAAATTGGAGATTTTTTTTCTTACACAGTTATCTTGACCAACTGATCGTTAACTCAATCAAAACTGACCCCGAACTCTTCTTGCCAAATATAAAAGACATCTATGAATACATAAAGGCTGCATTGCAAACGTAAAAAAATATTTTTAGCACAAGTGACCATGACCAACTGTCCCCTAACTCCACCGAAAGGAAGAAGATTTTATGTTCTAACAAACATATTTATAAGGCATCAGTAAATAGATTATGGTAACACCTGTAAAAGTGTAAAAATCTATTTTCAACATTGGTGACATTGATCTTGACCAAAATGACCCATAACTGAACATAAATGAAGAGGACCTCCCTAGTAATATCCATATTAAATTAAAAATAATGCTATATGAGTAAAAGTGTCTAAATATTTTTTTTTCAAATACAATATGCTTAACCCCAGTGAACCCTTACTCCACAAAATCAAGAGGACCATTGAAGCTATTTTTTACCACACACGAAAGAAATCATTAAATAAACGACGTTATTAGGAGAACTTGAAGATTAAGATATTAAGTCAAACTTGATAGACTAATCATATAAAACCCGATTTTTAAAGTAATAAAAAAGGAAAATAACTGGGGAAAATGAATAGCACAGTTTTATACTTATCAATATCATGTATTTTGAATTCATAAGTAAGTGTGGACTTGACTTTACGAAGCCGTTAGTATAGATAGAACTTAAAAAATATCCAACTTGCCGGTCCTTCGGGATCTTTGATACCAGCACTATTAAGTTTTGAGAATTGAGTACCGCTCGAGCCGCTGCAAGATGGCGTGAGGGATGTTGCACTATTAATTATCCCTCATGTACAGACTCAATTAAACCGAGTCTGCAATTATCATGTAATTTTGTTGTAATTAATGCTACCGAGGGATCAATTTGTTTCCAGACTTGTTTTAAGTAAACCATATTCATTTAGAAAGTGCTAAAAAGGGTAATAACTTTAAAACAATCGAATCCATGGTTATGTAACTTGCCCATATAATGTACCATGTATTGTTAAATGTGTAAATAATGAATCAATTGGAACAGGTACATGTTAAGATAAAACCCAACTTGACGTTGAAGGTTATCCTCGTACGGCCGAACGGACGGTTTAATTACTATATGCCCGAGACACACATAATGCATTTTATCATTATTTTGAAAGACTTTATATAAAAGATATCAAGTACCTCTAAGTTAGTGATAAAACAAAAAAATACCTAGGCTTTAATTTATGCATATGCACAGGATGATACACAATTGAGTTTGAATTCATTCTTTTCCATTGTGGTCAAGGATAAAACTGACTTGTCCTACCAAGGCACAATAACTTTGTTTTACAAATTTATTAATCCAGGAGTAAGAGTAAGAATAAAACTTATGTATTCATTTTTAATACGATATAACATCATAGAAAGGGCCTACTTCACTCTAGTTAAAAAATGTCGATTTTTTTACAGAAATCTTGACCTATTGCAGATTGGTCGTTTTTTTCATTTTCTATATATCCTGTGGTACTTTATTCCCAGGAAGCAACTATTGTAGATAATGACATTTTACCAAACGCCTTTTAAAAAAATTGTAAAATTCTTACAATAATCAATTGAAACAATTAAATAGGGAGACTCGTAAAAGAAAATAGAAAAGCATAATCATTCCTAGCCCGATTTGAGTGAAAAGCGTTTAAAGGGTTTTCAAATAAAATGACGTTTGTGGAATAACGGGGAGAGCTAATGATCTGAAAATGTGCACAAGTTAGCGGTCTAGACATAGATAAAATGGTACACAAATATTTGAAAAAATTTTAAGTCCCGTCAAGTCAAAACGCCTCAGTGGAGTCTCTTTAAGACTTTTTCCTACATTCGTTACAAAAATATTAGTTGATTTTTTTGTTTTGGTTTTTACTTTTACGCTTTATTGGTTTTTACTTTTACGCGTGCAATATCTTTTTCGCCAAGTCATGAATTTATATCTAAACTGTATGAATATCCTTTATTATTTTATGCTTTTCAGTTGATTACTGATTTATCCTCGAAAATTATATTTGATAATTTCACAGTGATCATAAACAAAATATAATTTCACACTTTTCAATGACGAAACTATTTTTTCAAGATTTCCCCATGTGGTACCTCAATTTTATTTTTGCTGACAATTCTGTCAATGTCAGGCTGTTTAAAGAAAAAGCAAAGCTCAAAATGATAAATAACTTAATTTTCAATAGTAATATAAAAGAAAACTTACTTCTATTCATTTAAATTCCAGTCATCAAATTTCGTCTCTAAATTTTTTGTTTCATTTTTAAAGTCAGAAAAATACATTCCTTCCACATGCAAAACTGCTCTTGATGACATTTGGGCATATTAAAGTATCATACGAGCAATAATTGCCGTATGCTTTATGAAAAATTGAAAAGCAATGACAGCCATCAGCACGAATAATAAGTAAACAACCCAGCGTTCCTGAGCCAGCTTCCAAATTTTCCATTTTCCTAGCTGCTTTTTGAATGTTTACACATCTGTCAATACTTATGTTTTGTCTGTTAGAATCCTCAAATAAGTTTTCTTTCTTTTAAAAATGTGTATGATTAACAAATTCAAATGATATCCCTCTGAATCAAACACAATTATTTGCCTCCCGTGAAATACACAACTTTACACAACTTTAAAAATGGCTGTCGCTTACATTTAACAAAGCCAGGTCTAATATAAATTCGAAGTAAGTAACAGAAATATGGATGGATGGTTGAACTTTTTCTCCTACACGAATTATTTGTTTTTATTATTAAAACAAGCGATCATTCATATATTTTTAATAAAATGAATAATATCACCGTCATTTAACGTTGATTGTCGAACATGTTTTTTTAGCTCAAGACATATTGCATTTAATTAGAAATTCCAACTAAATGGGGCTCTCAATGGTGAAAACAAATTTTAACATTAACGTTAATATTATTGAAATTTCATTTTAACTTGTTTTCAAGCATAAAATAAAAAGAAAATGTGTTTGTTTGTTGTGTAAGATGTAATTTTATTTCATCTCGTGAACTTTAAAAACAGTATTCTCACTCGTGAGAGTAAGTCTAATTAAAGAATAATTAGTCTAAAGTTGGACTAAGTCAAAAGACATTCAATTGAAACATATAATCAAATCATCTTTCCAATTTTAACAAATAATTGATGGGGCTTTGAAAATAATCATATAATAGAAAGGGCACATACAAATTTTCTAAAACAAATGACTAAAATTAGAATGATTAGGTATTAGGCCAAAATGTTAAGAAGTAAAATGACACGTTTTCCTCGTACTTAATTTATTCAATTCATAGACATTCATAGTAAACAACTACATAGGTTAACTTTGTTAAGGTATATATTGTTTTATAGTGTTCTGTTGTTGTTTACATGGGCACATTTCATTGCCGCCCTATCTTTATCACCTGTTAATGCATTGTTTGAAACCTTATTTTCTGTTATGTTACTCTGTATATGAATGTGCCTGACATTAATCAAAGTTCATGTTATAGTTGTTGATAGCATAAAGTGCGCTCTTTGCAATATACTTTACCAGGAAAAAAAAAAAAAAAATTTACACGTTAATAAGAGATTTTATTAACTATACAGGAAACCAGTGTTGCTGGTCTGATCTCTGATCTTACTGGAAAATGCGAGAAACTCAAGAGGTCACCGGATGAGCAGCAAACTTTGGAACCAGGCTACGGATACGTGGAAAAAATGAACTTCAAAGAAATATTTCAACCACCGGTATGTTTCATGCGTGTCTTCATTCAACACTGATCAAATGTTTATTTATATTTCTTGTTAAGCCGTAGACACAAAAGAATTAATAGGATAGTCATACTGGTATAATATTTCTTGTTATTGTATATACCTATTATTGTTGTAACGATGTACGAATATGTGATTTTATCTGATCATACATTAATTACAATTCAAAGAGGAAAACATCTCGCACGTTCACGTTCTATGTAGGGTCAAAACAAATTAGATGTTATAACTGTAATAATCAGTTCAGTTAAAGTTAAATAATTTTTGACCTTCCTAAGCTTTGAACTACTTTTTGGAAACTTCTAAGGGATGCAATGATACTGAAGCAATCTAGACAATTTTGATATTTATCTCTAAAATACTTGACTGATCAAAAATAGTAGAATATAACGACCGTTTTGTAACCTATATCACATTTACGTAAATAGTTTAGGTCAAGAAGGTCTGGATTATATAAATTTATTGTTGGTGGATATATTCAATGATTCATTTAATTAACCGACAATAAGTTACTCACATCTGTATTGTGACTGCCGTTTTCTATCTATATATTTTCACCTCGTTTTGTTTTGACATTCACTTTTTTATCTATATATTTTCCCCTTGTTTTGTTTTGACATTCACTTTTCTATCTATATATTTTCCCCTCGTTTTGTTTTGACATTCACTTTTCTATCTATATATTTTCCCCTCGTTTTGTTTTGACATTCACTTTTCTATCTATATATTTTCCCCTCGTTTTGTTTTGACATTCACTTTTCTATCTATATATTTTCCCCTCGTTTTGTTTTGACATTCACTTTTCTATCTATATATTTTCCCCTCGTTTTGTTTTGACATTCACTTTTCTATCTATATATTTTCCCCTTGTTTTGTTTTGACATTCACTTTTCTATCTATATATTTTCCCCTCGTTTTGTTTTGACATTCACTTTTCTATCTATATATTTTCCCCTCGTTTTGTTTTGACATTCACTTTTCTATCTTTATATTTTCCCCTCGTTTTGTTTTGACATTCACTTTTCTATCTATATTTTCCCCTCGTTTTGTTTTGACATTCACTTTTATCTCATGATATTATTCTACGTTCTCTTAATAAGCTTTGAAACATGTGTTTCATCTTTTCATCACACATTGCCTTAGAACAGTTAGAAGTCAGATTGTTAATACTGTTTAATTTACTTTCGGTTTTCATTCTCATCTTATCATGCTTTTAAATATTTCATTTGTAGTTTTAACTTCAATTAACAACTTGTTATCCACTAATTTTAGCTCCTTAAATTATAGCATCTGCAGTTTAAAAATCCAAAAGCTAATGTCGAGAAATATTGTGTCGAGTTTCCCACATAAATCTAGATCGAATAATATAACACTGTAGTTGAGAATTTTTAAAGACCTTTTGCGCGCATTTTGACCCTAAAAAACAACTTTACTTGCAGACGTTATTTATAATATCGCAAATTCTAAAAATGTTTTTGTAAAAGGATTGCATAAACTCAGTTTCGGAACATGCATTTCCTGAACTTATCAAGTTTTTTTTTCTTCAAAAATTACTGCCCGATTTAATGACAAAATGTATTTATACTGTAGATCCATAATGTGGTATGAATTAACTTCTCGCTGTCTACTCGAAAAATGTTTATTTTATATTTAACAAAATGGAGACTTTATGTATGTTACTCACAATTTGAAATGGGTCATTTTTTATTTGTTCCTTCAAACAAGATGGTCAGGAAAGTTAAGACAAGAACAAATGTTGAACTCAAAAACCAAGTAGATGTTGATGAAAGTAACAGAAATAGTCCTGTTGCAGTCCTTCACTTATGGTGCTCATATTTTTTTAACAGAACAGATAATGTATTTTCAAGGGTTACAAAAAATAACAGATCTGTGAAAATATCTATACCGGTATCTTATTAAGTAAGAAAAAAAATCAAAATATTTTGATTTAGTTCTATGAAATGCCTAGTATTTTGAAGTAAACATTTGTTATTAGCATTTTAGAGGTCTAAATGATTTTAGAAAAATGCTTGAAAAAATAACATTGTCTTAATCAAAGGTGAACGTTTTCTTTAAGAGAGAGCACCATACTTATAAAATTTTTGAAAGACAGTTAACAATTCAGATTAGTCCTCAGTTTTGTATAAAACAGTCTGTATGATTTGCGTGTCTTTACTAGTATGATGAACGAGGCGAACATATGCGCATCAAGATAGCGACACATTGGAAAGTATGAAATAAACTTTATACACAATCTTATATGCAAAGTAAACTTTGAAAAACATCAGAAGTTATACTTAGAATAGTATTGTCAAAAAGAACTTAGTCTGAAATTCAAAATGGTTATTTTTTTAGTTAACATAAACAAAGGTGAAATAAAATTAGACTTATATCTACTTTTACCTTTTTTGAATAATCGATTTATTGATTAATGCTTCCGAGGGATCAATTTGTTTCCAGATTTTTATACTTCACAACAGCAGGTGTCAAAAGCTGTGTGGCAGCTGTATGAAGTTGCCACCGTACTTCGCTTCAGTGTTGTTGTTTTTTCTGGTCCTTCGGGATCATTTATGCCAGTACTATTGATTATTCAGAATTGAGTACCGTTCAGGCTGGTGCTTGGGCGTGAGGGATGTTGAACTTGCTCATTATCCCTCATGTACAGACTCAATCAAACCGAGTCTGCACACATGACCACCACGATATTTTTCAAAAAAAAATGATAAATTAAATATTTGTTTAGTCAAAATATTTTTAAAACATCAAATTTCCAAAAAAAAAAAAAAACAACAAAAGAAAGTTTTTGTTCTTTTAATTCCATCAATATAAGACAAGATAAAGGATCTATAACCCGGCTTGATTTGAAGTCCCAGATTTTTGTTAATTGTCTACCAATTTTCACCAAATAAAGTACACTCTACTCAGATTTCTCTTTCGAAAAGTGTACAATATTAGACCAGTCTGTAAGACATAAGATCGAATATTAAAGCGAAAATGCACGTTTTGTCTATGTCGGACTTCGCTTGACCGAGTCGTAAGAAGACATTTTTGAACATAAATCGATCTTTTTCTTAATAACAAACTTATGTCAGTGCATGCTTATAGTTGAATCAGAACAGGCAGCTATCGCTTGCCGGTCCAAATTTAATCCAAAACGTCTATAGGTAGGCACTTTCAGTAGTTATTTCCAATAACTTCTTAAATTTCTCGACATTACATGCATGCAATTGAAACTTCAAACTTGAAACTTTTTATTTAATTAAACGCCTGTTTCTATTTAACAATATTCAACGGCGTTGTACAGTACATATAAACAACAAGAATAAAACTGTGAATGCATAAGAATATGTGGATCAAATGAAATAAAAGCTTTTACATACAATTCCAATTAACATATTTCTAAAAAATTGCAGAGACCATAAAATGATAAAACTGATAGATATACATGTAGCATGAGATAAGATTATTTACATACATGTAACTTGATTACAAATAGATTAAAAAGAATAAAACATTCATTTTATTGCACATTCATCACACTGTCAGTCATCAGTTATATGTTACTCATGTTTTTCTCATTTCTGATTTTAAAATAGTGATTCAAACTTTCTAAAAAAAATGTGTTTTAAGATTTCTCTTAAATACATCAATATTCTTAGATTGTTTCAACTCTAATGGCAGCGGATTCCACAATTTTGGACCAATAGTTCCGAAACTTCTGTCACTAAATGTTTTTCTTTTATTGAATGGAATAACGTAGCATTTCTCAGAGGTTTTAGCTGAACGTAGTCGGGTATTTGGTACTTGTTTAGTTAGGAGTTCAGACAGGTAGTTTGGAATGCAATTCTAACCCGGATATGTCTAAGGCGTATCCCGTTTCGCATAGTAAAGTTTGAACAAAGCTGGGTAACAGCGGGAAACGGTGTTTCTAATTTAGAAACATGGCATACGTATTATCAGGATTCGTGAGTACAGTGTACAATGCAATTGAATATTTGATTGTTGAAAGGATTATTAAAGATATACCAAGCTCAAAATTGATATAATTGCTACATTGTCTCTTTGTAAATATTAAATAAACATGTTTGGACTTCTCACAAAGTTGATATGTCATGTTTAAAACTCTATACACTATAGGACGTCACAATACGAATATATATAAGATGAGCATAGTATATGTTTAAACAATAAGTATGAAACTATAAAAAATAATGTCAGAATAATCTTTTACATGAACATTGTTTTATTCTAGTAAATGCAGTTTGCACTTAAATAATTTTAAAAAGGAGACTTGCAGCTGACATTTATCTAGCTGTACCAAATTACTATTGATAAGAAGCTTCAAAGTCCTCATCGTATTTACATAATCAAAGTGGTAGTTATGCTGTTCCTGTAAGTTGATAATATGTCATATTATATTCGCTTAAAACAGTGATATGAACGTTCCGGACAGTACAAAACACGTTCGCTAGCTAAGTCAAGTGTAAAGAAATTATCTTTTATGCCCTACAGAGTTTACGCGTGCGCAAGAAATAAAGAAAATATTTTGATTCTGCAAAGCAACGGAATATGTTGTAAAAAAGAATATTCTATAGAATTTCAACAGACTTTTTCTGAATTTACATTCTTGCTTGTTTGCTTTTGTTGTTGTTGCTGTTGTTGTTGTTGTTGGTGCTGTTGTTGTAATATTGAATAAAAACTACAATTCAAATTGAAAAAACAAAATACAATGGTGCATTCTGAATTCATGTACAGTTTATTAACAGTGACAAAGATAATTCTAACCTATGCTAGCCATTTATTGCCTCATCATTTATCTGACGATCGGTGTATCAATAAACACTATGCAACATAGGAGTCGTGTCACGACAAAACCAACGTAATGCGTTTGCGACTAGCATGGATCCGGACCAGCCTGCGCATCCGTGCAATCTGATCCGGATCCATACTGTTCGCTTACAAACCCTATTACAAGTAGCGAAACTGATAGCAAACAGCATGGATCCTGATCAGACTGCGAGGATGCGCAGGCTGGTCTGGATCCATGCTGGTCGCAAACGTACTATGTTGGTTTTGTCGTGACACGACTCATATTTCTACCACATATGCAATAGTTACAATCATTCTTTAGTATATTGGATATTTGAAAAAAGTATGAGTTTTTTTACCATTATATTTTACTTATATTGTTCAATAGTCTTAGCAAATATCTAAATGTAAAAAAATGAAACTTTTCTCTATTAACATCTGCATTCATTTATTTGTTATTTTATTATATAAGGTTCCAACAACCGAACAAATATCCATCAAATTTCCAAGAACTCCCATATATGGATCAAGACTGGACGTCAATTTCGTTCGAACTCTACCTGCTGTTTAGTAAGACTTTTAACGTAACAACAACTAATCGGATAAAAACTAAATAAAACACAATATTATATAGATTTCATATATAAAATTATGTAACCACAATTTTTATGGTTTTATATCAAAAATATGATGCTCAAATTAAGATTTATCAATTTTGTAAGTTCCAGAAAGAATTATTTATAAAGGTATTACCGAATTAAACTTTTCATGATGCTTTAAACACTGAAATGTATAAAATTGTGCTTAGTTGATGACATTTTATTATTCAAAGTAGAGAACAGTTTATATATATTTTTTTCTTTTTCTACAGCTATTGAAGTTAATTTATTCTTCCACCTGACCTTAAAAGGACTCGTTAGTGCCTTTAATAATATGGAGGGCGATCGTTGCCAAAATTCCAGACATGTTATGTGTTCCTTTTTGAAAACTACTTTTGAAAATGCGAACATGTATGTCTAGCATTTTTGATTGTATTCGTGCACAGAAAATGATATGCCTCTAATCCAATGCTTTTTAATTGAAGGCAACCCGCTTTTAAATAACAAGTTTACATGTAAAATCTTAACAACTGACCTAACATGGAGAACAACAACAAATTTACCAAGTTCGTATCTTTCCCCATTGCATATAATACATAAGCATGTTTACACACTTTGTAGATATCTATCTGTACCTGAAAAATACAAATGAAATGTAAAACTCGAATACAGAAATTATAATTTAATAACACGTGTTTGCAGTCGTAGAACTACAACAGTACGTTTACACAGTAACATGTTTAAAATGACAAAAGTATATTCACAAAGTTAAACGATTTTAAGTCATGCATGGACGCCCCGCCCCTCTCTGCAAGTATTAACGATCTTTTTTTACGGAAATGTACGGACAGGTATAATACCCCGTCGCCTCTCTTCCTTTTTCTCAATAAAGTGAAGGAAAACACGGCGTCCATTCTCACTTTGTTTTTTTTTTTTATTAAAAAGTCAAAATATTTTTGGTATCAAATGAAAGATTACTCCATACGCTTTCTATGAGCTTGCCTCGGAAATAAAAATAAATTAAATAGATATATTGAAATTTTTGTTTCAAAATTTATTTCATTTTTTCCTCTAAAAAATAACACTCTCGAATTGGTTAAGAAAAAACACGGCGTTTCCCTCAAAACCATTTTTTTATTTCGTTATCAATTTTGATAATTTTTTAGATTGAAAATAAAAGTGTGCTTCATACGATTTATGATATATGAATTTATATAAATACCTAAAAAATAAAAATGAATTAAATCAAAAATGAATTAACTTTTCGTTAAAAAGTTTATCATGTTACTTTCTGTAAAATAGAGAAAATAAGAATCCCTAAAGAACGCTCAAAACGATAAAATTTGAGAATGTTGCAGGCTCAGTTTGATTGAGCCTGTTCATGGACGGTAATGAAAAAGAGCAAGTTAACGTCCATGCCCCCTAGCACCGGCTTAAGCAAAATTCAACATGAACTGGTACAATTTTGAATTTTGAAACATCCGCAGATGTGTTCATATGGCGATTATCATGGAACCTTCGATGTGACACGTAAGTGCCTTACTTTGAAAAACGGCATATGGTCCCCAAGTAAAAAAACAAAACACACTTTTTCATTTGTTGGTCAGTTTTGATAATTTAAGGGGCCTAATTATTTATTTATGGGCCTAATATTCAATTATTTATTTGTTTTCTGTTAGTTCCTTATCAGTTTCTAATTATCTATTCTTAGATAGTGGTTTGCCTGCCCGTGCTCTGCCTTGTGCCCTGTTTTTGTTTGGGGTCCTCTTGGGGTCCTTGCCGCTGGCTCTTGTTGATGGGTCGGGTGGGGGCTGCGTTCATTGAACGCCGCCTTTCCTTGATGATCTTGTTTATCATATTTTTTTCATAATTTAAGACTCAAGTAAAAGAATCCTTTATGAACTTTCTAGTGATGCCTTAAAAATGAAAATTAATTACGTAGAAGTATTAAAAATTTTGTTTCAAACTTATCGTTGTTTATTTTTTCACTCTTAAAACCACACTCATATATTCGGAAAAAAATCACATCGCTTCCTTCAGATACTTTATTCGAAAAAGAAAATGAATATTGAATGACAGTTAAGACGTAGCTTTGAACAAGTATATTAAAAATCTGGAAAAAAAGTGATCCCTCGGAAGCATAAATCACAACAAAATTACATAAGAATTGCAGACTCGGTTTTATTGAGTCTGTACATGAGGGAAAATTAACAAGTGCAACATCCCTCACGCCCCCTAGCACCGGCTTTAACGGTACTCAATTCTCAACACTTAATACCGCTGGCATCAATGATCCCGAAGGACCAGAAAAATATAACAACACTGAAGTGAAGTACGGGGCAACTTTTTACAGCTGCCACACGGCACTTGACACCTGCTGTTGTGAAGTATAAAAATATGGAAACAAAGTGATCCATCGGAAGCATTAATCACAACAAAATTACATAAGAATTGCAGACTCGGTTTGATTGAGTCTGTACATGAGGGATAATGAACAAGTGCAAAAAGTTTTTATTCATACTGAAAATACCTTAATAAAGATTGTACATATGTGCTACGAAAAAGTATTTTCTTGAATTCGAAAAGGAAATCTCGGTGGCCGCTTTAAAATCCTATTTTTGCAAATACTTCCATAGTTTTTGTTGAAAATGAAATTTGTTTCAATACATTTTTCAATGATACCAATAAAAATATTGGATGGTTTTTAGACTATCAATAAAATTTCTCCCTTGAAGTTGGTCATAGTTTCCCCTAAAAATTTCCTAATCGCCGATGTTTCTCAGGAATATATGATAAACAAGATCAACGCTCAATGAACGCAACCCCACATGACCAGCAACAAGAACAAGTGGCAAGGAGGCCCAGGCGGACCCAAACAAAACACCGACAGGACAGGGCACTAGGCAGAGCAGGCTAATCCCTATTTAAAAAAATGATAAATAATTTGTAACTGGTAAGAACACGATGTTAAATAATAAGTTAATGCATAAGTTATCTTCATCATAAATGATAAAATCAGCAATTTTCAAGTGATGTTGCTAGTGACAAAACTTTTGTAACAAATGTAACAACTATATGTTATGAAAAATGCCGTATTTTGTCCTTCTGTTTTATTTAGAAATATGGGAGAGACGCTGTTTTATACCTGTCCGCAATAGAAGTTCGTAAATACTCCGAGAGGGGAGGGGCGTTATGCTTGACTTAAAATCGTTTAACTTTGTAAATCTACTTTTGTCATTTTAAACATGTTACTGTGTTAACGTACTCTTGTAGTTCTACAACTGGTAACACGTTTTCTTAAACTCTATTTTCTGTATTTAAGATTTACATTTCATTTGTATATTTCAGATCTATAAGTGTACAAACATGCATATGTATTGCATGCAATGGAAGATACGAACTTGTAAATTTCTTGTCGTTTTAGATGTTAGGTCAGTTGTTACGATATATATGTAAATTGTTATATAAAGGCGGGAACCTTCAATTAAAAGATTGAATTAAGAGGCATATTATGTGCTATTCACGGGTACAATAAAATGGTAGGCATACAAGTGTTCGCATTTTCAAAAGTCATTTTAAAAAGGAACACTTTACATGTCTGGAATTTTGGCAACGAACGCCCTCCATATAATAAATCGTTGGGTATACAAATTAAACTTATTTAAAGCTGATCTAGATTTTAACAATTTTGTTTTCTTTTAAGCACTTTTCAGTTACTTGGGGATGACATTTATAACTCCACAACGCTGACTCTGAGGTAACATTATTAATATAATTCAGCTGAACACATGTAATGTTAATAAAACAAGTAACATTTTTGTTTAATTTGTAACTTTATTTTCTAATTTCACATACAAAACATTATAAAATATATTTGAGATTTACAAATACATATAATAGCCAATAAATTCATACAAGTTAACAAAGACATACAGTACAATATTTTCTAATTTTTTATATACAATCCATTTGACATTTTTCAGGAATTAATTTGCTCTATTTTCAGATTTAACATATAGTAATGGATTTTTTGAGTTCATAAAATCAAAAAACATTAATTTTTCAGTAAACAAACAATTTTCTGAAATTGTTACAAACTAATAAGGATAAGTTTACATGAATATTCAGTATAGCATTTTCTGAATATATAGGTAATTTAACATGTTCTCGGACTTTATTACAAGTTCACAAGTACATACAATAAATAATGATGATATAAAATCCTTGGTCAATATTGGAAGACCTTAAACCAATGTTTATATTTGGATATATATCTATATCTTTCACAAAACTGAAAAAACAAAAACGAAACAATATTACATCTTATGACAGGAAAAGAAAAAAAAACCCTAAAAATATGTCTTCTGAAAAGTCATTAATAATGACTTATGTCTTTGTTAAAATTATTGTAGTACATTTTCATTGTTATAATGATTTGCCTGTAATTCCAGATTGATTTTATTTTATACAAAAGAGTTATCTAAAATATGAAAAAAAATATACATTAAGGGGTCTATTTAAATCTTGGAATTAACTAAATGAACTTAAGCAGATAGATACTATTCTTTCATAGTTCTAACATTGTCATATGAATGTTAAAAACTGAAGAAGAAAAAGAAGAAGAAGAAAATAAAGGTTCAAGAGTGTCAGGTGGGTGTAACATTGCCTGCTGGTACAGACTACAACTGGGCGTCCGTGTGTTTAAGGTCGTTGAATTAAAACCACTTTCCCCTTACCGCTGTGGGTTCGAATCCCGACAGGGACTTTGGATCTTTTTATGTGAGGAAGCTATCCAGCTACCTAACTGAACGTCGGTGGTTCTACCATGAAAATATGCACGAAAGGACACCTGAGGTCTTCTTCCACCAGTAAAGCTGGAACATGGCCATATGATCTATTCTCTGTCGGTGGGACGTAAAACCCAATCAAACAAACAAACAAATAAACAGATTAGAAAATCTAGCCGGAGGTAGCTGTTTACAGCGACAACCACGCTATGTCGTTAAACAGAGCCAAATATGTCGGTCTGTGACGATTACCGTTGTCTGCATATTAAATATAAACCATATTTCGAAAAGAACTATTGAAGACTATTCTTTTCTACTTTTTCTAATTGAAGCGTATGGACATACAACTATATCCATAACGGCAAAATGACGTTATCCTCAGAACACAATTCATTCTCTGCTGAAACACTTATGCACATGTTTGAATTTATCAAACTGAGATACTTTAACTGTGTATTTCAATAGATTGATATTTTGATACCGATTGAAAAATAATTGATAATTATATAATTACAATATAAAAAACTGCTTTGAATATAGATAGACCCTCCCACACTTTATATGAATTGAACATTACCGATAATTCCGAATGATGTTTATATTGTTATGCGAGTCAAAGACTTTATAAATTACTCAGGTGACGTTTGTTATACAATTGACAACAATTATGACAAATGCATAGATATTTTAGCCGATAGGAGCAATCACCATTGTCATTTGAACCCGAAAACAAACACAACAAACTTCTAACTTCAACTATTAAACAGTTAACATTTTACCTCATGAATACGAATTTCACTAATATATACATCAGCTTTCAGCATGCCATATCAAATATAAACATCTAACGAACCATAAACAATGTTCAAACTTTACAACATTTTACACAGGCAATGCACAAATTGACCATGCACACAAGAGATATTTTTATTTGTGTAAAATGCAGAAAACTTACATCAAACATACCACACCTTATTGTTCAAATTATGTCTCAAGAAAGTATGCCAAATTCTTTTAAATAACGATTGTTCAAATATCTTGCGGTGTATACACATGTAAATGTTTTATAATTGACATGTTTAAAAAATGCAAGATTTTGATCCTCATATTTAAAAAAGGCAGTTAGAGCGAATCATAGCTGCTTTATTTGACTATTACATAATTCAATTAATTTGATTCATCATTAGGGTTGACGAGCAATCGCAGTCTTACAGAATACAAGCACATATTATGACCAGAAAGGACGTTCTTAACCTTCCGCTTGACATACCTATCGATTTCCAACCTATGTGTCCACCGGATGAATGTCAGTTTTCATTCATCATTCTACACGAACATATACAGGTAAATAGATTTTAGTATGAAAATTGATGGCGTGTAGAATTCATGCGTAATTTCAGAAAGGTAGAAATATACGTAATTGCTGAATCAATAATATTATTTTCTGTAGATCCTTGTCAACGAAAGAGAGCTAGTACGTGCCGAAGTAAAGTCGACATTTATTAGACAGTTGAGACAAGTTATGATTTCCACACCCTCCTCCTCACCGGCATCATTGCAAATGTTCGCGTTTAAAAAATAATAAAAGTAAGTATTTTCGATTTTGGAAATACCGCATTTTGACGCATTTTAGTGAAATATAATTTAATTCAGTAATAATAGTGAAATATTAAGCCAAAAGGAATTTACATTGAACATTTATTTTTGTGTGAATAAAACAACCTGACAGGGAGTGTGTCTCTATTGATATTGTAGAACGTTCATTAACGTTTTTAGTTAGTATACATTTATTCAATAAGTGTCTTAAACAGTTAGCAGCACTAATCGAAAATTATATTTGAGCCGCGTCACGACAAAACCTTTCATAGTGGGTTGCGACCCAGCATGATCCAGACCAGCATGGATCCAGACCAGCCTGCGCATCCATGCTGTTCGCCTTCAAACCCTTTTACAAGTAGAGAAACATAAAGCGAACAGCATGGATCCTGATCAGACTGCGCGGATGCGCAGACTGGTCTGGATCCATGCTGGTCGCAAACGCACTATGTTGGTTTTGTCGTGACGTGGCTCATATTTTATTTTTCAGGAAAAAGACACGGATATCAGATGACGAGCACATTCTGCTGGCGATACAGAATAATAATTTATAATTTCAAATACATTTTATCGTCTCTTTTTTCTATCTTCATAGATAAATTTAAATGGAAATATTGATTTATGGACAAAAAACTATTTCTCATCATTAAATACCTTAATCAAACGTCAAACGTTGCCCCGTACTTCAATGTTATTTTATTTTTCTGGTCCTCCGGGATCATTGATTCCAGTACTTTTAAATGTTGAAAATTGAGTACCGCTCAAATCGGTACTAAAAAGGATGTTGCTCTTTTTCATTATCCTCCATGTGCAGACTTAATTAAACTAAATCTGCAATTTACATGTAATTTTGCTAATCTTAATACTTCTAAATGATAACTTTTATCGGATATCCCTATACTCCGTAGGGAACGTGTTACAGTATCGCGAATTCCGGTTACAGTATAGAATTTACAAGATGGAGGATTATTTATGGAAAGAGAAGTAGGTGATTTTTATTCCGGTCCATACTACAAGTAGTTTAGTTTCTTTTAGATGTTTATGTGCTTTGCTTGTAAGGAACAGGATCCGGGATCTATTTATATATTTCTTCAGACCCTGCACCGCAGATTTATCTCTATATTGTCTCATAAATGTGTAGAATTGACGGTTTACAAATTTGAGTCGAGGGACCAACGCTATATAGACAATAAAGAGATAAATCTGCGGTGTAGGGTCTGAATAAATAAAGGACTAGATGCCAGATTCTGTTCCTTACAAGCAAAGCACACGTTCCCTACGGTGCTATAATTTTAAATCTAAAACATGCAGATACACTGCACATGTATATAAAATATTAGACAAAAAGGAATTGTTTAAGAAATATAGTTACTTTTTAAAATTGATTTCCTATGTGAATTAAGAGAATAATGCACGACAGAGTAGGATCGGAGTGTGATAATCGGCCTGTAAAATTGATAATAATCCATAGGGTTTCAGCCTGGTGGCACTTTTCACTTCGGAAACGATTATCAATTTTCGGTCCGTCTATGACGTGTATTAATGTCTAAACTATACTTTATAGATCTGTATAAGCATTTATAGAAATAATTACTTTCGTTGCAATTCCTTATTGCTGTAGATATTTACTGTAATATACAGTATTTTGTACAGAGTAGCTTCCCTTAAGTGTATACTTTAGGAGTACAATTTTTGTATTTTTATTCTTTAAGTGTTTGTACAAACCACGCCCATGTTCTCATCTTAACACCAATCAATTTGTGCTTAAAATTTACTTCAGACTTACAGCTCGTTAAATATGACGCCATTGTCTCAATTGTGCACGTGAAGTGGGCCAATTATGATTATGAGTTTTCGGTCACCTAACACTTATAGGCAATTTCGTTACTATATTTAGTAACAAGTGTATTATTGATAGCTATTTCAAGTCTTAGTCTCCAAAGTGATGATGTTGAAACTTCTAACCTGTAAATGATTATATATAAATTTGAAATAAATTCTTTTAATCTTCATTCGAGGTTTGTTGACTTGATTTGTCCAAGGATTCTTGATTTTCTTTGCAAAAGAGATCGATGGATAACAAGGATTTTTTTTATCTAAAAGTAATGTTAAAATAGTTTTTTTTAAGTAAACTTACAATATTTATTTTTTATATTTCTTTTTGTTTTTTTAATGAAAATATTGGCAGATTATCCTAACATAAGTTTTGCAACTTTATGGCCATTTTGATATAATGTATGTTTGCTAGAGTCTATTTCTTCTAGACAAAGGACATTTTCACTTCAAACTTTAAATACTTGCACTGACAAATTTGATATTTAAAAATCACAATGCTTTTCTAAAAGTTAAATAACCTTATAATTTTAATTTTGTTTAGTTGTGCCCGTTTTTTACTTTATGACTGTTGATTTAATATTTTAAGGAATATATCTATAATACATTCACTTTAATATTGGCGAACCTCTTTATCATTAGATTCGAATTGATTATCTATTGGACAAATAATCCTGAAAACTTATTTTGTACAATTATTTCACATTTTTATTTAAAATATTTGTCTTTTTTTTGTATAAAAAACAATGACTTCTAACTTGATATATGTGTTGACTATTTAGGGCATTTATATCTGCTATGCACTGCAAAAATATACCCCCTTTTTGATTTAATTTTGTTTAATTTCCAAGCTCTAAGAAAGATGGAGCGTGTAGTCCGTAGGCGTTAATATGTTTTGTTTATAATGTGTTCTATTCATTTTGTGAAATGTTCGTATCTTGTCGTATAGGAATGTTTGTTCTTTACTCATTACACTTTTTACTCTGTAACAGACCATTGTGCTGAGGTTATGTCCATATTTCTCAATGCCATAGGTCAATGTTACAGTGACCCTCTCCTACTTTTGATCGGACAAGGGTGTGAAACCTTGTGAAACCCTTGTCCGATCAAAAGTAGGAGAAGGTAAAAGCCTAAGTTTGTGACAATTTGTATAGACATTGCCTTTGGTGGTCGTACTGAATATGTATTATTTTGTCATTTAATATCCTTGACATATTAATATTTTGAGCAGAAATAATGCTTAAGTATGTAAAAATGCTACTTTTTCAGTAAAATTCGTTGGAGAAATTTGTCCATTGAATGTATTGTTTTTATTTATGCATGTTCAATGTTTAAGTGTAAAACTTTATTTTTGTAATAATAATTTTGTACTTATACAATGCTATGATTTCTTTTATTAATGAATTAAAGACCACTAAGGGGAAAGCAAATTTATACACTTCGAAACAACAAACTGTTTCACAATGTTCGAAGGACTTTTCAATTATTTCACTGAATCAATTATTTTTGAAAGTTAAAAATAGTAAACGTGATGGTGAGTATACCGCATAATGCTGTAAGTTCAAATATAGTATATCTGTATTCGAATATTCGAAACCAAAAGTAACCACAAGAAAGAAAAGTAACGGTTAGAATAAAACATAAGTATACAGTTAATTGATGTTGTACTTTTTAATTTTTTTTATTTCTTTTTTTTCTGTTGTTCAAATTATACATCTTCACCATTGCATTTTTTACATAAATTTTGTTCAGGAAATAACTCCAAAAATAATTAAAGGCTAGATCCTTTCCTGAAAAGTGCAATGATTAAGAATATTAATTCATTTTACTATTTTATGTATTGTATTGCCAAGGAACATCCTTTATTATAAAGACAATATAATGTAACATTATAATTTCCAACTACCTGCTGGGGTTATCTTGGCAACGACAGTGGTTATACTTGAACATTTGTAATAGTTATTAATGTTTGCTTACATTTTGTATTGTTACATAAAACATTATAAAATACGTAAAAAAATTTGATGTAGAAGTTGCTTTGTTTAATACGACAGGTATTAAATTTATTATGAAACAGTTTTAAAACCTGCCTTATTATATACTTGCATGTGAATTATCGCAGCAGGTTCGCAACCTGGGAACTATGGCAATTATCATTTTAAACCTCTTTGGTCAGCTTTCTCAAGTGCGGATTATGCATAACTGCTCAAGTTAACTCCATTCGTCTTCGAGAGCATTTTTAAGATCGGACATGGTATAAATATTGCGTTTCTGTAGCCTAAGATTCAGTATTGTTACCCTAATTACCAAAGTCCATGGGGGCTGCATCAGGGCCTTTTGGCATCCATTCTTCAGGTGTTATGTAATTCACTTTGCATTTGTTGAGAAAAAATGGTCATTTGCCGCTATGACTAGTCTTGATGACATACTATATCATTTTCTCTTCGATGAAAATGTCGCGAATTTTGAGAAATGGCTTTAAATCTTTGTCTATGTAAAATTTTGCATTAAAAAAAAATGACTCTCACCCTTTTATTGAAAGAAATGGGGATGTCTTGCCGAAGTACTACCGCCCATACGAAACATAGCCTTATCAACGTTTTTCTATTTTCAACAGTTACTTTAGAGATATAGACGTCATGATCGAGAACGTCGTTTCAAAATCTTGGCCTCACTTAGCCTATAATCGCGGCACCTTTTGCTGAGTTTTGCTTTTTAATACTTTTGCTGTTATGCTGTTGACAGCGCCTAGATGAACTCCACACCTTAGCTGATATTTTTTTGTGTGGGAGGATTCCCAACATTATATCATATTACGAAATTTACGTACGAAATGGTTAGAAGTTGCTGTGCGACTTATGTGAGTTTTGTGAGTTATAAGATCTTATATAACGTGTTTTAAAACTGTTTCATAATAAACTGAACAACTCTCGTAATACATTTATACATCATTTAGATACTACATTGCAAAACCGATTATATTTTTTTAATGAGATAAAATTCAAATGTGAATAGAAAAGTTCTAAACCCATTTTTATAACCGCTCCGTGGTTGAGGGGTTAGAGTCGATGACTTCTAATCCAGTTACCTCTATGGCGTTGGTCCGATCCCCGGGAGATGCTTTGGTAGTTTAGCACGGAGGAAGGAAGTCTAGTGCTGGTGTGACTCTCCAGGAACGATGGTTAGGAAACTACCCGCCTTTATGACTGAAATACTGTTTGGAATAGGCGTAAAATGAAACAAACAAACCCAATTTTTAAGATTGCTTATCTTTTAGACAGAGATGCATTGAAATATTTATTTATTGTTTATATTTATTTTAACATTCTTTATACTTTTAGCTTTGGACACAATTTATAATAAATATATTGTCATCTTTATTCAGGCTTTGTTATGCTACATGTTTTAGTCACTACGTTTTAAAACATTGCGTTCAAACATACACACTAATTTAATGGACTATTATTGCTTTTTTTAAACTGTTGTTCTGTTTTACGTAAAAAATCTAGATTTAAAATATTTTACACAAAAACGTTGGTGTATAGGTGTAGGAATAAAATATGTCTATTCTGACAAAGTTTAACACAGGTCACATGAAAATATGTCATTACCGTGAAATAAGTGATGACGCGGAATTAGTGATGTTGAGTATATCTCCCATTATAAGTGAACAGTTCTAAACCAAGACATCGGCTACTCCTAACTATATTGTTTTGTCACAGGGTGAGATAATGTGCAGTCTGACTGGGACTTGAACCCGGGACCCTCGTTTACATCTTGAGTAATAGGGGAGATTAATCTAGAAATATTGTTGCTAGAGTCCAGTTATTCTGATGTACTAATAGCAATGGACACAACACGAGTACTAATAAAACGAACATGATGGGCGGATGGTTTGACGGACTTACTTTAAACTATCAAATATATCTACTCTTTGACTTTTCAAATTAATATTACCGGTCAAAGTACCGTACGCAACTGAATTTAATGTTTGTAGTCTATGCTAAAAGAGAGTCCATCCGCCCGATAAAGCACAAAAACAACTTTCGCTGTCAAGTACGGACCCCTGACATGTCACCAGTCATGCCCTTTAATGTTTAATTTTGAAGCACAAAGTTGTGATAATATACCGCAGTGCAATTTTCACGGAGTATATACCAAAGATATGAATTTCACTGTCACAATCATTTTGATATACAGCACTATGACAAAAAGTGACTGATCTTCATATAATCGTCGAAATAGGTTACTGAACGGTAGCTAGGTTACAGACACTTCGAAGGAAACATTGCTATTCCAAAGTAAAATCGTAAAACATAACAATAATTAATAATATCAAATGACTTTGAAGAGTTTCTGAGACAAAACAATATTAAGACTGAGACAAAACAATATTAAGATGCATTTTTTATTGGTTAACTCAGTCCTATAATAAGTAATTATCACATAAACGTAAAAATCGCACAGTCACCAACTACAACAACAACAAAAATGTCAGCCTGCATGAATTTATGAAATGTAACTTGAAATGTAATGAAATCATTATATACATTAAGTAACATAGTAAGTGATATTGTAATACTGACATATTGGCAAAACAAATGCCATCATATATCCCAATTCCATGAACTCTGTTACAAAATACACCAGCTAAGAAATGAAAATCTGGAATTTCTTACAACATATCTCTATAGCTATCTTTATATGCCCTGTAAAAATCTAAACTAATATTATTTATAAAGGAAGCAGTTTTAATTGTTATTGTAGCTTATAATGTTGTTTAAATGTCCTTAACATAAAATCATACAAAGTACATTGTACCTATAATTGTACCCAGCAGTAATACTTAAAAATGAATCATTATTTTTAAAATTATTTTTCTTTTCTCTCTGAAATTGTAAAGAAATCATCTCCGATCCCTTAAATCTATTATTATATATTCCTTACCGACGTTTAAACATGTGTTGCTACAACATATGATATTATTTAAGAAAGGCAGTTAAGAATAAAATGTAATTATTCTATTTAAGTTAAGAATTACAACGTTTAGTGCCTGATAAGTTATTTTATTACTGCAATAAATTTTGATTTCTGCAATAACATATCTTAAACGCAACACTGTTAACAATGGTTTAACAAGATTAAGTACAAATGACTGTTTAATATTACATACCCGTTTATTTAAACCCGATACGACCAACCATTTACCCTTGATTGTTTAGCCTTTAATACACTAATATTGGTATTGTCATTTTTAAATACATTGTACTACCATTTATTTGAAAACATAATATGCCCAATCAACAAACTTTAATAAATTCGGCAACTCTTTTGTTTTATCGTTTAATGATTGGGACGCTAATGAAATAATTATTGGCAAAGATATTTTTATATTGTTCAATATTAAACATAGCAACACGGGCGGTGTCAATGAAGTTTGACAGTTCTTTTTTATTCATATTTGTCGCTTGGACAGGCTGGGGGAAAATATATGTTTAGTCATAATGAATACAAAAGATATTTATATGTTCTTTTAAAATTAAAACATAATTATTTCGAGTTATGAAACTGGCATGAAAATGAAGTTTATAGTGCATATAGGATTTCTTGTTGCATTGTTAGGATTATGTTTCCAGTCTATGGTAAGTGTGATTTTTCCGAACCATATACATGCGTAAAGAAGATCTTTTTTCAGTAATTTCAGTCTATTTTATCTCTTCTGGTAAGGTCCAAAAGGAAAATGGTTAGTTGTTTATTATGGGCGAGTGTTTTCCCGGACGACACACTTACTTTCCGTGGCAAAATTATACAAAATTGACAAAACTTAAGTAAATACGAATGTATGTTATGTGTTTTCAGGAAATACATAACATTAAGTTGAAGGAACTATAAATGCATTGAAATGATCAAATAACTGAACATTTTCTGCCAGCTATAAATGCCTGTTTAACTAAAACTCATTGCCCTTGTAGATGTATTTAAATCCATCCAATAAATTTTATTTTGTAATCATGATTTAAAAATATGTTCTATTCTGTTAGATAACATTTTAACTTAAGAATGTAATAAGATATCTTCCTGTTGAATTAAAAGGAAAGTTGGTGAACAATAACAATGGCATGTTCAGGTAGTATTTGTTTTCCCATTCACTGCATTCCTTTATTGTTGAAAACATTTAAGCTGAAATAATGCAAACGATTTGTTTTAAATTGCAATAATAATGTATAAACATGCTACTAATACCATTCAATAAGTATTGAATCGTTTTGTTTGATGACCGCAACAGAACGAGGAACGGTCACAATAAAGCCACTGACCATTTAAATCCATATAATTGATTGAAAATAAAATAAAATGTACGTTTCATCACAGCGAACAATCCTTGCAGTATCTTGATCTTAACAAATTTAGAACAAATTAGTTCATAGCGTATGTTCTGTATCATTTATAACCTTAAAATAAAAGAATATTAAGCAATTACGTTTATGCACATGTTGAAAAATAAAAATAAATCGATGTAACTTTTTTGTGATTTTTTATGACATTTGCTTCTAAAATTACATTTATGCTGGCAGTTTGAAGCGTTGAAACATTTATGCCAATCTTGAAAAAGTTTAAATGAGATTATTCTTTATGAATATCAGCAAAAGATGTTGTTTTTTTTTTTGGTGGTATTTCTTTATCGATTATACAAACGTAATATACTCGGTAGTATTCGGTATATTCCGCCATATTCCGTGATCAAAGAGTACAAAACAAAGGTTCGAAACGCGTACAGCGGAAATTAACGATGATTTAAGCAATTGACGAATGAAGATTTGCTACAGCTATCTTCAGTTGATTTATACTGAGACAATACGACAAATTGCGAATCAATGTAGCCTGAAATTGTTGAAAATTATCTTTATATAGAAAACCCGTCTTGATTGGAACAAAGTGGTATCATATCATCAACTAAATATCTATTACCCGCTACATGGGTATAAACACAAATAATGTACCCCCTTAACAATTTAACGAACTCAAATCCACGTGCAGTTACGATGTATTGACGTATTAATTCAACTATATAAATGACACATTGTTCCTATATTTGATTAAAATGTAAATGTAAATATTAATATTGTATGTTTATCTTAATTGATCAAAATGTATTTAAATTATGCAATATTTATAATTCGTGCTGTATTATAGGTAAAAGAAGCTTTGTGTTTTTATAATGTTTACTTTTAAATAAAGGTGTATATTTAACGAATGTTGTTTTCATTATTTGAGATATACATGGTTTGAATTTTCTTCGTGTAAGGAAATGTGTAAAAACGTTATAAATCAATCACAATACAATTATAGTTAAAAGCAAGTTGATCTATGTTTTTTTTTCAAGCATTATTCAACCAGCAGTCATGACATAACAATGCCACCGTGAGGCCGGGCCGTTTATTTGTTTTAAAACATTTAGACGCAAAAAATCACTGATACAACCGGTACGATGTCCCTTACGATGCCACATACAATGCTTTTAAATGATATAATATTTGCACTTTTAACATTGGAATTATAACGATATAGTATGGTTTATAATACAAAATCTGGATTTCACAAACATCGCACCTATGATTAAAGAAACCAAAATAAACTCGGGCTCCAGGCATCAGAATTACACTGTTGTTTTCTCATTTATAATAAAACATCCGGGCTACATGTATAAACATTTAGAACAACGTAGCTATGCTAGAGGGTAAATACACCTAAAGTTCGTGTATTAACATCAGCCCGAGCTCGCAGAGCAAGTGCAAGGGCTTCCGCAGATATAAATGCACGATAAAAGAAGAGTAAATCCTAGATTAATGTAAAATGTAATTATTTTGTTACCGTAAAGATAAGTGGGTTAAACATTTAGACATAACTCTACAATATCATGTTCCACGGCGTAATCCCCCATATTAGGAGTATGCTATAGAATATCCATTAAGGTCTTAAATGCGCTTTTTAATTACATTGCACAGGATTTGTAGTTATTTAACATTCTTTACTTAATTCTATTTATTATTTAATCTTTTTGTACCTATGCAAAGACCTTAGATGACATTTGATCAAATGTTCAACCTTAATTCGCTATACAGCTGATGACATATGAAATGTATAAATGTATTCTTCCTTGTCCCATCTTTTCATCTTATCTGGTGATAAAATGTGCCATTGAATCTATCACAAGTGTGTGATCATATTAATGTAAATCTTTGTTTAAATATTCTACACCTATATTCGGAACATCATTATTTAAACCTACATTATTAACCGGTAGCATTTCTGATATAAGATATATGTAGGTTTGTTAAATTTATTCACTATTTCCTTTTCAGAATGCCCAAAATTTAAATCTACAATGTTCTGAAGGTAAGAAGCTGCTCGTTTTATTACTGCATTAAAGTCTATAGAATTTTGAGAATTCAACCAAAAGATTTCCAGACAAAAATATTCTTATGTAGTCGATGGTTGTCTGGTTAAATCCGCTGAATCATATCACTTACCCCTCAACAAGTATCACTTTACCCTCAATGTGTCTATCATGGCTTTTATAGTGTTTGCATTATTTTAGAGACAAGGTAATATTTCATTATTAATATTGGTACTTATGGTCCCGTTGATGATCTCGCCAAAGTGAGTGATATGTTTCCAATTACATTTTGAAACACGTAAATCACACTAACTGGGCACTTGGTGCAAGTTTTAAGATATAACATTTTGTTGATTGGTTTCTATTTTTCAGAATGTATCACCTCAATACGTAATGTTTGATATATGATTGTTATATTATTAAAGAAAGAAAGGAAGAAAACAACAACACCGGCACCAAGAGAAGCGTTAAGACAATAGTGTGATATCATATAAACACACAGATATGACATTTATTATCATTTGTGTAGTTAATTCATTGTTTGCATTATAACAATGTCAAACGTCTGGATGAACCAACATACATTCTACTTTATTTTTTGCAGGTTGGGATTATTTGTACGGGAAATGTTATCTTGTAGTACCAGTAAAACGCACGTGGAATCGTGCACGCGAGTTTTGCAATAAGTAAGTGATATACAGATTCTTAAGAGAATACAGTACGTTATATAAACGTTTACCATTACTTTAAAAAATATACACGTTGGCGTCCATGTAACGCCACGTGCTATGCACGTTTAAATATTCAGCATTTTATATTATAGTATAGGTAGATGTGTACCTTTGTTTGATAGAAAGTACAATATAAACATTTTCATGATTGATTAAGAGGGAGAGTTACACTTTCAGTTGTGCTATTAATATCTGATTCAAATTAATAAGCGTGGACATGAATGAACTCTGTTTTCAAGCCACATGTCCGTTACACTTTTTTTCTCATAACAGATACGGTGCCGTTCTAGCAGAGCCGAGTGGTATTGAACTGACCAACACATTATATGACCAGGCCCATGTGAAAAATATAGACGAATTCTGGATAGGTAAGATGCAGAACAAAAGTTGAGAAAAATTATACAATAGATTTCTAATAATCGGATACATGTAGTGTTTTAAGCGCGTCTCCTTCAAGACATGAAACAAACTCCACAAAGGCTATGTAGCAATCCTCTTTGTTTTAATTAAAAGGCCAAATTAGCCTTAAAATGCATCTTATTTTATCTTTAAAAGCCTTATGATTATGGTGTCCTATTACAATTTTCAAACATTTCTTCATTGACCATATTGCTGAGCCATCTTTTGCTTCTTTTCTATTGTGGTAATACGCAAGGCTATTATGTCTCTGAATTTTGTATGGAAGTCAAAATATCATTTTAAATTTAAACTATTTTATATTCAGTGCTATTTCTTTCCATATGATAAGTTTTTCGCGTGTTCTTAATCATTTTACAGCATTATAGCCTTCCTGACTTAATCATTGAAACTAGAAATAAAATGTTTTAGTTATATAGTTATAGATGAACTATTTAGAAACGAACGAAAGGTAGGTATCGGCACATGATAATGCATGCGTTATTTCTTCGGAAAAAACAAACAAACAAAAAACAACAACAACAGCTACAGCAACAACAACAAAAACAAACAACAACAGTTGTATGACCTATATCATTGTACACAGAAATAGTCTTATTTTCTTTCATTCTTGTATATATCATACAGGATACAACAGAATCAGTTCTGACACCTCGCCAGATTATGAGGCAACATGGAGCGATGGACGACTTACTGGGGTTGAAGTAGGGGTATGGGCACCTTTTCAACCTGACGTCACTTCCGGTAAATGTACTTTCGTTGGAAACCCATGGAATGCAGACGACGCTCAGAAACGATGGTACATGACGTCATGTAATCATGTGAAACCGTTTGTTTGTGAAAGATTACCTTGCCCAAGCGGTTAGTATGATTTGAGATAAATTTTTATTTATCGTTGATTTATATATGTGCCTTGTGGGTTTATATTTCCATCATAAAATGCTATGCACTACTACATGACATTGTGCCTTATCAAATCAGATCCCATGTTTTCACATTTACCATTATATATAACGCCTTACATACATATATTCCTTCTTCACTGAAAGTAATGTAATTTTCACAATGATGTCAGCAAAGAAGAATTTACAAAACGCACAATGTGCAAGCTGAGATCGAAAATTTTTCAGTTCACTTTCTGAAAAATAGTGTTACAAAACAGCAATATATTTTTCCTAGTAGAACTATAGAATTGTATGACCTTATTGATCGGTTACTACTGTGCTTGAATGCCTGTGTGATTTTCACAATTTTACCATATTTCATATAATCATATCATATCATATCATATCATATCATATATCATACAATTTCAACTGAACTTCAAAATCGGCACAAGTATACAAAAATCTGGAAACAAAGTGATCAATCGGAAGCATTGATCACAACAAAATTACAAGATAATTGCAGACTCGGTTTGATTGAGTGTGATTGAGTTTGATGCAAGTTCTTCTAGATATGACTCTATGATTATTCAAAATTAACAGACAAGACATAAGGTTAATCATATTGAAAAATATAAAATAGATATGTGTGAAAAAATATAATATATGTGAATGGTGGATATACAGAATATCTGCATATTTCAAATTCAGATACATTCGCCTGCAGTAATGGTCGCTGTGTTGGTGAATCAACTATATGTAATTCTGCCAATGATTGCGGGGATAACTCGGACGAACAACATTGTCGTAAGTTGGGTTTTTAAGTCCCCCACTCCCCTGAAAAAAAATGACAAAATAAAAACATAATTCTCAGTTTCGTACACAACTAACGAATTCTTAGTATTTAGTTCATGCAAATAACAGCTTTTATATAATAATAATTTAGTTATTATATAATTAGTTTTGCATTATAATGAGCAAATGTTTAAAAAGGATAACGTTTAATAAATCTGATAAAACGTCCATTTTTATGTCGCTTTTTGTTTTACAGGAAAATTACATATTAATCTTCCTAGAGATACGTCCCTGATTCAAAATCAAATGTGTTTATTCTTTACTCACAGATTAAAATAACAATCTAGCTTTAAATAGCATTATTTCAGACGATCTGCATTGGTGTACTGTTCAGACTATCACGAAATTAGAAAATATTATATTCTGCTATTGTATTGTTAATTATTTACAAATATGCTGTTACTTTTGCACCATAGTACCTTAATCATTTCCATGTGATCCGTCTTTCAGCATTATATTGCTCAGAGAAGCTGTTAGGAGACAGTGGTAGTTTCGAAGTTTCCACGACTACATATTACAGATCAAATCGAGACTGTTTGTTTACAATTGAAGTTGAAGTAGGAAAAAGAGTACAGATTCATGTAAGTATATTTATCTTTTATTTGGGAATGTTTACTCGACACAGCTATGGCTGCCACGGCAAGCCATTTTGCCATTGGAATATGCCAATTTGCCATAGCATGTACAATTTGCCATGGCAAACACATATAAAAAATAGGAAAGATAGAAAAACGAAACATATTAACTTTTAAACCTATTAAATAATGAAATTATTTTAGATAGTTTTGATATTTTTAAACCGCGTAAAAATATGGGTTGAATTTACCAAAAAGTGGCATGGAAAAAAAGAAACCGGCAGCTACATTGTATTATGTATGTTTAAGACATCATTGATTACATAAGTTATTTCTAGCTTGTAATTACCTTAATAAGCGTCGAGCGTCCAAGGATATGGTACTTATCTTATGTTTCATGAATTTGACGACATTTACTTCTTGAAACAAAAGTAATTAAGAATCGAATTAACTCGAGAACATCAAGAATGAAATCATCATAATCATTGTAAAGACTTTCGGGATCGTGCACCGCTGTATGGTGCAGCATCACCTGCATTATCTTTAAAGTGGAATGGTCTACAATGGTCACTCCTTTATTATTATTCAGTATTTGAAGAGTAATTACCATTGATTTAGTAAAATCCGTTCTATTATATTGCGTTTTGTGTTCCTTGGATTATTGAGTTAGAATCAACCAACTTAACAGGAAAAATGATCAACATCACTGGGAAGCTGTGTGCCTGGGACTTTTTAGTTTTATTAGAGTAATTGTCCTTTACTTAATTAATATAAATTTGCAATTTTAACTATGCATAAAGCATAGCTTAAAAAGTATTTGACCTGTAGGCCTGAAAATTTACAAGAATTTGGTCAGCTGAGCATGTGTACTTATGCACCTTGGGGGTTCCTTGTGGATTGATTCAATATTTGCAAAGTTTTTGCCCTTGACTTTGTAAAAGATTTTCAGTTTTCAGCCTGTGCCACATGTAGCCCAAAAATATTTGACCTAGAGTCATAAGATTGACAAAACAGTGGGTGTTGGTGGGCACCCTTGTCCTGTAGACACATTTTTAGTTACATATTTAAGTACGCTATTACTTGTAAAAACAATTCATTTACAGTTCGATATATTCGACATTGAAGAAAACCTGGATGTCCTTGAAATTTGGGATGGCGGACCCACAATCCTCAGTAGTCAGTTGATAGCACGGATTTCCGGTCAGAATCCAGGTCAATATGGAAGCTATATTAGCAGTACACATCATCTACTATTGAGATTTCTCACCGACAGCTCCATACAAAAACAAGGATTCAGATTTTCATGGAAAACAGGCAAGAATCATAAATACAATATACAGTGCAATACAAAGCAAACAAAGAGTTTTAGAGTTTCTTTCAGCAGCATCCTGAAGGACAAAGGCCCATGAGGACAAAATGTTATGTAGCGTACATATTGAAAGTTACTATATAATAACGTCTTGTAATAATCTTGTAGCTCTCTAAGTCTCATAGCTAAAAGTCTAGTTACAAACAAGACAAACATGTTATCTAATTACGAGGTACTGATTATGATATATTATACGGTATTCATTCGCATTACTAAATTATACAAAGTGAAATGATGAATGCACATATTGGTCAAACCACACACTAGTGACTTAAAGTTCAATTTTTACATGACCGAATAAGGAATTTTATAATATACTTCGCAATGAACATTCGAAAAATATATCGGAAATATTACACGGTATTTTATCAATTGTATCATAGTTTGGGGTCCTTTCTGTTGAAAATGTGTCAGAGTTAAATCGTATACATATACATGCATAGTGCGTTAACTGGAGAACAGGTATAAGTTACCCACACTCCAGAGCATGCCTATTTATTGGCTAATATTTGCTGGGGTTTACTTATTGTGACGGCAGAGAAAGGGAAAGCGATAGAAATGTCATTTTCAGATGCTCGTTCATTCGTTTCTTTTTTCTGGGATTTCATATTGTGACAACAGGGAGCGTGATTTTATGTTTGGCTATGATACAAAAGAGAAAGAACATCTAAACGATCGGCAATCTGATTAATACTGGGGGGCTACGCCCCTTCGTACAAATCAGATAGCCTCGTGTTTCGATGCTGTTTCTATTACCTATATTACTTTAATTAATTGTTTGATTGATGCTGGTTTTTACAGGTTAACGAGTAGATAACATCGAAGGGGAGAAATCCGGTTACCCAGTTTTATCGCACAAAAATATATGTTCGTTCAAAATGTAATACCCTGGATATCATTGTGAAAGTATGTCTTCCACAGTAATATATAACTTGTTTTGTAGCTAAATATAGCTGAAACATAAATAATTAATATAGTGAATGATACTTTTATCTGTAACGCTGTTTTTAGATTTTTCATGCGAAATCCTGCAACAGACGGGGTTTGATGTATTATCAACTACTAGCGGATACGATAAACGACTTACACCTAGACAAGATGTAAATGACTGCATCAGTGAATGTGATAAAAGCAGCCAATGTTGGGGTTTCCGGTATGACATCACGGAAGTGACGAATCCAAAATGTTTCATGATCACGGAAGCACCGATTTTAATGGAGAGCACATGTTGCAATGTTTATATAAAGACGTGTCCTTTGACGTCAAGAGTAACATGTAAGATAACAAGTTGAAATATGCAAATCTAATAATATATTAACTTTATGTAAATTTCCGAATAAGAGGAAATTAACACATTTAGCCTTTATTTACTTTCATCTTGCAAGAGACATTTCTTATTTCAGCATTTAATTATTCATCACTTTTTATGATAAACAATAGGCAATGCAAGCATCAAAATACACACTCAATCACTAATAAATAGAGCAATATGAAATTATAAAGGATGCAGATTCTGACATAATATAAATATTTCATGGACTCGTCAGTTTAAATAAATATGTTTATTGTGCTTTAATACATTAAGCAATATACTTTTATCTCTTTACAGCAATAGGAAACATACCAATGTCAAACTCTAGTTTGGTGGCCACCTCAACACCGGGCGACATCTTTACTCCCATGTACCCTTACAGATACGTCGGAAATTATGAACATACCTTTCTAATCACAGTTTCTGGCAATAAGTTAATAACTTTGCAGGTAAATCTGAAATTTAACCTTTGACCTTATATCAATCGTTTACTCAAATTCATTTAAATATACATTATTTGACAGTAATAATCAAAACAAATCTTTCCATATAATAATTTGTGATTTATGATAGAACATTTGATAAATTTCCGAATGTTTATTTTTTTTACAAAGAAGAATAACCATAAAAGAATTTAAAAAAAAATTGTTGTTTTCATATGATATGTAAATGCTTTGTTCAATACATGTAATATAGCCAACTATTATTCATTTTGTTGTTTAATTAAGAGTTTTTCTTATGCAGATTTTAACGGTCGATCTTTGTTGTACCGATAATATTGCTATATACGACGGTCAGGGACCAGAAAATCCTTTACTGATGCTAGTTGAAAAAGAATCGGAGCCGTCATATGTCACTTCAACGGGGAACTACATGTATGTGCATATGACATTGTTACAGCACTGGAACTGCAAGGGTGTTCTCATGAAATATTTTGAAGGTGAACAATATTGAATAATAAAAATAATACATTTTATTTAAACTGTAACATATATATCTTTTTCAGATATTGATGTCAGCTTCATATCAATTTATAAAAACAATGTTTGGTTGTTTTGTTGACATATAAAACTATTAAAATAGAAAATGTAAAATATGTACAGTTCCTAACAGTTTGGTTAGAAACATAAAGGCAGCTTTAGTATGAAATATTATACAATTATTGACTAGTGATCCATTGAATATGGTGTGATATTCACTGGCAGATGACATCGCCTCGGTCAATATGACTTTCTGTCAGTGAATATCACATCATATTCAATGGCTCACTAGTCAATAATTGTTTTATTATATGAATAGTCTAAGACATAATAAAATCACAAAAAGTACAACCTTATATACATGTAACAATTTTGCCTCGTTGAAGCGCAGGAAGAAAGACAAGACGCATGTGTTAGCCGTGCAACGACTATATTTTATATGCGAACGCTGCGCCTACAAAAATAATTCAAGTTTATACTCATCATTGCGGTGTCGCCTTTAAGTATAATAGTAAAATAATGATATTTTAATCGAGAAATAGGTCATAAAAAACAAAAAGTAACAGTTATTTCTTAATTAACACGCGTAATTAACAGTCTACGGTGTATGATCATTGAATATGAGTCTCAATCTAACTTTAGATTCGGAAAATCCAATTCAGCCAGTGAATATGATACTACACCCAGTGAATATGATTTAATAAAAAGTTATGTTGACTACTGTTTGGACCAATGAGATTGCAGCTATATTTAGATCATATGATACTATCACTTATTTATATAGGCTTACTTAAATAAGATATATTGTTTAACATTTAATAAAGCACTTGTTTGATAAATTGTTAAACATTTAATAAAGCACTTTTTGTGATGATGACGTTTATCAGAGTCAAATTATCTTAGATTTAACATCACAATTTACTTATAATATGTTCTATAAAATGGAAGAATGTTAAGTATCAAAGATGATCAATTTTTCAGGTTGTGATGTGTCGATCAGTGCAGATTCTGGGCAGATCAGATCACCTGGTTTTAATGTAAACCCATATCCTGATATAATGATTTGTTCCTGGTTAATCAATCCACCGTCAGACAAAAGTGTTAGACTGTTCTTTACTGACTTTCAAACTGAGCTAGACAAGGACTTGGTAAAGGTAATAAATGTTTTACTTACTGTCATAAATAATTTTACTTAGATCGGTATCATTACTTTTGCTAACTTGCTCATTACTGTTGCTCACTTGCGTTTTTATGTATTTTCTTAGATGGCATAAAAGTTTTTGCAATTGTCATTCAACGATGCCACGGTAAACATTAATTATGGCTGTTGCTTTCACTTATTTTGGGCAAGCTGAAAGCCAATGTCTTTCATAAGTAACCATATAACTGTCTAGCATCTACAAGACTTGGTAGCTGAAGGTGACCAACTCACCTACAATAACGTAAATACGTAGGTGTAACGTATTGGCTTAAAGATATATTTTAATTAAAGTATGCACTATTTTATTAAACCATGCTTGGTTTATTGCTTATATCCTTACAAAATTGAATTGCTATCGACAAGAAAATGAAGCTAAGAGTGTATTGATTTAATTTTAGATTTTTAAAGGATTGAATGGCCAAGGTGAGGCTGTACACCAAGGAGCAGGATATTCTGGTACCCAACTACCGGACACTCTGACGTCAACCAACGGATTCTTCATAACATTCGAGACAAGTGGAACCAATAATTTTCGCGGATTTCAGGCCACATTTTCTGCAGGTAAACGTGTCCATTCGATGTTTTTTATTTGCTTGTAACTTTTGATGTATTCTTATTAACAGTGGCAAAAGTTGAATATGCTTTAAAAATGCAATTATTGTAAGTGATAAATGATTGTGTATTTCCAGTTTTTTTCGCCATTAAAATCATGCATTAAATGATTATATTGTTACTCTTACAAAGTGCATGGCAATGACTAAAACTCTTACTAAATACATTGAAAACACAGTCAGGACGGTCTGGTCACAATATGATAATAACGATATTGATAATTTCAGTAAAACACATGAAGCAAAATCATTAACAAAGAACTTTTGATATAAAACATTTTGACTAGTGAATCATTGAAGAATTATACCAACTTTATTTGATTTTTCATGTTTATAATGTAATATTGTGTAATCAATCCAGGGTGTCCAAAGTTGGATACAGTGTCGTTCGTGCTGGATCCGGTGTCTGATAGTTTTCACGCTCCAGATACAGTAGTTGTGACGTGTGCGGAGGGATATTTGTTTGGCGGAGGATTTAAAGGAGAACCATCTGTTACTTTAACATGCCAGGGTGATGGGACCTGGAACTTGCATAATCTTCCCTTCTGCGAACGTAAGTTGATAATTCCTATGTACTCAATTGTCTTAGACTGCGTTCCAGTCTATACATACTTATAAAAAAACAAGCTTGAAATTTATTGATGCACTTTTCAGTTTGCATTTCATTGGGAACCCGTATCTAACAGTAAGTCAGTAAAAATAGAGAAAACACTTGTAGCTTTGAAGTGTATATATATAATAAACGAAGATGATTTTAATTATATTATTTCTTTTTCAGAACTTACTTAAGCGTTTAATTTAAATAAATAAAGTGCAATAAGTGTTATTGAAATATTCATAGTTACACAATGCTTATCTCCATCAATTAAAATTGTGTCTATGTAAGTCCATGCTAGCGCAGTATAGTGGCATAAATCTAAACAGAATAATTTATAAAACATAAGTGTAAATATTGTATAAATATAGTGAAAAACAAATATGTTAATGATATGTACAATGTATTTTATAATGTAATATTCTTTTTCGAGAGATTAAAGTTCAAAATGTTTTACATTCTGAATATTATTTTCAAATACTTTTTGAAAATTTGATTTGTGATCAATTAATGTCGTAAAACATATTGTTTTGAATAAAAAACAATAAAAGCTTTTTTTAACCGACTCGTGTTTTTGTTATCTAGGGCAATACTGCGGACTTGCAAAAGACATACCAAATGGTTACTTTGTCACCGCCTCCGGTGTGCAAGGTGGTGACGTCATACAGTATGATTGTAACGAAGGTTTTACAATGGAGGGAAACAAGCTAGTGACGTGTCTCAGTAACAGTTCGTGGGGTGTTCTGCCGCAGTGTACAGGTCTGTTTTTGATGTCTTTTACAACTCTGATGAAGATTGTTAGAGTCGAAACTTCGGTTATCATCATTAAATGAACTTTGAAACTTATCCTGTGTTGATTGTTTGTTCCACTTGTATCATTTTTCTTTGTCTTTTATATTTGATAAAATTTCTGGATACATGATGCATGGCAAAGTTTCATGATATATAGAATACGTTAATATGTTAATTGCATATAAAATCTATCTTAGAAACAAATGAGAATTATATTTGTTTTATATAAAAGAAATTAATAAAAAGTTTACTTAAAACGTTTACTTATCTGGCTATATGGCCCTGGAAACCATAATCATTTTCCCGTTAATAAAGAAGTATATATCTAGCCACAGAAACTGCATCATCTTAATGACACACAAAAAAACGCAAAATGTAAAAATAAAGAACTATCAGATTTGCAAAAACTGCCCAAAATTCACCTTTGTTTCCTACATGTAATATATTAAGTATTTGTTTTAAACTTTTATATTTTGATCGATATAATTCAATAATTCAACTTCAATTAATTTTACTTAAAATGCTATTTCAGATTTTAACATTATTTTAAAATATAACTTTTTTTACATCCCTTTGCAGCGACGGAATGTTCCGCTGTCGGAACGATCGTTGCCAATGCAACGTTTACAAATATGAAAGGAGATGGAATCCAGCATGCGTCAGTTGTGAAAGTTACGTGTGACCAATACTTTGATCTGATTGGTCCTGAGACAATAACTTGCAATCAGGGACAATGGCAGAGCGAACTTCCTCAATGTCAGTGTAAGTATCCCTCATACTCTTTAAGTGACTTTTGTAATTCAAATTGTCTTAAAGGACTAATTTAATTTTGACAAACGGCGGATTATAATTTCATACAGATGAACCGATCTTTTAAAAAACGAAAAGTGGTTGTCAATTGGAGAAAACCGCTGTAAAAGTTTGATGACAAGTTTTTTTTACATTGAGTATTATCTGAGTATTATCCTTAACATGTTTGTTCCTTTTGTTTCTTCAGCTATTTGCTTATTTTTTGTTGATTATTTTGGTATCATGCACAAAGATGTTGCTAAAAATAGCTGTAAACAATATTTTAAATTGTTAACTTGATCGCATTTATTTAATTATCAAGTTTTTTTTCCGTTCTGATTGATCAAATTTTGTAACGAAACTTTCTATTAAACAGTATTTTACAAATCTCTAAAATATAAAATCGGAATGCAAACACATCCAGTTTGAAAGTCTTTGGGAACTTAAGTTCATTAATTAAATTTGTAAAAACAGTTCATATCAGAAAAAATTAAACATTTAGAAAAATTAAAATGTTTTTTACAAAAAAACTTGTACCAAATGTACACTTTTTGGCTAATTAAGGCAAGTAATGGCCTAGTGCTTTTGTCACCTGACTCTTGGATCTTTGTTTCGAGCCCTGCTGGGTTACAACCATATTTCTCCATGTGTCCTCTGCACTGGTTAGTTCCAAAAGTTTTGTATATAGGTTGAAAGCTTTCTTTACAACAAAAATATTGAACTAATCAGCCAGTACTATAAATATCTTACTTTTCATTGGTATTGTAGCCATGCCATGTGCCTTGACAACATTCTGGAATGCGAACGTGAACATGTCACAGAGTTTTGTTATGAACAGTGTCATCAAAGTGAAATGTAACCCAGGATACTCATTGAGTGGTGGACTCGAAACCGAGGGATCATTTAGATGTGGTGTCGACGAACAGCTTCAATGTGAGAGTAAGTTTCCTTTCTAAAATATCACATTTTTCGAAGGCCATATTTAGTGTGATTAAACATGTACAGAAGCGTCCTGGTGCCAATTCATGGTGTTCCATATAAAATGATACCTCATACGTAGTATTTTATTAGGATAACTCCTTATTATGCCTTTAATCTAGCACGTAGGAGTTATAAAGACACTTAGTTTTTAAGACCTATTGATATTATATATTATTGTGATTTCTGTCATATTCAAATTAATCTTTTGTTTTAAAATAGTGTCTTTTCGAAATAAATGTATATACAAAATTCAGGAGGTCTAGCTATACATTTGATAATTATATGTATGATAATTTCATTTAATTTCATTTTATTTGCAAATCGGAAAATAAACATTTCATTTGGCCATTTACAGAGTATAATGACAAATATTGCCGATAGTTTAAATGTACAAATATTATTAACAAAAAGAGAATATCAGATTAAGAAGCAGTTAAATATTCAAGATAATAATCATAATAACATGCATACTCAAGGTTAAATGTGTATAATTTCAAATATTAAAGGGACTCACTCATGTTTAAAAAAAAAAAAAAAAAAAGGATTTCAAATATTTTTTTCTGAGATTTATGCACCGTTTGATGAAAGTCTGGACAAATAACTCTTCAAGATAATTATAATTTGCTCACCACATTTTCCAGGTTAATAATTTTTATTGTTTAAAATGACCCAAAAATGAAAGTCTTGTTTGCTAGTAATCGCACAAAATCGATTTTCAATCTTATTTTTTGATCTTCTGCAAAATTTTCCATTTTAAGGCCTCCACTTAATATTGGTAAGAATTTCATTTTTTTGTTGTTTTAAGACTTATTACCTTAGTTGAACTTTTCTAAATTAAATAAAAGAAAAAAGAAAAAAGTTGTCCATATTCTACGAACAGTTTTAATTATATATTCAAAATTTATATATTCCCCCTCTATGTGAGCCGCGCCATGACAAAACCAATGCAATGCGTTCGCGACCAGCATGGATCCAGACAAGCCTGCGCATCCGCGCTGTCTGATCAGGATCCATGCTGTTCGCTACCAGTTTCTCTACTTGTTATATGGTTTGTAAGCGAACAGCATGGATCCTGATCAGATTGCGCGAATGCGCAGGCTGGTCTGGATCGATGCTGGTCGCAAACGCATTACGTTGATTTTGTCGTGACGCGGCTCATATATAAACATAAATTAATATATATTTTGGTTAAACATTAAGGAGTGTAAAAACGATAGATACGTTTAATAAATCTTTTATTTATGAATTTCACAGACATAGACGAATGTAATCTTGGATTGGACGACTGTGTTAACGCCGAGTGCCAGGATACAGACGGTTCGTACGTCTGCGCATGCCTAGCCGGGTATGTTCCAACTAGGGACAGCTTAACGGCATGTGAAGGTAAAGTAATAGATACATATATTATATAAAATATACTGTTAAAGTAGGGTTTCAAAACCGGATATTATATCATTCGTGAGCTCTGAGAAAAAAAATCCCAATACTTTGTATGATATATGATGCCTTTAATTGAATAAATATCATTACTATATTATATTTCATTATTTAAAATAGCTGATTTCAGAAACCAATTTTAATTGTAAATGTTGAAATCAAGTGCGATTTGATACTTTCGCGAATAAACCTGGTTCTTCATGGAAGAACCCATCCACCCTGGTTGTACATGCTAGCAGGCAACAAAGTAAAACGTTATTTAAAATACTTCCTTGGTTTCTTAAAAAAATGCTGAATTAATGTGGGTAAGAAACAATCATAATTCAGAAAATAATCATAATTAACTTATTTAACTTGCTTGGCATTAGAATTTACATTACACTTCTAAAAAACCGCCCAAGATTTTGAAGAAGACGTGTATCTGATTTACTTTGTGCCAGCGTGATTTCCGTGCATCATTACAACTCAGTTCTCTCCCTTTGTTACAGATGTGGACGAGTGCACAGCGGAGTTGAATATTTGCGACCATGTTTGTACAAACACGGCTGGCTCGTATCAGTGTAGTTGCGATGAAGGGTATGACTTATACACATCTGCCGGCTTTAATGGCTTTACACTTGGGAATGGCGAAGATGGCACCAAACCATGGCATATATTTCATATAGGTCACTCCTGTGTGTGTAAGTTATTTGATGACATAAATAAAATCTTCACATTTACTTATCATTAGAAGAAAATTAACGAAAGTATGTTTTATACAGAAATACGACTTTCAAAAAAAATTGTTTCACTGTAGATCCAACCATTATTGTGCTTTACGGTGGTGTTCACGTTGTAAGCCTTTTGATAAAATTTCTTTCGAGTCCACCGCTACAAATTGTGTGAACATAAAACAACTTATAGTGAGCGAACAAATCTATGTGGTGGTAAGGCTGGGTAGTTAAAGCGTCGGACTAGTAATCTAAGGATCGCTGTCCTCGTGGGTTCAAAACCTGTTGGGAGCAAGCTGTTGTTTCCTTGAGCAAGAAACTTTACACTCATTGCTCAGTACTGATTGGATCCAGAAATGCATTAGAACTAAAATAAATTCTGTATAAACAGAATGCCCAGTACATTTCTCTCCGTACGTTAACAGGCTTTTAGAATTTAACTGCAAGCTTATATATTACATGTCCATTAACTCGCAATCGTCAGTTATCGCTCACATTTTATAGAGCCGATTTGATTCCTATATGTATCTCTTTTGCAGTAAAGAAATGTGAGTCAGATAATATATTAAATATTGCTGGCGGGAAAGCGTTGACATCGGCAACATCGTTCTATTACGGTGATAAAGTAGAAGTTCTATGTAACATTGGTGTGTTTGCTAGTGGGACAAGTAGTCCTAATATGACTATAACCTGTGGAATTGATGGCCAGTGGAGTCAGCGCCCTGTGTGTGACGGTAAAGTATAACTCATATTTGTTTCTCAAACTAGTTGTCAAATATTTTATGCCTTATTTAGTTACTCTTTCTTAATCTAAACTTGAAAAAAGAAAACAAATTATTTGTTATCTATTGATTTATATAATTTCAAACTACATGTATATTATCTATCATGAATCATTTTAAAGGCGAAATTATTCAATGGAATATCATGAATTTTTTTATATTACAGAGGTAACAGTTCGACGGACGAATTCGACAATGTCCGTCATTTTCCGTCACGTATAACAACAGTACTGTTATTCATATTGTCCATTCATATTGTCCATTATCTTATGAACGCTCATTTAATCTTTATAGGCGCAGAAGTTTGCTGAAAACCCCCATATATTTACACTCTGGCTGGATATTGTTTTTAAGTTGATATTTTCTGATATTGTTTTCAGAAGTTGCATATTGTGATGAGATCTATGGGTCACCGGTCACACCTGCTGGACGTATACGGTACGAGGAGAAATACACGTTAACATGCACGCGACGTAACGGGCGACAACTGGTCCTGCAGCGTTTATGTGGCTACGACAAAGACACCCGTACATACAAAACATATGGAGACCTCCTTGCTTGTCCTGGTATTTATTGCCCCATGTTCAAAACATTCAATTCCACTGGACTGGTTAAATTTTATTTTATGAATTTTATGAACAATTTTGTTTACAAGCATTCATCATCCTTGCAGTCATTTAATTCTTGTGCAATACAAAAATATTTGTCTGGATATCACTCAATGTTGCCTCCGATTCGTAAAGGTCCATTATGCCTGAAAATTCTTTATCTTTATTTTTCAAAAGTTTTTTTTACTTTGCATTACTTTCATAGTATACACATAGTTACGCATTAACCAGTAACCTAAACTTTAAAATTTAGAATTTTAAAAGAACATGTTCCTAGCTTACCTGTATAGTCAACATTAATGACATTTATTGATATTACTTTGTTTATTTATTTTGAGCCGCGCCATGACAAAACAAACGTAATAGTTTGCAACCAGCATGGATCCAGACCATTCTGCGCATCCGCGCAGTCTGATCAGGATCCATGCTGTTCGCTATCAGTTTCTCTACTTGTTAAAGGGTTTGTAAGCGAACAGCGTGGATCCTGATCAGACTGCGCGGATGCGCAGAATGGTCTGGATCCATGCTGGTTACAAACGCATTACGTTGGTTTTGTCGTGACGCGGCTCATTTATTTATTTGTTTATTTGTTTGTTATTTCAGAGACAGATTGTGGAGAAGCACCTGTTTACACTGGGGTGAAACCATTTATTACACCAAGTACACTATATAACAGTACTATAGTGTTTGAATGTGAAGGTCAGTATGTGAGGAGAGGGAGCAGTCCTCTAGGAATATTCAGTGACAGTCTTGTCAGGTGTAATGAAAATGGTGTGTGGGACTTTGGCACTCTTCGTTGCGAAGGTAACTAGGTTATTTACGTTTTGGCTTTTAAATATTATATATATACATGTATATCCTTTAAGACACCAGGTAAGTTGCAATATTTCATGATTTTTAGATGCTGTAAAATGCATATTAAGTTTTCAACTTACCATTTGGTAATTTGTATACTTGAATAACCGGTGATAATGCTTTTTGAAAACTAAATTGAAAACTAGTGCCGCAATTTCAAGTTGTGCTGATTTGTTCTGTTAAATAGAACTTTATGATAAAGGCAATATTTGTATGCTTTGAAATGAAAAGATATTTCTGTTTTGTTTGCTTTAGTTATATTTTATTGAGTTGCGGCAGTATTTAAATCGTAAAGCTTGACATGAAGTCATATTCAACCAAAAAGATAACCAAGGGCTTAAGATATTATTAATACGTATTGGTTGGACCACGGTCTTCCCCATCATTTTCGAAACCCAGTTCTTTGATTATATGATGTAAATTGTGAATGATTGAATTATATCTTGAACATTGCAGGAGGCCAGTGCCCCGACCCTGGTTACCCTGTCAACGGTTATACAACACTGTCATCATGGTCACATGGTGATGAAAGAGTATATAGCGTTGCTATAGGAACTGTTGCAACTTTCTCGTGCAACACTCCGGGCTATGAACCTTTGCCCAATGCTACAGCAACGTGCATTAAAGTCGGAGATACTTTGACTGCATGGGATAATCCATTACCGACCTGCCTAGGTAATTTTTTGAACAATTTCTTTATATTTCATACATTGTGTTAGTTTAAGACTTTATTCATGCTGTACATGTTCGATTTTCATGCAAACCGTAATAAATTTTCATAAAACTCCATAAAAGTGTGCAATGTATTAAACGTATTAATTTTAAAATGCAAGAAATTAGCTTATTTTATAGGAACACTATGTAAGGCACTAATTTCAGTGAGAATTTCATAAGCGGACCGTGCACTATTGTATGACGCAAAAAACGTTAAGCAATCCAAGATAAATAGCACCACGAACATAAGACACAATATTGTAATTTAAAATCTATTTATATTTATTCATTTATGAGGAACTGACGTAATTCCTTTCAGAATATGACCGTAGAAGGAATTTTATTCAATCTATCACTAAATTTCGCAAAAACGTAGGGAGTTGAACTATAACCATCAAACAGTCATAATGCATTATGCCTGCTATTATCACTTTGACTATTTTGATTTAAAATTCAGATAAGATGCCGCCACAGTTTATAGACTGCCCGGAAGATAGTTACGTTGACGCCTACACGTCCGTTTATTACGCTGAACCAACTGCCACTGACAACACAGCCGTGAAAACATTAGGGGTATGATAAATTTGTTACCCACTCAAAAAAGAAGATAAAATCACATAATTATATTATATTTATGTTCGGTATTACGTCAACAACACTGTATAGAGCTTATGGTGACTCCCAGCTATACTTGTGGCTATGTTTGTATTATTATGAAAACGTAGGAGAATAAACTTAGTACTTCAATATTTTATTATTTATCTTTTAAAGATACAAACGCATGATCGGGCAATATTCTGTCTCGTCGTATAATTTATTCATCAAAGTTCAATTACATCTGTTTAGCGCTTAACGTTTTTGAAAAATTGCTTTCCTTCAAAGTCCACCACTAACAGTAAAATGCCTTTTGATTTAATTGATAAGTCGTTTTTTATTTGTGACGATACATGTGCTATAGCTACATTCTAATTTTATGAGGGAATATATGCTTTTTGTTTAATGTAAATGAGAAGGTATGTTTATTATCACTATTCTGAAAGATTTTGTTTATAATGCTGTTCTTTGAAATATGAAATTTGGAACCTTGTTCAAGTATTCAACACCCGTTTCCATTTCAATAATCACTGAATTAACCAAAACGGTGATTAGTTAGATGACACATTTTAATTGTAGTAAATACCGTAGATATTAACATAAAGGTTTTATATTTAAATGAAGGATTTTTTTCCATAACTTGTTATGTTAAGCAATCTAAACATATGTTTTTGTAAATATAAACACACAGAGATTTCCGGAGAATTTTCGGCCCGGTATGGTGATGGATTCAACATCAACTTTGACTTATATAGCAACAGATTTCAGTGGGAACCAACAATGGTGCCAGTTTAGAATTATCATCAATGGTATGAAGTCTCTAGATTATATACAATTATACTTTATTACACCAAGTTTATTACACCAATTACTGTATTGTTATACTGGTACATGTAGCTTTAGTGCGTTATAACTTTATGCGAATGTTTCTTTTTAATTTCTAATTTTGAAGTACATGTATCTGTTGTTTTAAACATGTTAGATATAAGATTAGCATATTGTATCCAAATGATTATTTATTTGAAACATTCTTTTAAAATATTCTTTAAATTCATGTTTCTATTCCTTACTAAATAGATAAGACACCACCACAGCTATTTTGCAATACTCCTACGGTGATCACACCCAACCAAGGTAACACGCAGGTGAATACGGAGCTGTTCACCACTACCGACGACCGGTCAGCTACTTTGTTTGCGGCGCCGGCATATGTTACGGCAAAGTATGGTACGATCGGGACAAATCCAATAGTGACATACACAGCTACCGACCCTTCTAAAAACGTTGCTACATGCCTAAGCCAAATGAAAATTGCAGGTATTTTAAACTGGTTTTTCTTGTTTGTTTTTGCGCCGATTTGTTTTATTCATTTTGGTCATATCTCGGTTGCCAGTCCGCCTAACTGGCTTTCCTTGATAACAAACCAGTAATAATCAATTTATCTGCAAGTGATCGACTACTAATCTCCAAGGTAACTGAATCAGCAGCGAGACAAATGACGATAAGACGCAATGTCTAAGATGTCACGGAGACATTTTGCCTTGGCAGAAGCCCAAACTTGCGATCTTTGGATTAAAAATTCGATGCTAGAATATCAATAAACATGTTTTGTCATACAGTGGGGTCTTAGAAATATTATTAAGGAAATTAATCTCAATTTTGAGTGCGTTGTGGTATAACAGTGCACGGTATAGAGTTGCGCAGTAATATAACCACCAAGGTCATATGATTGAGTGAATAGGTACACAGTTGATACTATATATGTGCAGACCTCAAAATTGAGATCTGGTTTTATTAAAACACGTAAGCACAATGAAATGGAAAGACCATATCGTTTTACCATAAACTTTTCCGGTCTAATGTAAACAAAATAATCTACAAGAACCCTGTAGTGTGTGGCAAGACTGTTGCGAGTGAAGTGTAAGAATATATAAAAAAAGTATGTGAGAAGTAAGCAGTGAACAGTGAGCTAAGCAAAAAGGCATTTCAATTTATATAGGGAAGGTAATGATCTGCTGTAATGCTCAGCTGTTTTGGGCATCTAGCAGGGCATTCCTAAATATAGTGTAAAAATGCTCTGCTGCAATACTCAGCTGTCTTGGCAATCTAGCAGAGCATTCCTAGCTTTAGTGAAAAAATGCTCTGCTGGAACGCTCAGCTGGCTAGGCAATCTAGCAGTGCATTACTAAATATAGTGTTAAAATGCTCTGCTGGAATGCTAAGCTGGCTAGGCAATCTAGCAGGGCATTACTAAATATAGTGTAAAAATGCTCTGCTGGAATGCTAAGCTGGCTAGGCAATCTAGCAGGACATTACTAAATATAGTGTACAAATGCTATTCTGGAATGCTAAGCTGGCTAGGCAATCTAGCAGGGCATTACTAAATATAGTGTAAAAATGCTCTGCTGGAATGCTAAGCTGGCTAGGCAATCTAGCAGGGCATTCCTAAATATAGTGAAAAAATGCTCTGCTGGAATGCTAAGCTGGCTAGGCAATCTAGCAGAGCATTACTAAATATAGTGTAAAAATGCTCTGCTGGAATGCTAAGCTGGGTAGGCAATCTAGCAGGACATTACTAAATACAGTGTAAAAATGCTCTGCTGGAATGCTAAGCTGGGTAGGCAATCTAGCAGGACATTACTAAATACAGTGTAAAAATGCTCTGCTGGAATGCTAAGCTGGCTAGGCAATCTAGCAGAGCATTACTAAATATATTGAACAAATGCTTTTCTGGAATGCTAAGCTGGCTAGGCAATCTAGCAGGACATTACTAAATATAGTGTACAAATGCTATTCTGGAATGCTAAGCTGGCTAGGCAATCTAGCAGGGCATTACTAAATATAGTGTAAAAATGCTCTGCTGGAATGCTAAGCTGGCTAGGCAATCTAGCAGAGCATTACTAAATATAGTGTAAAAATGCTCTGCTGGAATGCTAAGCTGGGTAGGCAATCTAGCAGGACATTACTAAATACAGTGTAAAAATGCTCTGCTGGAATGCTAAGCTGGCTAGGCAATCTAGCAGAGCATTACTAAATATATTGAACAAATGCTTTTCTGGAATGCTAAGCTGGCTAGGCAATCTAGCAGGGCATTACTAAATATAGTGTAAAAATGCTCTGCTTGAATGCTAAGCTGGCTAGGCAATCTAGCAGGGCATTACTAAATATAGTGTAAAAATGCTCTGCTGGCATGCTAAGCTGGCTAGGCAATCTAGCAGGGCATTCCTAAATATAGTGTAAAAATGCTCTGGTGGAATGCTAAGCTGCTAGGCAATCTAGCAGAGCATTACGAAATATAGTGTAAAAATGCTCTGCTGGAATGCTAAGCTGGCTAGGCAATCTAGCAGGGCATTACTAAATAAAGTGTTAAAATGCTCTGCAGGAATGCTCAGCTGGCTAGGCACTATAGCAGAGCATTCCTTAATATAGTGAAAAAATGCTCTGGTGGAATGCTCAGCTGGCTAGGCAATCTAGCAGGGCATTACTAAATATGGTGTAAAAATGCTCTGGTGGAATGCTAAGCTGGCTAGGCAATCTAGCAAGGCATTCCGAAATATAGTTAAAAAATGCTCTGGTGGAATGCTCAGTTGGCAGACTGATTCTGAGTTCCAGGATTTATTGTTGCCAAAGTTTTATTGACATTTTCGACTTCTAGGCAATTCTGAGGCACTCGCAGACTTTCAGGAATTTTCGGTGCAAATAGAAATAATGATATTTTTGACTTCTAAGGACCTTTAAGAGACTATTTCATTGTCCTGCGACTTTTTGAAGGACACTCGCAGACTTTCAGGAATTTTGGTGCCAATGCTGATATTGACAATTAAGACTTCTAGGGACCCTCAAGAGTCCATTTTGGTCGTCTGCGATTGATTCTTGGACACTCGCAGACTTTCAGGAATGGTTGGTGCCAATGGAAATATTCATATTTTTGACTTCTAGGGACCTTTAAGAGTCCATTTCATTGGCCTGCAGCGTATTGTTGGACACTCGCAGACTTTCAGGAAAGTTTGGTGCCAATAGAGATGATGGCAATTTTTACTTCTAGGGACCCGCCAGAGTCCATTTTTATGGTCTGCGACTGAATCTGGGACATTCGCAGACTTTCAGGAATCTCTGGTGCCAATGGAGATAATGACATTTTTGACTTCTAGCGACCCCCCAGAGTTCATTTCGCTGGTCTGCGACTGATTTTGGGACACTTGCAGACTTTCAGGAATTTTGATGCCAATGGAGATAATGACATTTCTGACTTTTAGGGAACCGCCAGAGTACATTTCTTGGGTCTGCGACTGATTCCTTGAGACTCGCAGACTTTCAGGATGTTAAGTGCCATTGCAAATCATGACTTTTTTACTTTTAAGGACCCCTTAGTCATAAGCAGAGCATTTTTACCCTAAAATGTCATTATCTGCATTAGCACCAAAAATTCCTGAAAGTCTGCAAGTGCCCTATAATCAGTCTCAGACCAACGAAAAAGACTCTGGATGGTCAAAAATGTCATACATTGTAATTATCTCTATTGGCACCAACAATTCCTGAAAGTCTGTGACTGTCCAAGATTAAGTCGCAGACCAAAAAAATGGACCCTGGATGGTCCCAAGAAGTAAAAAATGTCATTATCTGCCTTGACATCAAAAATTCCTGAAAGTCTGTGAGTGCCTCAGAATCACTCGCAGACCAAAAAATGGATTCAGAAAGGTCCAAATAAGTCAGAAATATCATTTTCCTGAAATTCCTGAAAGTCTGCGAGTGACTCAGAATCAGTCGCAGACCAACGAAATAGACTCAGGAGGGTCCTTTTGAAGTAAAAATGTCATTATCTCCATTGGCACCGAAAATTTCTGAAAGTCTGCGAGTGTTCCAGAAACATTCGCAGACCAACGAAATGGACTCTGGATGGTCCTATAAATTCACAAATGTCATTATCTGCATTAACACCAAAAATTCCTGAAAGTCTGCGATCGTCCAAGAATCAGTCGGAGACCAAAGAAATAGACACTTGAGGGTCCCGTAGAAGTCAAAAATGTCATTATCTGCATTGGCACTAAATATTTCAGAAAGTCTACGAGTGCCAAATAATCAGTTGCAGACCAACGAAATTTATACTTTATTTAAGAATGCCCTGCTAGTTTACCTAGACAGCTCAGCATTCCGGCAGAACATTTTTACACTAATTTTCAGAATGCTTTGCTGGATTGCCTAGCCAGCTGAGCATTTTTAACACTATATTTAGGAATGTCCTGCTAGATTGCTTAGCTAGCTGAGCTAACCAGCAGAGCATTTTTCGCACTATATTTTGGAACGCTCTGCTAGATTGCTTAGCAAGCTGAGCTTGCCAGCAGAGCATTTTTACACTATATTTAGGAATGCTCTGCTGGATTGCCTAGCCAGCTGAGCATTTTTAACACTATATTTAGGAATGCCCTTCTAGATTGCCTAGCCAGCTGAGCAATTCAGCAGAGCAATTTTACATGTCCCGCTAGATTGCTTAGCCAGCTGAGCATCACAGCTAAGCATTTTTACACTATATTTAGGAATGCCCTGCTAGATTGCCTAGCCAGCTGAGCATACGAGCAGATCATGTTTACACTATATTTTGGAATGCCCCGCTAGATTGCTTACCAAGCTGAGCATAACAGCAGAGCATTTTTACACTATATTTTGAAATGTCCCGATAGATTGCTTAGCCTGCTGAGCATAACAGCAGAGCATTTTTACACTATATTTTGGAATGCCCCGCTAGATTGCTTAGCCAGCTGAGCATAACAGCAGAGCATTTTTACACTATATTTTGGAATGCCCCGCTAGATTGCTTAGCCAGCTGAGCATAACAGCAGAGCATTTTTACACTATATTTTGGAATGCCCCGCTAGATTGCTTAGCCAGCTGAGCATAACAGCAGAGCATTTTTACACTATATTTTGGAATGCCCCGCTAGATTGCTTAGCCAGCTGAGCATAACAGCAGAGCTTTTTACACTATATTTTGGAATGCCCCGCTAGATTGCTTAGCCAGCTGAGTATAACAGCAGAGTTTTTTTACACTATATTTAGGAATGCCCTGCTAGATTGCCTAGCCAGCTGAGCATACCAGCAGAGCATTTTTACGCTATATTTTGGAACGCCCCGCTAGATTGCCTAGCCAGCTGAGCATACCAGCAGAGCATTTTTACACTATATTTAGGAATGGCCTGCTAGATTGCTTACCCAGCTGAGCATAACAGCAAAGCATTTCTACACTTTATTTTGGAATGCTCTGCTAGATTGCTTACCCAGCTGAGCATAACAGCAGATCATTGATTTCCCTATATAAATCGTAATGCCTTTTTGCTTAGCTCACTGTTAACTGCTAACTTCTCACATACTAAAAAAAATCAACAGATGAGAAAACACATATAACTTATAAAAGCGATGCCATGTTATGGTTGGTATTTACTATTTATCCATATAACACGATGCACAAATAAAATGATAAAAAATGGATGCATTATGAAATGAAACAAAGAAGATCCAATGTATATCTGTCTATCTGTCCATTTGCATATGCTTTGACAACCTCTTTCATGTTGGAAGTTTAAAATAAACATCCAAAGTGCGACATAACAGTAGTGAGAAGCCTTGATAATGAAACCTTTTTTAGCATGTAATAGCCCGTTTTTCAAAAACTTTTATTAGGTTTAAAATAGCCTTTTTAGGACTTTTAGAATTTAGGGGGGGCTTGACCTTTAGACAATACTCCTGGAATTTTTTTAGGAAGAACAGTTCAACATGTGCGAAAAAACTCCATGCTCTGCTCTAGTGAAAGTGATTGCCCATTACTGATTATGATGGGGGAAACTATGTTGTTTTTTTAAGTTTGTTATTTTCCAAAATATAAATAATCTTTTTAAACCTGTAACACATTTTCAATACACTTGTTAATATCATATTTCAGCACCGGTTTGTGAGCCGGACATTCTTGAGGTGCATAATGGAGAGATCACGTGTAACCAGACACCACAGTCAGGATATACTTGCACAATCACGTGTAACTCCGGATATTATTTCTTTGAGAACGCGACTCTCTCCTCTGTAAGTGTGTCGTGTGAATCTGGTGGAGAATGGAGTAGGGACATGCCGATCTGTACAGGTAAGGACCTCTGGTGATGAAATATACTTAAATAAAATAAAGTAATGCTTTAAAAGAATATTATCACTTTTAAGTAACCAATGTCCACTCATGGTTACACGTATGAACAGTGATCATTCGTATAAGCAGAAATCCTCGAATATATTATAGTAATTCGTATTTGCAGTGAAGTTACCGCTTGTATAAGCAGTGGTCACTCGTAACAATAACTTATCATGCATACGATGGGTTATCTAAAAATTCGTGGACTTTTTAAATATCTATTTAACGTATATCTATCTAGAAAGAAAAATAGAATGGTAAAAATAAAACAATTTTGCATTACACTGTATTTTGTTCACATATTTTGAAAATACACCTATCTGCACAGTTATAATTGCCTTGGCTTGAAAATGGTTACATGTTGTATTTGCATTGGTGTAGTAATATTCTAAAATAATAATATTCTGTTAAAATATGCCAAGACATAGTTCAAAGCTTAACAAAGCAAAAGAGAGTGCATTTCAATAAATAAATCTAAAACTTGTAATTGATCATTTTATTCATTTATTGTTTTCCCTTCATTTAGTAAAATTTTAAAAATTATTACTCCCTTATATTAACTTGAAATTTACTAATTTTTCGTAATATTTTTTCACCCAGAAAGAAGTGAGTATAATTTAACTCCAACCTATATCCACCCTTTCACATAGATTATTTCATTTCCAGTTGATGCTGTTTGTTTTGTTAAAAACCTTTGTATATTCATTTCTCTGTTTATTCAATACCCATGCACTCCCATCTCGCTTATCTTTTCACTGATATATCTATATGTCATAGTTATGAAACTGATGTAAAATATAGCACATTCTAACTCAAACCCTTTTTAATTGTTAACCTGTACATCAGATTTTAACCATGTTACCAGTGTAAACAAAAATCAGCTGATATATCAAACCGTCCGATGATGGTCTACAACAGAAAATAAATGGTTTTGTCTAGATTGAGAGATGGTCAAAGTCAATTTTAGATATTTAGCTTTTTAATGTTTAATATCAATGAATATAAGATATATAACGTAAAATCATACAAATTTGTATTGTCTGTCATAGTGAATTAATTAATAGTCAAATACAATATTATTAATGTACGTGTTCTTAACATATTCTAGTAGAGAATTAATAGTTTCGATGCGTTACACCACATGTAATGATTGAACGAAACAGTATTAAACCCATAGATTGTTTCATTATTTAAGTATACTGTAGATGGAAAGATTTTAAAATTTGATTGTATTTAATTTTGTCAAAATATGAAAATATTTTGCGCAGCTGAACTAGAAAGTGCTTAACATACAACCGTTATAGGGAATATGTTTTAACGACTAAGTTCTTCATTTTTTGTCAATACAGCACCTGACCTGGCTCATTACCGTGTGTCGATCATGTTCCAGTATGTACGTTTAACGTTTGTTGATGACAGTTGTGGTATATTATATGAGAAACAAATACGTGACGAGTTACTTACCCTGACCAACTCATTCACAGCATTATGCGACAACGTTTCCTTAACGGCCTTTGATGTCTCGCCGTCGCCTATCAACCCCATAGAAGCCGCAATGGATGGCATAACTGTAGGTTATCTTCTGATTAAAACATTTTTTCCTAATAACTAATACAATTCAATTTATAATTGTAAGAAATTGTACATCTGTACAATTTCAAATGTGACTGAGAAAAAAATCCAGTATTGTTGCATCAAATATATCTATATGGACCTTGAGATGTCAACAGTATAGACCCTTAGAAGACGTCCAGCAGGCTGGTGTGGCATATTAATTAATGCGTATCTGGTATAAAGATGTCTTAAGAATAGAAATAACTTGTTAGTTAAATAATTTGTGATACACACAGTGAAAAAGTATGTCGAACTTTATAATGATGTTAAAGGATTGAAACTACGTTAACATTGTGCAGCTTTTAAGGATCTAGAATTGTTTAAAAAATAACAAATGAAATTGCGCTTTGCTAGCAAACTAAAGTATTGCAATGTATTACATATAAATACGCATTTTTTTCTGAAAGATATATAACTAAAAGGTTTTATTTTTTTTATTTACAAAGGGTGTTTTAAAAGCTAAAATCGCTGTGGATTTAGAGCCCGGGGGTCTATTAGACGACGAATATTTCACATGTGCCCAAAGGATTTATCAAGCGTTCTATGATGTGTCGTCATCAGTGACGTCAATAAGAGCATTACCCGGAAGTATCGATAGTTGTCCACAGGTTCAAATGGATACAAGAAGAGCAAGTCTGGTTGGAGCATACGCAGTGTGTAGCAGCAACGCCAAGGCATTGAAGTTAGATACCACGAAACACATCTGCTGTAATAATGTTTTAACCATTTGTTTCATTGTTATATATATTTTATGCCATAGCCTATCATATGCAAAAACAAATCTACATAGGCCTATAGCGGCCTTTGTGCTTTCTCTCCTTAGACCCCGTGTGCTTTCTCTCCTTAGACCAACTTAGTCATGGTATTTGTTTTCAATGAAAATTCAAGTCTTCTCTAAATGTAAAATGCTTATTGTTTCTAGCTTATATTGTATATGTAAAATGGGCTTTAATTTCAACCCAAATTTATTTACACCTGGGTAGAATCTAGTATTTTGCCGGAAAGATGTCCTGAAAACAGACATCTGAATATAAGTATTTATTAGGTATTTAATAGATCTACATATTTTATCTGAATATTTTTTTCAGTGGCATGCCCACCAGGAACATATGGCACTAATAGCACGTGCGCTCCGTGCGGAGCTGGTTTTTACAATGATGCATTCTATGCTTCAAGTTGTAAATCATGTCCCTCTGAAACAAACAGCAAGAAAGAGGGGGCAATGCAGATAAAAGATTGTTATGGTATGATATAGAAAGACTAACCATGTGTCCTGATATGGGAACATCTTTTTTCTTTTTTTAGCGCTCAAGATTCTATTCAATGAAATTGCAGAACAAGAATTTTTTTTTTTAAATAAAAAAAATCAGCTAGCATTTTTTCATTTTTTGACATTTTGTTTATGTTAAAACGTTTTTGAAAATATCATCAGAAAATAAAAATATTCCACGTACTTTTTGATTCGCCCTCGTATAAGTACAACTCAAAAAGGGTGAGAAAAATTTCCAAATTACAGTCCCATAATTGATCTTCACATATCTTATATATCTTCTCTCGTTCGTTCTGCATATGGATTACATTTAAGTCAATCCTTCAATAAAAGTCGCAGTGCTTGTACTCCACTGTGTAAAATCTACAGCAATAGTGGCTCTCTTTTGTAAGAATAGATGTGGGTGGTAAATATATCTAAAAATAAGTTACGGAAAGTTCAAGTTTGGAATGATTGTGCGGAGAATGTCATTTTTAGATATTATATATCTTGTACTTTAGATAAGATATTTATACCGATTTTATTTTTACTGGTTGAACGATAGTGGTATTTTCTTGGTTCGAAATTATGTACATTTCGTCAATGTATATTCCATTCCACACCAAATATAATAATTGAGCCGCGTCACGACAAAACCAACATAATGGGTTTGCGACCAGCATGATTCCAGACCAGCCTGCGCATCCGCGCAGTCTGATCAGGATCCATGCTGTTCGCTATCAGTTTGTTTTCTTGTTATAGGGTCTGTAAGCGAACATCATGGATCCTGATCAGACTGTGCGGATGCGCAGGCTGGTCTGGATCCATGCTGGTCGCAAACCCATTATGTTGGTTTTGTCGTGACGCGGCTCATAGGCATGTCTTATTTCTTTTATGTATACGTTACAGAGGACTGCGGTAAATATCTGTACAGTTCAGATGGGAAAGCTCCATGTACAGACTGCCCACCGGATACATACTGGGTTAATAGTACATACTGCGAGCCCTGTCCGGGTAATCATCATACAAAAAGAAGAGGTGCGAGAACTAGCCAGGAATGTGTAGGTTAGTTCCCTTTACATTTTCTATATTTATTGTAAATATTGTGTATGTCACTAATTTGTTATGCCAAATGCATTTCTTTATGAAATTCAATAAGAAATAATACTGGTTGAACATGATCAGTTTTGAATAATAATTTCATTATTTTTTCTGTTTGTTGAACGATGTTTAGTAGCTTGCCTGGCTGCCTTCTGGACAAAAATGTAAACCTTAAATAACGCCCCAAACACCAGAATTGAAAATGTTGCAGGCTCGGCTTGATTGAACCTGCTCATGGACAGAATTGACAAATGCAAGCTATTGTCTAAGCCCCCGAACACATGCCTCAGCAGAATTCAATAATACATGCAGCTATAAGACATGAAAAGGAAGAAATTAAAATCTATAAAATCCGCAGATTTTTTCACATGGTGGTTTTCATTGAACCTTGATAAAAACTTGATAAAATGTCTTGATCACAATATTGCTAAAACGTAAATATTTTCATTGAGAAGTAAAAAACATTTACCACAAGGCCACTTTCCTCATGCCGCATAATTAATGCATATTTCGTGACAGACGAAATATTTTCAACAAAACTAGGAATTATACAAAACACATGTTATTTATTTAATTTTCAAATAAAGACAAATATAATTAAAATCTGAAAGACAAGTTTTCATAGCATGTTTTGATTTGAGTTTGGATATAATGCTGTCATAACTGCTTTTGTTTTAAATATGAATAGAATAAAGAATAGAATACACGTTTTAATTATTGTAGTAACCTTATTGTACGAATATAATGATGCCAGTTTTGTATTACCAGCCCAGTGTAAACCAGGACAGTTTTCCTACGATGGTCTCGAACCCTGTACCTCATGTCCTAAGCATTTTTATCAGGCGGTATCCCGGGCGACATCCTGTACCGAGTGTAATTCAAACCTTATAACATTAAGGGCGGGGTCCAACAGCTCTGTGGACTGTCTGGATGGGTGTAAGTTTATATTTTCATTGATTTTACTGCTTGATTGAATGAATGGATATATCATATGCCAATAACCAATAAAAGTAGTTTTAAGGCATTTTACGATTGTTTCTTTTGTAAAATTTGTATATGGAGTTATATTATAGTCTTATATTATATTAATATATGTGTAAGGCGATTTTCGGCATTGATATTAAATAGGCTAGTGTTGAATATCGTTTAA